CAGGTGGTGGCGTGGTAACAGCAGTGGAAGAGCTGGCTTTTGAGGTGACCGACGACGTTGTTTTCACCGTCGTAGTTTTGCTGGTCGATCCTCCGGTGCTGCTGCTGCCACCACCGCCACCGCCGGAAACGGTGGCGCTGCTGGTGGCCGTTGCGGTGGAGCTCCCCTGGGCGACACTTGAAGGAAGGCCTGCTACGACGGTAGGACCAGGTATAGTGTACGTAAGCGGGCTAGTGTAGAGGTTGAAGAGGATACCAGGGTCCGTCTCCTGGTAAAGGTCGGTCGCTAGAACACCGGAGGGCTGCAGCGAGCCCGTGCCTGTGACAGCGAGGTTGAAACACTGGGGGTAGTTCTGGGCGCCGTCTACTTGCGCGGCGCTGTGTAAGGCGATGATCTCGTGGCGCAACACGTAGTTACCCGTCTGGAGATCTTCGGGGATTTGGACAACCCAGGTATTGTTGTTGCCGATCAGCACGTCTGAGCCCCAGGTGCCCGGGTTTGCGCCACTGAGAAGGCCAACGGCATCAATCTTGAAGAATTCAAGTGTAGTCTTATCCACGGTCTCGCAGGGGCCATTGCAGTTGGCCAAATAGTCAACGACGGCGCTTTTGTGTGGCCACGGAACAGGCACCCACTGCAAAAGCACAGAGTCTCCAGCCTTGACAGATGCGTGCCCCTTTGCATTGGCGCTGCTCCTGTGGCAGACTATGTCAGGGCTTTGATATGCATCTGGTGAAACGAAGCCTGTCGAATAGTATAAGCATTGAGACGCGAGAAGTATTTGCAGATCCGGTTGGAAGCCATTTACCGTTGTCAGTATCGGCAGCCGTCCAGCCCACCACAATGGGCGGATTTTGCATGTATGGAAACGATGTTGGATCATAGCCCTGGTAGTACACCCCATTGACGACAATGTTGTTTACATGTCCATGTCCTACAACGCCAGTCGCCACCGTTAGTGCGATGGCGAAGAGGTTGGAAAGCTTCTGGGCCATGTTTGTAAGTAGATAGTTCGGAGTAAATCCTATCTTTGTGTATGCCCGAAATAATGCTTCGACAGATATTCCATACCGGATGATTATGTCTGTATTTATGCACCACGGCTAGCTTTCGGTGCCACACGCTGCCTATCCAACTGATATCTCCCAACGGTGCATCAGCCACCTGCCAAGGAGCCTATTTACCCGTTGGTTCCAGATTTGAAGTCAGTATACCACTGCGGCTAAATGATTTAACCTAGATATAAAGCAATGGAAGGAATGGAAGGTCATGTTCCGCGATAGAGTATCCTCTTTGTGGAGAAGGTTGCAGCGGCTAGAAAAGTTTGGCACTTAAATAGTTACAGCCGCTATTAAGCCAAGAAAATTATAACAGTATATGATCTATCTTTTTCTTACTTTTTCAACTAGGTAGGTATTGAGCAGAGGCTTTGTAATACAATACATGGGCCGATTAACTTTTCCACCCGTTTATACCTTTGCAATACATTTACTAACAGGTGATCTATAGCACCACCGGTTCTCCGGCAAAGATACGGTAGTAGTTCTAGCAGTGGCCGCGGGTCAGTGAAAAGCCGGGTATAAGAATCGGAAGAGGCGTTGAGCTACTCGGCAGATCTGGATAGAGAATGGAGCCACCCCGCCAATAGTGCCGGCAGAAGAAGCACGGAGGCCGACGAACATATACGTACGTAACTTATGAAGAATTACTGAGAGTAGTTATATGCTCGTGTCTTGGGCATGTATATATGAAAGAAAATATTACTGATACCGGACGACCTCACAGATGCCTATAATTTCCCATTAATAAACTCATTTGGTCCCCTGGTGTTGTAGTGTAATTTGATGTTTGCCTTGGCAACAACTAAACTCTGTTTTGCCAATTAGAATATCGGCCTTTTGACTAAAAGCCCCTATCAGGTATGAACTTCGCATTGAGAATACCGGATTGGGGATTCACCGTAACTGTACTGGACAGTTGTCTACCAACAAACGTCACCCCAAAATGAAGAAGCTCAGGTAGCAATTCAATGCTACATCTAATTCGCGCACTAGATGGATGCACCATCGTGACTCATTTGTGATCACTTCTCAAAGGCAGCGGTTACTTGACAAGTAGAGATATTGGCTCGTGCAAGAAATAAACGGCAAGCAAACATATGCCTACCCTACCTCGGGCGTATGTTTTCTCGTAAATGCCTCGACTGAAGCCGCAATTTGCCTAAATCGGCAACATATTCCACTTTTTACTCTCTTTCGTAAAATGTACAAGGGTGCTGCTACCAAGTGTACTGTCCAATAGGGAAATTTAAAGGCCCTAGTTGAAATCCTTCTGAACAACGGGGAGTGTCCCCATGCTCACCCTCTCAGGCTGCTTGTAACGCTAACTCTCACAAGACCTCGATGCTCTGACCAGATAACCTTGGCACTCGGAATCAATTACGTCAATGGCGTCCACTGAGCGCCGTTGGCATGTTATAAGAGGCTAAGCAGATGTTTACAGACTCCAGCACCAACGCTTCGAACGTTACATCTATATGCCGAGAAGCCTTTAGTCGAAGCTTAGTTAGAGAAAGTATATAACGAAAATCAGTATGTGCATTACGCTTTCCATGAAGATTCGCACGTTAGACAACTTGGATCACATAACACGCGCTGAAGTTTGAGCTCATTAGTGCTCAGTCTTGATAAAATGCTATACGATTCAGCCGCTGCTGGCAAATTAGAAGTAGCGAGCAGCATGTGTCCTGTGGCTTTAGTAATGAATTATGGCACTGGTAGCCAATCGAGCTACAAGAAAGTAAAGTGTGGCACGATTGTATATAATAATATAATGAGCCTAAAGTCTCACATACATATATTGGGAAAACGTGTATATTAGCAATGTGGCTGCTAACAAAGTGTAGCTGCTCTGTATGGTCCAAGTAATTATCTCATAGATTAGTAGCTTGATTATTATAATCGAGCGTATCTAAGGATTAAGATTGCCTGCATTCATAATATCCCAACATTATCTGGAAAAGGTGCTCACTTATAGCAGCTTCAGTGCCTTGGATATCGTATCTGCTGTGAATAGTTAGTAAGCTTCGAGTCATCAGATCTGTCTCTCCTGGCAACCTCATAACTTCTTCTAGCTTTCATGTCTTGTATAATTTATTCTCTGGTGGATCATTTGATGTATATGATGTACTGTGCCACTCCAAAGAGTATACGCATGTAGGAAGTAGTATTATCATGCTGAGAATATAAAATAAGCTTTACAAGCGACTTTTCCAATGTTTGTTTATGCGTGAAGCTCGATAGGTTCATGGTATCTGTTGGGTGCTGGTAAGTCTTGCAAGATTCAACGGCCACCATGGCAGTCTTCAACGCGGCGACACAAGAGAGATAAATTAATGAGTCGCCGAGCGAAAGCTTAGAGGTGAGAACTACACTTCATTAGCCAGATGCCTTGTCTATTTAACTGTTTATTCCAATATGTAATTGCATAAATACATATAGCAACTGAACAAGTATGCCTTCTTTAGTGATATAAGAGGCATGCTTGTCAAGTCTATCAGCCACCCATCAAGCGGTTTCTTTTTCGCTAACAATGATTACGTTTGGCAGTAGGGAAAACAGGGAAACCTCCCGAGATTAGAGATTGCGAACCAATCCAAAGCGAGCTTCCATGCTTAGAGATGAACACCTTTTCATGTATTACATGGTCAACCTCACATGATATAGCCAGTAGCCTGCTTTAAACTGCTTCATTCAAAGGAGATTCCAGTTATGTCTAAAGAGGAAACTACAGGACTGGTAAGATTGTATAGTTCTGGTTCAGCCAGTGCCAAAGAGCCTTCTAATGGTCATTTTTTGTCAATAGTATAATGAATTTACCTAATAGTTCAAGCTCGATGTGCATCGACGAGAAGAAATTTCGTATGCTTTTATACCGCTTGCATTCCGAAAAGAGATGACGGGTCAAAGCAAAGCACAGGGTGCTTTTTCCCTTGCTCCAACATTTTAAAAATTTACTGAAAGCAAACGCATGCAAATTGGTAACAGGAGAGGCGGCTCTTATTTTGCTACACAGTTTGCGGATATTAAGGGGATGGCATTTGCTGAGCGGCTAATATAATACAAGGCTTACTCGTAATATGATTTTACAGTCGGTTGAGTCATTGTTGCTTCTAGTACAATTACTTGTACAAATTCCCTATAGTGATTATCTTGGCATGTAGAATAGAACTGGTTGGGCCAGTCTTGTTGCATTGTCGATCGCTTTGCACGCCTACAATTTTCAAGGATTCTAAGGGCCGAAGAGCCGACGGCATTTCCAGAGAATATGCGGCAAACGATTTCATTATAAACAATGCGGTCTATGCCAATCAAAGACCTCATGCTTAAAGCGGAGTCATTGACCTAAGTGCAAGATACTACCTGCAGGTTTGGCAACGACGATTACATGAGCATTAGGAAGCTGAGAGCGGAGTCGTAAATCGCAACAATTCCGGATAGTCGAGATGCAATAGCTATTCAGCATTTTTAATAGATCGCGATCGGCAATTTTTTTGAGTATTCCAGGAGTATTTCTTGATGTTATATATAGTACTTAAGCTCATGTTATAAGTGGCCAACTAACTTCATGTAGACTTTCTTATTCTAACAGTGGTTATGGTTAGTCAAATCCGATAGCTAGCGGGGTGGGCAGAATGCGGGGGCATATAGGGTAAATACCTAGTCAAGATGATTTACCGACGGATGGCCAGCGATCATCACATTACGATTGCCAAATCAGATGCTACTTTGCTGACGAGATGTAGTCCTATAATAGCCGTTGGATTTCTAATAGCTTGATGTTTCATTCTGTATCTTCATCTTTACGCTAAGTGTAAGTACGTCAACATTTGAAGAAAGACCTTGCTCGATTTCCCCCTGGTATAAAGCTCCAATGACGCCCATGAACTGATGAGTTTTCGAAGACAGTATTCAATGTACTCAATGTACTCAATGTACTCAATGTACTCATTCAAGCCGACCAGCATGATACTTTCACCATTCGCGAAAAGAAATGCACTCTTGAGTTGCTATTTAGTGCTCTTCGGTTTGCTGGCTCAAGCAAAAGCACAAAATTCTACCTACTTCAACCCTGTTCTTCCCGGCTGGCACTCAGATCCCTCTTGCGCTGTTGTTGACGATATTTTCTATTGCGTTACTTCAACATTCATCTCTTTCCCTGGTCTACCCATCTACGCTTCCAAAGATTTGATTGACTGGAAGCTGGTCAGTCACGCCTGGAACCGCGAAAGCCAGCTTCCCGGGCTAGCTGGGGCACTCCCGATCAGCAGAATGGCATGTATGCAGCTACTATTCGATACCACGACGGCCAGTTCTTTGTGATTTGCCAGTATTTGAATGCACCAGAGGGTAACATTGGTGTGGTATTCAAGAGCTCAGACCCTTACAGCAACTCTGCTTGGAGTGATCCGGTACGATTCAAGCCTTCGAATATTGATCCTGACTTGTTCTGGGATGATGACGGCAAAGTTTATTCCGTAATGGCAGGCATCACACTTCAGGAGATTGATCTTGAGACTGGAGATCTAAGTCAGCCACCTCTGAGTGTTTGGAACGGCACTGGTGGGACGTATCCTGAAGGGCCACACCTTTACAAGAAAGACAACTGGTACTACCTCATGATTGCAGAGGGTGGTACAGAGCTCAATCACTCCATTACAATCGCACGGTCACGCAACATCAACGGCCCATATGACAGTTATGCCAATAACCCTATCCTTACTGCGCGAGGCACAGACGGATACTTCCAGACCGTTGGTCATGGAGACCTCTTCCAAGATCAGAAGGGCAAGTGGTGGGGAATGTGCCTATCGACACGTTCGGGGCCTGACTGGACTATCTATCCTATGGGGCGTGAGGCTGTACTTTTTCCTGCTACATGGGACGAAGATGAATGGCCAATCTTGCAGCAAGTAGAGGGGCGCATGAACGGATGGCACCTACCACCACGTAGTCGCGATGTAGCTGGGACGGGACCCTTTAACGACGACCCTGATCGATACGATTTTTCTCTTAAGAGTTCAATTCCGGCCAATCTTGTCTACTGGCGTGTTCCACGTCAAGGATCCTTTAGTATCTCAAGTAATGGCCTGCTGGTGGTACCAAGCCGAAGTAATTTAACCGGTGTCATCCCTACTTCAGACTCTGATGACGCTCTCTCGCTAAATGGCCGACGAGGTCTCTCTTTCATTGGCAGGCGTCAAAAACATACAATTTTTGACTATACTGTTGATTTATCCTTTTCCCCCAAAGAGATAGATCAAGAGGCTGGGGTGACCATTTTTCTCACACAATTTAATCACGTCGATCTATCTTTAGTCCTCCTTCAACAGGATAACACAGCCAACCCGAGTCTCTTTCTTCGCCTCAGGGCTATTAGCGGAGGCTCCACTGTCGACTCATCCTTGACGCCGCTACCAGAACCCTGGGGACCTGGTTTTTTGCGCTTCGAGATTCAAGCACCAAATGCGACTCTTTTCACTTTCTCAGCTATGCCAGCATCAGAGCCACAAAAGAGAATCACTGTGGGTGCAGCTTCAGGATCGCTGCTAAGCGGAAATACGGGCCCATTTACGGGAAGCCTTGTTGGCATTTTTGCGACTTGTAATGGAGCTGGGAACGAAGATACTGGTTGCCCGGAAGGAGGCAATGCCTATTTTCAGCGATGGAGGTACACGGGAATAGCGCAGTACATATCAAATGAGACGGCGATTCCGACACAGGGAGAACATTCTCTATCTACTTAGAGTAGCGATTGAATTCCATTTCCTCCTGACTTGCTTTACTTGCTTGCAGAATGAGTTTGAACACTTGTTCCGAGTGAAAATTTTCAGTCATACGATTCGTACTTCGCGTGGGAGTTATTTCAGTGCCAGTGCCGACTTTTTGAACCGCATTTAAGCTCATCTGTTCCTCTTCATATGATTTCGGTGACACATCTAAAACTAGACATTTTTGCACCCATTCAATGTTCCAAATAAGATCTGGCCCTCACTGGCAATCCGGTTTATATCCTGTTTATATGGCTCGTTCTGTCACGCGAAGGAAGGCTAAGGCCTACGCTAAGCCGATGCTTGTCATGCGAGTCACTAGACTCACTCTTCCCGTGGAATCTTTCACTTGCAGGGATTGGTGTCCCGGACACCAGTGGCCTACAGAGTGCATCAAAGATAGAGGCTCAGCATTGTCGTGTTGCCCAACTTACTTCACCTCACCTGATATAGATGAAGGCAATTAGCGGAGCTAGTATCAGCAATGTCAGCATCTCTGCTGCTCAACGACTACCCGTTGTAGTCGAGATGTGAATTGATTTATGGCAAGTAATGTTAGAATTGCTTGATAGCGTAGATAAAATCCGTTGCTTCAGCCAGGTTCAACATGCTAGATGCGGCAGCAGCATTGACTGTCACCGCGGCATGGGTTGGTGGTTGGACTGACTTCGAGTATACAGCATCCGACTGCGTCAAGATAAACTTCTCTGTGCTTTGAATAGCATGCACCACCTCGTATGGGAAGCACGGTCACGGAAAAGTCGGCAAGCAAGAACTGATGGTCAACCCTTGTTCTGTACCCTGTTCAAACTGGCCGGTAAATAAGTGTCTGCGATGGCCAATATAGAATGGTTGACCTTACATGTCAATGGAAAAAGCTTATAATGCGACCCCGCTTACTCTGGCTTTAAATCCGCGTGTAGTCTATCGAAAAGAAGGAACACTAGCTTCTGAAAGGCGAAGAGCTTGTGGAAAGGCAAGACGGTGAGGATTCAGCATCCTAACGGGATGATAGACGCTGATGTAGATATTAAGAGAAGGCCTTATGAATTCATCAATGTCCGCATCGCATGGCTATTATGAAGAGAGAGTGATGCTAAATGCACAAAAGGATACATAGCGAATGGTAACATGGTACTGTTGGGTTTTAATTGAACTTTTGTCCTCCAATCTCGCATTGTAGATTTGGCCTCGCCCACATCACCGCTACTCAAAACTTATCGTGGCAAACGGGCAGTATTTTCTACCACTCTATTGAGTACTACAGCATCAGAAGCATCTTGTACCTTTGCATTAGTCACTTACTAGCATACGCATTCAAGAAATGAAGCTTGAATTATTTCTTAGCAAAGCTAGCTACCATTATCATGAAATTTTTCGTCCAAAGAGCTTACACCAGGTATGAAAGGCTTCTCTGGACATTTTGAAGATGTGGCTGTGACTATTACCAATACTCAGTTGTGTTTTCCAAGCGTCTCCAGATTCAATAGTTGCTTCGGCAATAGGTAGTTTTTGAGCCAGCAGTAATGACCCTTGTCGGTTAGCAGATGACCCTCCTCTTTGATGCAGGGATACAATTATTTTCGCAAACCGTTGGCACTCCTCTTCAAGCTTGTATACACTGGGTTTATCTTGTGAATGTATACACGTATTGAGACGGCTACTGTATATCATGCAAATGTAATATATAACAAGCGCGTCATAATACCTATCTCCATATGTTGGATCATGGATTGGTGTCCCGCTGGGTTGGATATAGGTGTGATACCAGTCTTGCAGAGACGTTCGAAGTTTGTGGGCTCGGGATGCAAGCTCCGTAATCACTTGAAGCGGCTGGTCGGGATTATGGCAAATCACGTCAGTAAACCTGTTGAATAGAGTGGGTATGGTGACAAAAATCAGCATTATGGAGATGACCATAGTACTTCTTTCCGGCACAAGAGGATCGTCCGTGATAATTGATAGAAGGACTGCCTTCCATGCTGGACGATCAAGGAAACAAGCCTCGTTATTGAGTATTGCTTCTGTTGCCTACTAAGATTCAGCCTCTGTTTTCTAGATATGTTTGAGGATAGCAACGATCTAATAATTACCATTGGCCCAACATAACCCAGGAAAAGACATTTCTCGAACTCGGATTGATAGTTCAGTGGACCTCGTAACTGTATTAAAGATGTAGCTCCCGCGGTATGCTTTTTCCATGCATCCCCTCGACTAGGGTTTAGAAGCTGACCAGAATGAAAAAAAAGAAACAGTTAACCAACATTTTCCAAAGTCTGCTGAAGACACACTTACTTCATAGAGGCCTAACATTTGCGTGGCGCAGAGGAGCTCAGCTGTAATACGCTGAGGTGTAGTGTCCATCGCGTCTTGTAGCTTTGAGAGCGCTCGTGAATAAGCAGAGAGAGCGTATAGCTCCCACCTTTGGTCGCCGGGCGTAAGAGAGCACCTAACGCGAGCCAAAACACAATCCGCAGCGCTTCTTATCAAGACGCTTTGCTGGTAATGCAAGGGTACATACTGAAAATATGACCAATTTCTTCCCGTGAAGAAATGCGCTATAGTTTGAGGGCTTTCAAGAAGCCTTTGTCCGGTATACCGGCCAACCCCAACGGAAGTTAATAAAGACAGATCTAGAAAATGTAGATTTGTTTTGGCGAGGACCGCTGAATATGTGGTAGCAGGGGTACGCAAATATGTTGTGTCTGGATGGATGTAGACACCGTCAGGCTTAGTTTGGGACGGTCGCTCTGCCACATGAAGTGCTTGTATTTGTTTGTACTCTGCTGCGCTTTCATGAAGGCCATTTCTTGGTATGAAAACAGGAAGCTGTCGGCTGTTGGGATGCCGATGTTTTGGTTCTGCTCTTCGCTTCTGAGCCACTTTCTGCATGATTTCGCGCCTTGTTTTAGCGCGATCGACGGGTGACGTAGTCGCTGGATTTATCCAAACGAGATTGTTAGACATTGTGAAAAGATGAGCATTTGTCCTAATACAATGGTAACCAGAAAAATGCGGAGTCTAGGATGTAGGAAGAGCAAGAATCCGTTTCAACAGCGCTATTGTAGGTAAGAGGGTAATAGTAATACGCCTGTAAGTAAGCACCATCGAAGTGGGGAAATGGTCAATATCGGAACGCACCGCATACTACGACATGCGGCGAGGAGGGGATTGGTAAGCCTGTTTTTAAGTTTTGGCATGCACCTTAAAAGCCATTTTGCGCCTTAGAAGATTGTGTACCTAAATAGACGCCAAAATAAAGTCTTAAATGTGATACTTCTTGTTCTTTCGGAGCCTAGAGAGTACTAGATGATTTATTTCAATATATATGAGAACACTATGTGGCTGAATAATTTTATCGGAATATGTGCATATGTCCAGTGCCTTGACCTAAGCACTTTCTTGCATGGGTTATCATATACATATAGCTTCATAATACCCATCACTGGCCATCGACATAATCGACGGGAGTCAAAAGGCCAGTCTTGATATCGTATACATAACCGAAACATTGATCAGCAATCCTCTTAGGCACATAAGGAGATGTCTTTAGTATATGAAGATCATCTCTGACGCTTTGCTCAACACTGTTCTATGAGTCAGCATAGTCCCTTGCGGTTAACAATATGTGCTTCTGTAGCGGATTACTCACTCGTCAAAAGCCCCAAACACCATATTGTCAATCTCCGAATGATCTGGCAAACGGCTTTTATGAGCTTTTCGAACTTCTGCTTCTTTGAACTGACTCGCACCACAGTCTATGCAGAGAGCATCAATTCAGCATATACTTCTTACTTCGATGTTAATGGACAATGTGTACCTGTATGATGAATCACAATTACACTCTTGAGACCAAGAAAAACGTCAAATAGCATTACTTGTTGCAAAGCGGGAGCAACACGGCCGGCAGGATTGCGCGATATAAGAACTTGATCTAAGATAACACACGCGTTAGATTACGGCACCTAGAAAGATGAGCGCTTTACGTGCCTTCGGGTTTGGTTTGCAAAAACTGATCCGGGTTGAGGCGAAAATCGACACAAGTAACTTTATAAGTCAGTCGTTGAGTTCTCCGCCATTTTAAACGGCTATGCTGTTTACTCACTGACAAGCGTGGTCTCAAAGACACGGCCGAGAGCCACCTGCTCGCCGATTGTAGGCGCAGGACTGTGAGTTTCAGAGTATTTCCTGTTTAGCAGACGTTAGAAATGGTGGTAGCAGACATTGAGATACCGTCAACTTGCTTGTTACGCTCAAGAAGTGTCTCGTGGAAAGATTGACACATGGTGTTGGAATGAGTTAAGTAACGTTGTCTGTGATTTTGATCTTTTTGAATGAAGGTAGAGATTTGTTGCAGGTTGTTGGCCATTATTTATATGCTAAAGAGTAACATATGTGCAGCTTGATTATATACAATGACGATTATCTATAGTGTGTAATCATTTACGGCGTTTTTTGGCTTCATTCTCATAACCTATCTTACCTTGGTGACTTTTCACAAATGGTTTTCGCCTTTCGCTCTCTTTTCCAGGGTACTTCTGCCTCACTTGGACTAGCATTTTCTCCTAGTATTTCAGTTGTTAACTGGCGTAGGCTTTTGTTAGCGCCTGAGAGATTTGTAACCTCCATCGTTCTAAACCAACTATGGAAATTGTACCCTGGTCAATTTAGCGTTCGTTGTGTATTACTAACCCATGGTTGCTGATCAGTTGCCCATTTATAGTAACCGTATGCTTGTACCTTTTTGCCTTGTGCAACTAAGAACAACAGTCGAGATTGCATAGACCAAGTTTCTCAAGCCATATTTTGCTTGTCAAGTTGCAAGCTAGTAGCCTGGATGCGGCTGCTCCGTCCAATCACCAAGGCCTTCTTAATACACCGACACTGTTCGGTCGTATTCAGTTGGTATGATTTGAAATCGAGCTTGTTTTTGTTATCCGGCCATTTTTCGCCCGGCGCATCGGAACAAGTACAAGTACTGCTATGCCACGTAAATGCCTACCTATGGATCGGGTCTCTCAAGTCAGTGCATTTTACTTAGCCCAAGCTCGTGAAAGCCTCCGCAAAGAGACAACCTTGCTCCAACTTTGATTCGGCCTCATTGTTCTTCACATAATTCCCTTTGTCTGAGTAGCGCGAAGTTATTGAGTGCAGTGGGTCTATACGTGCGACTCATATGGAAACAGGGAAGAACGTTTCTCTCTCCAGGTCTTGCCATGCCTGCATCAAGGCCAAGCGGCGCTGCAAAGCCGGAGTCCCAAAATGCGAGCGATGCGGCATCAAGGAGATAGAGTGCTTGTACGTCAATGAGCCACTGGTCTCCCACTTGTATGATGAGCAGCCTCTTGCAAATGACAGCCCTAATATCTACGAAACTTTACAAGACATCGGATTTCGAGATTCTCGTCAAACGATAACATCTCGTGATATGGAATTCTTCCACTTCACTCATTTAAACGCTCCTTTGCGTCTTATTCGAGAATGGTGCTATTCGAAAACTACATACGCTAGTCCAGCAGTATATGAACCTACTTTACCTCTTATAGAGTGGAGACAAGATCTTGCAACGGTATACTATCTTGCGGCTCATTTGAAAGCCTTCCCAATCACGTTCTCACGAGAAGCGAGAACTATTTTTATTCATTCCACTTTGTATAGCCGGTGGTTGCCGAAGCATATCAAGAATGCATACGCCATTTGTCGAGCATATTCGTTATCATTAGAAAATGGCACAGACTTTTACTTCGGGGCTCTGCATCAAAAACTTGACGAATTGATCAAGGAGTATCCGACAATAGTCTCATTCAGCGACTTGCTAGCTTCTCTCCAAGCCTTATTACTCTATTTGCTTATTAGCATTTTTCACAAGGACCCCCGTCAGAGGAGGTTTGCAGAGACACATATCGCCACTCTCAATCAGTGGACACGCCGTGTGTGGGAGCAAGCTCCAAACGAAATATCGCAACGACTAAGTGCTTGGGAAGCTTGGGCTTATGCAGAAAGCGTTCGTCGCAGTATCATAATCTCATATATGGTTCGAGGGGTCTACCAAATCGCAAAGTTCGGCTTCCACTCGCATTCAATGTTTGTTGAAACCCTGCCATTTGATCGACATACATGGCTATGGGACGCGGCATCTGCCAAAGCGTGGTCTTCACTACCGAGAGATCCTTTGCAGCCAATAATTTCCTATCGTGAATACGTCACAGATTTTGCAAATGAGCGAATAAAGCCAACTAGCTTATTTGAATTGCTACTCCTAGTTGTACGATATGGGAAAGAACAAATCTATCATCGGATTTGTAATGGCTAATATATGGAGCGGAAAAAACCGTCAAATTATACTACTATAGGAGAGTCATGGCCATTGTTACCGGCCCTTTCGTGTCCGTGGGGCTAGCATACCACGTCAGCCTAATTAGACATGCAGAAAACTGTTGACGGTGTCAATAGAGAATGATTTTGAAGCACTGTGTTTGACTAGTAATGCGGATTAGCGAACAAAACGAATCCTAAGCTGTGACCAACTTTACATGATACACAGTGATCACTTGAACACAAGCCTCCACTGACGGCACGTTATCTTTAAACGCCACTGACTCCATTGCTGTACGATGCGTTGCTACATCCAACCACCCAATCATGGCGACATAGAGCTTCTCACTTTCTCCTTCTCTTACGTCTCCCGGAATCTCATTTATACCAATATCCTTGGCAACGCCAGTACATCCCTGAGCCTTCTTGATCACAGATGAAAAATTGTCAAATGTGTCAATAAAGCTCGAGTTGTAAGAAGAGAATATCGCAATCTCTGTCAATACGTTGTTGAATATTTGTGGGTACATCTGTGGAGCAATAGGTACATATATCATTCGAGGAGCGCCCAAGATGATGAGATCAAGATTCGTTTGAAAGGCTGTAAGACCTGCAGATTGTTTGAACTTGACACAATGCTGAGTTGAGATCCAGTCTATTCCAACCAATCTTCAGAAACATGTTCATTCTGGTCATGCTGTAACTTGAACCGCTTACCGATTAATAGGTACACTTTGTTTTGGGATTCAATTGTCTGGCCCCAATGAACTGCTCGCACACCGTTTTGCCGCTTTAGTGTTGAGAGTGCACCATTCCATGCGCTGCTAGTGAGGAGTGAATGAGGGTTATTGGTGATGGTAGGCTGTGCGTCGAAGATGATGATCTCCATGATTTGGGAAGCCATGATAAAAGAAATTGTACTCAAATCACCTAAGTTGAGTTCCCACACGTTTTTTCAACTCAAAGAATGAAATGATAGTAGCAAACCAATGTTATATCTAGAAAGGCACTGCCATGAAATATTGTTTCCGCTCAGCTATGCCAACATAGATCATTCCGGGCCCCAATCCGCGACGCCGGAGTGATAACTCCGCCTCTCGCTCGCGTGGACATTACTGGCCACCGGGAGGCCGTAGCCATATAATAATTACAAACTAATACCCATAATAAGTAATACGATATAGATTTCTTGGTTTAGTTATTCGACCCTACGTGCTGAGAATGCCGAATTGTAGCTGCCGTCTAATACCTGGTGACTGGTGTTTCCCTTTTTGTGCGCCCGGTATCTCGGCATGCTAAATTTCCTTAGTGGCGTATCAGGCTGTACTAGATATAGTCTATTGAAAATCTACCTGGTAAAAACCGAGGTCGAAAGATTTAGTGGCATCCGCACGACTGCGCGAGAAGCCTAAGGGTTAGAAATCTGATGCACCCGGAGTACGGATCCCGGATCCCGAACGAATATCATCCATGATCGCCGTCCTAGGTCTCTAGATGTCTCACGAAAATAGTCGGGACCAGATGTCCGTTCTAATAAGCGGCAGCCCAATTCCTCTTGTTCCTGGTACTTGACCAGGTCTCAAAAGCCGATTTGATGGCTGGTAAACAGGTGGCGGAACCCGGCTGTCTCACTCCGCTGAACCACGGGCTCGAAAAAGATATAACATAAAGGCGCTATGGAATGCTGCTGTTATCGACCCACCTCCAATTAAGATACTAGACATTTACAACATGTCGAATGGTGGAATTAATGCCGAAGGCAACTTCAATCATGGCAATGCCATCGCTGGACCTGGAGCAAAAAGAGTGATGCCCTTATTTTCCCTGCGAGGGAAGACGGCTATTGTGACTGGTGCCGGAGCAGGAATAGGACTTGCTGTTGCACAGTCATTTGCGGAAGCTGGTGCGAATGTCGCTATATGGTACAATAGTAACAATATGGCTGTTGAGCGAGCAGCAGAGATGGAGCGTGACTATGGGGTGAAATGTAAGTGACAAACACAGAATCATCGTGAGTCAGCTATGCCTAACGAACTTCAAGGTAGAGCCTACAAAGTCAATACAACATCGTATGAGGAGGTACAGAAGGCAACAGACGAGGTTGTAGAAGAATTTGGGGGCCGCTTGGATGTCTTCGTCGCCAACTCAGGCATCCCTTGGACTCAAGGTCCCGCTCTCGAAGGAGATATCTCGCACTATCACAACGTGGTCAATATCGACCTCGATGGAACTTTCTATTGCGCGCGAGCTGCTGGAAAACACTTTCGTCGCCAAGGACTGGAGGGCACAGATGCAAACGGGAAGCCACTAGATCAAAGCTACAGCTGCGGATCTTTTATTGCCACCGCAAGCATCAGTGGCCATATAGTCAACATTCCACAACTGCAAGCCGCGTATAATGCAGCGAAAGCTGGCGTGATTCAGCTTTGCAAATCTCTTGCTATTGAATGGGTTCGATTTGCGAGAGTCAATTCTGTATCGCCTGGCTACATCGCAACCGAGATATCCAACTTTATTCCCCAGGAGATGAGAATTATCTGGAAGAATAAAATCCCCATGGGGTAAGTAATGCCCGAGAAAAAGCGGTGGTTTGTCAAATTGTGCTAACACGAAAGTCTAGTCGAGAGGCCCATGCAAATGAACTGAAGGGTGTTTTCTTATTTTTAGCTTCTGATGCTTCGTCGTACATTACCGGCGCCGATCTCGTTGTTGATGGGGGATATACTCTAGTCTAAATTTGCCAGAAAGAGAAGCTTACAGTGATCACATCTTTATGCATATATCACATCTTCTTTTAGCCAATTGGGAGTGTTTAGTTGAGAAATAGTACGTTATACGCAATGTCAAATTGAAGGTAAGTGAACTTGCTAGAAGCATTCATCGCGAGCTTTTGTATGTATATGTAATTAGACGAGGAAAACAAGTACATGATATACATAAAAAAAAAAGATCTATAGCATGCTATAATGACTCTGCGTTGGCAAAGATGAAAATGCCTAATCGCATTGTAGCCTCAAAGAGCAAAGTGATGGGGGTTTAGATGATGGCAAATATAGAGCCTATTTAAGGGTGGCACAGTTCTTACAACAATTGTATTCTTATAAGTTAACACAGTTGATCTAGTACTGTCAATGCGGTATCTTTTCAATGAGAAACGAAAACTAAACAACTCCCTCAATTAAAACTTTGATGACATTCTCATTTCTTTCTCGCACCAATTGAAAAGCATCCTTTGTGTCTTCGAACTTGAATCGGTTTGTGATCAATGGTCTCACGTCAATCTTGCCGCTAGCGACTAGATCAACGGCAGTTGGATAGCAGCCTGTCGTATAGCGAATGGAGCCACGGATCGTGAGATCGCGAATGCATGCGACAGTGATTGGAAACTCCACGATCTAAGACTACGTTAGTCGAGGTTCATCTTGAGGTGATACTGCGCATGAACTAAGAGTCCTTACATCCTGGCCCATGCCTGCTTGAACATAGGTGCCCCCTTTCTTGGTCAAATGAACCCCAGTTGAGATGCAGCTTGCAGCACCCGTAGCCTCGATCACAACATCTGGACCATCACCAAGATCGAACTGCTCCTTGATCATTCTGGCCAGCTCTTCATTCCACTCATTGTCGGTCTTAGCAGTAGTTGGCTTCTTGGGAGGCAAGAAAACACCATCGGCGCCGTAGCTTTTTGCAAAATCCAGTCTCCCCTGGCTGATATCAACTCCAATCACCTTCTTTGCGCCGTAAACCTTGGAGACCTTCTGACAGAGGACGCCGATGGGCCCACAGCCGAAGACGACTACGGTTTGGTTGGCTCGCACATTGCCTACTTTAGTCATTTGTACAGCACAAGCTACCGGTTCCACTAGAGCTCCTTGCTCCATGTCCATATGATCTGGAAGAGGAACACAATAGTCAGCCGCGACTATGTAATACTTGGCGAGCGTACCATCCCATGGTGGGGTAGCAGCAAAGACAGTGTCGGGGCACAAATTGTAGGATCCAGAGCGGCAATAGTTACAGCTGTATACGCAGATTAATATGGAATCACTGCGGCTGTTGAGCGCGAATAAACTCACTGTCGACATGGTACACCGGGCTCGATCGCGACACGGGTCCCAACTTTGAGATTTTTCACAGCAGAACCCACTTCCACAACAGTGCCTGAGCTCTCATGACCCAAAATTATGGGCGTAGTTAGGACAAAATCTAGCCCAAACATCAGCACAGCTTATAGATCCCAGATTCTCGATGCTTTTCCAATCTTCGATAGGCAACTCACCTCCGATTCTTCCCTTGTCATAATAGTGCAGATCCGAGCCGCAAATCCCGGTTTGAGCAATGTGAACTCGGACATCCCAAGCATCCCTCAGTTTAGGAATCGGCCGCTGCTCGAAGCCTGCGTCTCCAATAGCTCTTAGCACAAAGGCCGGATTCTCTTCCTGTAATGACTCAGATGGAAAGCTCGATAAATATTAGGCTGTTGAAAGTCTCACAGTAGCGTCTGTCATTTTGAAGCGTCAGAGAACTTGTTAGTAGCAAAGACCGTTGGCTATCTCAGTCTTTGGCAAGAGCAATAGAGCTTGGTGTTTACGGAATTTATGATAGTTTGGTCTCGTTGCATTTCAGTTATTTTTTACCACTAGTTATATTAAATATTTGATTCAAGTGATTGCAGTCAACATTGATCGGCCAGCACCGCATGGATCTCCTCACGCGGGGCTTTGTGGTCCGGCTGACTAGCAGATCGCGGGTTACAAAACTCCGAATTCTCGGACGAAGTAGTCCGATACCACAACTTATCTTTCTCTGATTATGTCCGCTACGACTTTAGCTTAGGAAGCTGGCTTTCGGGGGCCATCTGCCGACTTATTTGTAAATGAATGCCTTTACAGAAATGTCCGTTTAGAATCGTTGAAATATATTTTGTTAATCCATTCATCCCGTAAAATTTCACCGTCCGAGTAATTCTCTGGTAGCTGCAAAAGCAAAGGGTCAGAGTATCTGAGAAGTAAGCGTTGCAAAGCAAATTTCAAAGGGCAACGCAAAAGCATTTTCACTTGATCAAAATGAGTTCATCTGAATCCACTTTTCAGAAAGAGGCATCACATCCAAAGCTGTCGGATAGTGTTATGAAAATGTTCGACATGACTGGTAAAGTCGTCATTGTCACTGGTGGCTCGGGGGGGATTGGATACGAAGCAGCTCGAGCACTTGCAGAAGCCGGCGCCAATGTTGGTTTGCACAGCGTTTTTTTTTTTTTTCATTACTATCACGATTTGTTGGATCTGACTACGTGTCCAGGTTGCTCTTTGGTACAGTCGCGCTACAAATACCGACGATCTTGCGGCCACGATTGAGGCAGATTTTGGTGTCAAAGCCAAGGCTTACAAATGCTCTGTCGAGAATATCGAAGAAGTTCAAGAACAAACTGCCGCTGTTGTGCATGACTTTGGCCGACTTGATGTGATGATTGCAAATGCAGGCATCTCTCGCCCAGCAGGTACGTACACTTCTCACGCATCTCTACGCTTTTCTTAACAGGTCTTTCAGGTGGTATAGACGACCCCATTGAGAACTGGGAAAAGGTGCTTGCTGTAAATTTAGACGGAGCTTACTACTGTGCTAAGTTTGCAGGAGAAATTTTCCGAAGGCAAGGATCCGGCAGCCTCATCTTCACAGCATCTATGTCTGGGCATATAGCAAACGTTCCACAGCGTCAGGTAGGCCCAGCTACTATATCCGCTCCAGTAATTCGTGCTTCAGGAGCTCTAACAAGCGTACTTAGGCCTGTTATAATGCGTCTAAAGCTGCTGTGATCCATCTTGCCAAATGCCTGGCAGTGGAATGGGCAGACTTTGCACGTGTTAATGCAATTTCACCGGGCTATATCAAGACTCCGATATCTGCTGGTGTCCCAAGAGAGTGGAAAGATGAATGGTTAAACCTCACGCCAATGAGACGCGAGGGAGATGCGAAAGAGCTGAAGGGTATATTCCTTTACCTTGCAAGTGATGCTAGCACTTTTACCACTGGAGCAGATATTGTGGTAGATGGAGGATATTGCTGTCGGTAAATGTTTATACAGTGAGATTGGGCTAGAACTCTTTTCATTCTGGGTAAAATTTGCTATAAAGATGTGAGGTCGTGATTGGGTTTCATTTAGTAGATAGACGCTCTGCATATGCATCTGGGCAAGGCTGAGGGCTAGATTGGTTGATGGTAAATGCCAATCATTTATTAAGACAAGGAAGATCCTGACGTCTGTCTGAACATAGTACAATTATCTTTTGCCTGCTGGTGCGGTGAGAACGACAACTCAACTCTAGTCAATCAGCTAGCTTTTGCACAATATCTGTGGCGAAGTTCTAGGCCAAAGTTCTATTCATACGCGGACATTCGATTCATAAAATCCGTGATAGTTGATTCTTGCCTAAAGTTCATGCAAGTTAGGAAAATCTTTTGTCTCGGATGGATTCCGAGTCTGGAAGCTATGCTAAGCGACTTACAATTCGTTAATATGATCAGATGGGGCAAAATCCGATCCAAGTTCTGGCCACATCATCGGATATAGACTGGTCAATTGATCTTGCCATGACTCTTGTGTCGGCCCGTTTATTTCTTCTTCATTTGAGATATATGGCTGGGCCAAAGATGTTACGATACGAAGACAGCGACTCGCTGTAGGATTCAGCCGCATCATGGATTCTAAAATCCTTGTGGATTCATGAACCTGGTCACGCCATGCTCCAGCCAGATCTGATTGCGGATTATTACGCAAACAAACGATGGGAATAAGGACAGCTTGAAACAAAAAGTACAACCCATACCAGGAAACCATCATGGTCTGGGAATTGTTGAACCAGAATCTGGAGATGAGTTCGATCGACTCGCTTGCTGCATCTAGGCAGCGTTGAAACGCGATGTCAATATTGGCTAGGTCTTCTGAGCCATCTTGGTCTTGTACCCACTCCGAACCTGACATGGCTCGTTTGAGAAGAAATGGACGGTACGCCAGTATGCGCAAGTTACGATACCGCCATTGAAGCGTTGCATGGCTGAAGGCATATCTGGGCGGTTGGGTGGCGGACGGCTGAAAGTAATGGGGTAGTGAACCTAGCCACGATTCAATTGATGTATCATCCAGCTCAACCATTTCCTTTGCTGATGGAAAAGAATCTGATATCATTCGCTCGTATATATTGTAAGTAGCCATATGAAAAGAGCATTGAGCTGTCAGGTGTGAGTATAGCGTAGTGGTATCTGCTGGAGGTGGTCTTTGTGTTGTAGCCGTTGTGAGATCCTATATGTTTAGTTAGCTGCGTGCCTTTTCCGGAAGACGTAGCGGCACTCACGGCATCGTGAACATTTATTGGAAGCTCGACGTCGACCCCGCTTTGTGGAAAATCGAACGGCCTGGAGAAAGTTATGATGCTTCCCACATCAAATGCATACAGACACCACCAAACTCTACGCCTCATTTCTATAACCAGTGGTTTGAGTCGCCAGGCCGAGAGTTCCTTATGAAGGCCAATTCCCATAGCGTTACGTCGTGCCAACCCGTAGTAATTATAACTCGAGTTTGGCTTGTTTCCCATTTGTGCATAGTTCGCCATTAGTGTCAAAGCCTGAACTAGAACCAGATTGCCTGTTTCCAATAAGTCGAATGAGAATCTTGCTTTTGCTGCCTCAAACAGTGCCGTGTGGGCATCCGTCCGCTGCGTCGCAGTAGACCATGCTCCTAGAGCAGCCACAACATATAGCAAGACTTGCCAAGCATTTCCGCTGGGCCGCGGTATAATCTCCATGAACTGAGCTCGAAATGTAGCCTCGTGTATTATGGGGTATGAGCGATGGTAGAGTGCAAAGTAATCGTCGATATAGCCGTCCAAAGCAGATAGGGAGGTCATGGCGAATGGAACTGTGGATGCTCTTGGGCTTGATGTCCCAGAACGATGGCCATTGTGGCCTACGGTGATGCGCAATAGTGCAGCTCCCGAAGCAACGCCTTGAATACGTCAGTATCTGTTCGTACTTGGAATAAATCGGGTGCAGGAGAAAAGGGCTATACCAAGGTAACCACTGCCATCTGTGTCGCTGGTCAAACTTGCCATCCCATCAATAAACTTATGTCCGCCGGGCTGGTCATTTCTTTCATCCCATTCAAAATCTCCTGATGCTGGCGGCCTTTCCAATGAAGTCATAATGTTTCTATTAGATTGCGATACTTGATCTGTACACGGTGTATGCGGGTTGGGATGGTTGAGGCTTGCTGAATGCGCGGTGACCGTGCCGTATCTTGTCTCGGGTAGGTCTGCATCTCTGGAGTGCAGTAGGACGAAATCTTCTTGAAGAAGTAAACTTGTCTGAGTGATAACTGCCTCAGTCTCATTGTGTTCCCGATACTCAGTTGATTGAGAGGGAGGTGTAGATGGCGTTACGGCCTCTCTATCGACTGTATTGGCTTTGTAGAGTGGCGTGGAGGATTCATTTATCTCACTACGCTTTTTCTGTGACTGAAGCTCCTTTAGCAAAGCATTTGCCCTGGATAGTTCTTCCTCAACTTGTGTTAGATGCCTATGATCGAATTAGTAAAGTACTCTATTGTAGGTGAAAAGACCGACATAGCACACCTCCTCGTTAATGGCGTCCTACCCGGCCTTTCGTAACTACATATCCTACGGTATTTCTGACACGTAGAACAACGAGGAAGCAACCTATCACACTTCAGATGTGCAACACTAGTCATTAGGCTGCTCAAATGTGCTCGGAATACGAATCTTTACCTTGGATTTCTTTCGGCTGCATTCTTGACAAGCTCTCCGAGCAAGACTTCCGCGTTGCTCGCGCCGGTCTGTCTGGCCCGGCTGCATCTTTAGCAGATTTCACAGGATTTCGTCGCAATTCGATGGCTATGCGCAAAGTTAACAGGCAACGTGGGATATGTTTACAGCTCGGGCGTTATTTCCCGCTCATGGTGCACATTGTTGGCTGGAACGGAATCCGATGTCCGGCCGCCGCTCCACAGCCACAAGCCACTGTGTGCGCTTGCTGCCGTACTGTAAGTCCATGCCTTTTAACATGAAGAGGTTGCAAAGGTCATTCATTAGGTACCGTAGAAAATTAGAGGTATGCTGCTTCCTCACACTGGCTTAGCTAAAATTTGTAAGTTCTGCATTGGAATATATCGATTAATCTGCTATGTGATGATTAAATAATCTGAAACTTTTTCTGGCATGTTGGTTCATCTTAAGCGGTGCGTTTGAAACTTGCCAGTGCCAGAGCGTACGCAAGCTGTATCGCCGCGAGCCAACTTCGAGGCTTCCACAAGTCTAGACCAGCGCCCAGCCGGGCTACCCGCACCATAATCTGCGGCGAAAAATCTGGTGGTAGTTTCTGTGAAATCGCCATTCCCTTGTCCCGATTTTGCTTCGCTTTTTCCCGGTTTGCCGAGCTAAGTAAAGTCACCAGCTCTCTCAAGGTTGGTTCGGTGCAGTAGGCCGGTTGCCCAGGCTGTTGTCGCCATGAATCTTCCAGATGACCCGCGTTAAATGCGTCGAACCCTATTGCTTCCAACAATTCCATCACAACTGTCACAGATTTGCCGTCATCTCCTGAGACCGGGAGTGCTACTCTCTTAGGCGACCCTTTTGGTCTCGCACAAGAAGCAATGTTGAGTGCAATGATATTATTCAAAGCTTTCACAACAGGGAACGAAAGAGCATTCGACATCCACACACTCTCTGTCATACCCTCATCCAACTGTTGAATATTTCCATCACGCGAAGGATAATAATTGCAGGCATCAATTAGGATCATGCCAGGGCGCATATATGATTGTAAAACCGGCTGTAAAGGGAGAATGCCACTCATTGGCACCGCCAAGAGTACAATATCCGCTTCAGATACTGCTCGCTCGATGCCCAGTGCTTTAGCACCTGTTATCTTCTCTACTTCATAGAGACTTTCCGGACCTCTCGAGTTGCTGATGCTGACCGAATAACCGGCATGAACAAGTTGTGTTGCTAAGGCTGTGCCGACCACACCAGCGCCTATGATGGCGATCTGGCGTGGCATAGTGGTTGCTTGGGATTGGGCAGTGGTCACCATGTTTTATCGGAAGAGGTGGAATATGATGAAATGAGGGGCTCCTTTAGTGTATACGGGTTAGATGGTAAATAGAAAATTGAATGGGAAATAAAGGGTTTTGTCGAATATATATATATACCTGGACAAAAAGTCCAGTTGACCCCTTGGCGAAATTTATGTATAACTATAAAGCTACATCATTTTCCTCCGCCAGATTCTCCGCAGCCCCCCCTATGTGATTTGACATATTCTCCGCAAGAGTGTTACTAAAAGCCTTATCTTGGAACTTTTGCAAGGTATCCTTGTCATATATTCCTATAGTTCAATTAAACTTTTGTCGTGTAATATGTCGTCGAGAAAATTTCCCACTTTTATAATCAAGTCTTCCCTTAGCTGATCAGCTTCATTCTCCAAACAAGCCAGTCGGAAATGCCTCTCAATAGCCAACATTTCATGTAATACATGTAAAGCCGAAGTCGCTTCCTCTTTTTGGAATTTGCCGCATGCAGCTGGTTTGTCTTTATTGTCATTGATTTGGCCAGAGAGGACACCTCCATCATTCAATTCGATCCAAGCAAGCCGTCTTTTTGCATCTAGGATAATTTTATCGCGATATATTTCGTCCTCATGCCATAGTATCTCTTTCAGAAGTAGTTCGGTGGCCAGAGATCTGATTTCCCCAACATCAATTCTCAGAAGTTGTGAAGGCTGTGGTCGTCTAGACAGAAATGTGTCCCAAAGCTGGGCATACCCTTCGATGTTTATGTGACTTCGTTTTAAAGTCCAAATTCCTGTGACAAAGATATCTGGAACAAGACACGCCTGGCGCTGTAAACGCACTATGCATGAATCATGAAGCTCCTTTCTATAAAATTCAGAGCTAACATGTCCTGTTAACTGATCTAGTATCTTCGAATTGTATAGTCGAATCAAGTTGAGCTGATATGCATTTTGTCTGAACATCAGATAGGCAAATCTTTTCAGTGGATGCTCAGCTTGAAGTTTTTGCTGAGCAACAGAATACAAATGCCTAACAAAAATACCTAGGAGCTGGTTTTGTCCGGCCATGGTCAACTCGTATATTATATCAACGAGGTTCCATGCAAGATCAATGTAAGAATGTTGAATCGCATCCTCCAGTTGGAGAAATACCTTGCGAATCGCTAAACCAGCAAGAGAACCGTAGTCTAGAGAGAAAAGTTCCATTGCAAGTGTAAATGTCTGGTACATTTCTATGCTTGAAGAACATGTGCTGGTTTTTATTTCGCCCATATCAACGACACCATAGACCCAGCTGGAGATGGTTGTTAAAACTTGCTGAAGTTCTCTTTCCGGTGTGTGAGCATTTGGTCCCAAAACAATTCTCGGACGTGAGATATCTCGCCGTTGAGATTGTTGCATAGTTCCCATGGCATGGATCTTCTGCCGTGAGAGCAAGTATTGACGTCGCACTTGTTCTTTCTGACTCCGAGTTTCCGCGCTGGTCGCTTCGCGCTGGGCTCTCTTTGCAAGCCCCCATTTTCTAAATTGCTTTTTGTACATTTGCCTCCTTCGGGTGGAATTAGTATTATGATTTGAAATAACTCCCTTCTTTACATACGTAGCCTTAAATCCATATGTAAACTCCATATGTGTCATGATTTCGCGTAGTTTAAAGCCCTGTATCTGATACATACTCCAGACATGAGGGTAAATGGTGGCCCATTCCGGTGAAGTCCGCTCTGGTCTCTTATGTTGATCCATACTTTTCATGAAAACTTTTGTAGTAGATGATTGGGTGCTTCGTGGCAACAAATCGCGATAAGGTTGAGGGGTTGGCAGTCCCGAATCCATAGTGACGGAGGAGCCGACGCAGAGATTGGCCAGACAGATAAGGTGCCGAGTATTTCTTAATGTAACAGCTTCTTGATCAAAGAGTCATTGAGAGCCTTAAATCAGTCACGGATATCGTTAGGTACCGCCTGGCAAAGAAGTCAAGTCGATGATGCAGAAAGCGTGCGGAATTGGTTCCCCAATAATACTGCTGATGCGGACCTGGGAGAATTCCCAGAGGTGTTGCTAGTGGAGATTACAACTAGTGCTGGGGTCTGGGATATCGCAGCCAATCGGAACGACAGAAACAGGAACCATGTCTAGTGGGTCGGTCATGTCAGCAAGCGAGGCATACAGTAGTGGAACGGACTTTGACTTTGTACACAAGGTACTCGGCTGTTTAAATGACAATATCTATAAGTTTCAAGAAGACAATACGTTGATGATAATACACAATTTATATTATTGCGGAGATACTAGTCAGTTTTTGGTGATTGAGCCTGAGTTATTATCCAAGTATTTTGTTACATCGATTTATCTATCATGTATATAAAGGTAAGAGAGGTGCCGTCATGCTGCCAGTTTTTTGTTTCCGTTGTAACAGTACGTTGCTCAAGTCAGTTTGTACGCAGAGCGAGGCTATCAAACTTATACAGCTTGTTTGAAACCAACTTGGATCAACTGACTAGTACAAATTACAAATTCGACAGCGACGATGGCTAGTTATCAACTTGGTCGAAAACAACCTAAACTACGACCGTGTTTTATCCACTAACTGTCTGTAAAAGCAAGCTGAAGAGGAGGAGCTATCACTGCAAGTTAATGACAAGCGAAGGGAGTTTCAAGAGTGCTTTGGCTGTGAAGTGCACTTCCAGTTCAGCTAGATCTATGGAAAACTTTACTATTACAGACTTCGTTGGATCTAATCATCGTTGTATGCATGGGATAGGATGTATACACATAATAACTGAAGGTCTCCCAACAAATTATATTAGTGATCTCGTAGCGACACTGCCCCAATGGTCCACCTACTCAGCTGCACTAATCTATACTTGGAAAGCGCCACTCTTGGCAACGTGCTTCAAGTTACGGGTATAGCTGTCATGATGCTAAGTCCGTAGCTGTAATCGCGGAAAATATAAAGCTTGTATACAGTAATAATCCTCTGAGACCAGTCAACTGCAACGTCAACTGAAAACTCCAAATGCATTTCGTTATCGTTGAACGCCCGGATTTGGGCGGCGCAACAGGGTTAGACACCCAAGGCAGGTCGTATGCTGCCAAAGTCACGCATAGTAGATCAAGACGACGGCGAGTGCTTCAGTATCGGCAAGAAAAATTACGGAGACAGGCTAAAGGAGTTCAACCTGTTCAAGGGCTTCGACAAGTTCAACAAAGTGTCGATCAGCCCAGTCCTCACAACATATTATCTTCCGCCCGGAGGGATCCTTTTTCTGCAAGCACATTCGTAGCCCCAATCAACTCCTACGAGGCCGGTCTCTTTGATTACTGTAAGAAACTTACCGGCAATCTTTGTATTTTTGGGTAGACTAAGACAAGTTCTCGCGGCTAATATGCACTAGTTGTCCATGTAGTGGTTCCAGGCGGCAAAAGCCACTGTGAGCATTTTACAGACAATCCCATATACCGAGATGGCATGAGAAGAGAGTTTTTGCCTCTTGTTCTGACCAATATTGGATTACTGAGTGGAGCTTTGCTTGCGACATGTCAAAGTCTTTTTATCCAGTCGCGGAATCCAGTATACGAACAGCTAGCCATTCAGTATAAGGTAGTCTGTCTGGGCCACATGAACCATGCAATACCATGCGAGGCCAACTTCATAGGGGATGCTACCGTGATCCAGGCTCTACTTCTGGCCTCTGATGATGTGAGTTGCAGTCATAATTGATATGCTTAGGCTCCGCTCATTATAGACACAGTACGCTGCTGGCGACAGGACTACTGCACAGCTTCACTATAACGCAGCATTGCAGATAGTGCAGCTTCGGGGAGGGAGTCAAGTTTTAGGCTTGAATGGCTTCCTTTGGAAACTAATCGATATTTTTCCGTGTTGCAAGGATATACAGGAGCGAGCTAGAACTGAGTTATAGTCTCAATCCAGCTAGAGATGTTCCTGGCCCGTGATTGAAAGTGTGAAACATTCACTTTAAGACCTTGGTATCATGAGGTGGAGCATTCTAGAATAGGCAATTTCCTATTTTAGAAAGAATTTACAACCCGAGTTCCAGAGGTGAAACTAAACAGTCCATATAAACATACCTATAGCTATTTAAGTAGTGGTAGTGCTCCTTTCAAAAAGAAATCTCCAACACTAACAAAGCAATTATACAAAATTTGTGTCCCTATAACAACTCCCACTTTAAACATGACTTCTGGTCCAACTCCAGCCTTTCCACCAGGCTCCTGGATTCTTGTTACCGGCGTGACTGGCCATATTGCCTCTCACGTAACCTTACAGCTCCTGCAGCGTGGTTACAAAGTTCGAGGCACCGTCCGGGATCTCATTTCCGCCTCCTGGCTGGTTGATGATCTATTCAAAAGTGCCGCCGTGTCCGGGAACTTTGAACTAACTCTGGTGTCAGATTTCGGCAATCCAGATGCCTTCAAAGACGCCATAAAGGGAGTCTCCGCTATTGCACATATAGCCACTCCGAATAATTTCGACCCGGACCCGTCGAAAGTTATCCCGGTAACGGTTGGAGCTGCAACGTCTATATTGAAAGCTGCTGCTTCTGAGCCTTCCGTCAAGCGGTTTGTTTACACTAGCTCAGTTGCGGCGGCTGCGACGCAGAGGCCCGGCAACCATACACATGTCGGACGAGATACGTGGAACGACTGGGCGATCGAGATTGCCAATGCCCCACCACCTTATGAAGCTTCTCGGGGGCCAGCTGTCTATAGCGCAGCTAAGGCTAAAGCAGAGAAGGCGGTATGGAATTACTTTGAAGAAGAGAAGCCGCCATTTGCTATCAATGTTGTAAGCCCGTTCGCTACGATTGGGCCGGTGTTGCATCCCAGTCAGCCTGGCGCTACGTCTTTGTGGATCAAGGAACTATTAAATGGAGACTTATCATCTACGAATATAGTCCCCAACTGTAAGTTTGATAGTCCTTCTTTCATGTCTAAGGTTATGGAAAGGTATTAATTGTCTATTTGTTACTGGCTAGTCTACACCGTCCATGTACACGATGTGGCTTTGTTGCACATCGCAGCCTTGCTAGATGCGGAGGTTAACGGACGTCGTTTGCAGGCTTGGGCAGAGCCAGCGAACTGGAATGACTTGCTGAGAACTTTGCGGAAGCTCTGTCCCAACAATACCAGTATAGCCTCTGATATCCCAAACGAAACAAATATTGAGTTAACGACAGACACGACCAAATGTATCAACTTGTTGAAGAAATGGGGCGACCAGAACGGATTTAGAACAACTGAGGAGGCTGTAAAAGATACACTGGCTCACTGGAAATTGGTCTGATACCTACAGTTTATAAAGATGCTAGGCGTAATGACATAATTACATCCGAGTGGCTGCGGAGACTAAAGCCTCATGGGTAATTATTGCTCAACTAACATGACACTACTCCGGTGGGATATGTTACAAAAATAGCAATAAAAACGTTCTCAATACAACCTGGGCCTACATTATGATTGTGTAACTGCTTGTATCGGAAAAGTGGCTAACAATCATGTGATAATTTTACAGTTTGATTCGTGAAACATGTATCTCTCAGAATCATACTAGGCTACATGCATCTCTCATTGCCGTCCGATAGACTATAAAATTAGCAACCTATATAATAGATATGCCGCGACATTCACTCCTAGGTCAGTTCAAGTCGATTCGCTTTGCAAAGTCAACTGTCCTTTTAAGCATACCCGATCTGAACCATGGATACTTGCATTCCTGAGACAACTATCGCAGGGTTCACGGTAGTTGACACTCCTATTGTTCAAGCTGCTCAAAAGTATGCTCGCGCACACCTAAACGATATGGGTTTTAATCATGTAATGCGTTCATGGATACTGGGGGTTGTCGTTTACAACAAGCTTCGTGAGAAGGGCGCTGTGTCAGAAATTGATCCGGAGGTTCATGCGCTGAGCGCTATTCTTCATGACCTTGGCTGGGATGCAACAGGTGAACTTATTTCCAAGGACAAAAGGTTCGAAGTTGATGGTGCAGAAGCTGCTTGTGATTGGATCATGGAAGAACAGCAAAGTGGAAGTGCGGAACACTGGGACGATTATAGGCTTCGGCTGGTGTGGGATGCTATTGCTCTGCATACTACTCCCTCGATAGCTCTGTATAAAGAACAGGTGATTAAGATCTGTACTCTTGGGATTTCCGCAGGATTTCGAGGCCCGAGATTCAACAAGGCTGGCACGATTTCTGAGGAAGTATTCGATGCGGTCAATGCACAGTTCCCTCGCCTGGATTTAGCTGACGGAATTCGCGAAATCATATGCGGCTTTTGTCAAACCAAACCGGAAACTACATATGGTGTGTACACTGTTTGATGCATTGACGCATTTCTTGGCTAACACTAGGTATACAGATAACTTTCAGATGGAGTTTGGCAGGAGGTATCTTACAGGTTATGAAACAGAAGGTTCGCTTATGTGTGACATTATCCAGGCAACTGCTAAATGACCAGCATTACAGTAGTAGAGAGCTCGGACTAAATATTATGTCTGCGCAGGTTGGCTGAAGTCTGCAGGGCTCAATTAAATTGATAACTTGATCATCATTATAGTTAGCCAGCTGTGCATCTTCTAATAACCGTCCGACGCCATCGACGGCGTTTCGAATCGGTCGTCAGGTAGCCGTCAGATGGGAGGCATCATCCAAATCCCGTGAGGAATGTCGCGATAAATGTCTATCCTTGTAGATACTCTATACTGCTCCTGGATGATACGCTCATTTCATCCATGCGATCGTGAAAATATGTTTGACGTCGGCGGTGAAAGATTACTCTGGCGCAAGGCATTAGGATATTACAACACAAGTGGCATTATATGTTAACCGGTTCTCGCACTGTCGGAAGCTCAATCTCCGGATAACCAACACAGTGGCCGCCGCCATGAACAAGGATCCCAATAGGACATGGAACGGTGCTGGATATAGCGGGCTGACAGACGATGTTTCAAGATAACATTTTATCGGAAATTGGAATATCATAATCCTTTTCAAAACTGGTTGTCGGTCGGCTGGCTGCAAGCATTTGCTGAGTACTAGATAATTACCTAGCTGGATTTTTGGGATGAGGGACAAGTCGAGGCTACATAGGTGCTCCGAAACCCTGCATATGCCGGAAAATCTAACTGCTGAGGATTCAAGTCACACACCGGATTGAGTCACACACCGGGTCCACTCATGCCTGGTAGACGAATTGGATTGCATTGCCCCTTTAAGAGTCAAACAGCACGACGAGATAATTGAGTTTTCTCGTTAGATGATACAGATTTTGATTGCGATTACTGCATCCTGGTATGACAGAGTAATATTACAATGAGGCATTGCTGACCCGCTCTTATGATCGCGACGCATTGGAAACGCTCACCATAACTGCATTAGCGCGGAAAGTGTATAAGATTCGTGTTGTATATATTCAACAGCCAGCTACCTCCAATCTCGGCCCCAACTGCATCAACACTGTTTCAATTTCTCATACCTTTCGATTTAGCCAAGCTCACGATGGACGAAACCTGCGAGCTGGGCAATCTGCAGGCTCCAGGCCGACTCCTACTCACATCTATCCCTAAGTTGACTGACGAGCAACCCCAAGCCGTTTCGCCGACCAATCGAGTGCAGGACAAGGAGGCTCGGTCAGCAAGCTTCCGGACATGGAGATTCTGGGCGATTATTTCGGCATTGACCATCACTGGCCTTATGTCTGCAATTGAGGGTACCATCATAACGAGCGCGCTACCCACCATCACAAACGCTATGGGCGGCGGTGATTCCTACATTTGGGTTCCCAACGCCTATCTCCTGGCACAGGTAGCCATACTTCCCCTCGCTGGGCAAGCAAGCAATATCTTTGGTCGTCGTAATCTCCTGCTGGGATCCGTTGCCCTTTTCACACTCGGAGGCGGCCTCAGCGGCGGTGCCTCTTCGATGCGAATGCTGATAGCGGCCCGAACAATCCAGGGACTCGGCGGCGGAGGCATCAACCTTTTGATAGAGACAATCGTGACCGACATTGTCCCGCTTCGGGAACGCGGTCAATACATGGCCATTGTGGGCATCGGTGCTGTTGTAGGAGCCACCGTGGGCCCGTTTCTGGGCGGGCTGATCACCGATCATGCTTCCTGGCGGTGGTGTTTCTATATCAACGTGCCCATTGGCGCTGGTAAGACCAACTCTCTTCTTTGTCCCCCGTCAAATCTGACCTACTCCTAGCCAGAGTCTTCTTATTGACCTTTAACTAGTCTCCTTCGTGATCCTGTTTATTTTCCTTCGCGTCAAATATGAGCGCGACCTGAGCTGGTCGGCACGCTTCAGGCGCATTGACATCTCTGGCAACGCCATTTTCGTGGCCGCAATTGCCTCCTCCCTGATTGCGCTCACTTGGGGCGGCACCATCTACCGCTGGAGCACCTATCACATCATTGTGCCCCTTGTGTTGGGTTTTGTGGGCGTATTGCTCTTCATCGCTTTCGAATGGACGCCGCGACTGTGTCCTGAGCCTTCTTTCCCACGAGAGATTGTGTCAAATCGCACTTCGGCAGCCGTTCTCATCTTGACTTTCATCCATGCGATCGTTGCATACTGGGTATACTACTTCCTGCCGATATACTTCCAAGCCGTTAAGGGCTTAACACCTCTACGCTCCGGAGTAAATACGTTACCCAACGTGGCTGGCGGGCTTGTCTTCGCGATTCTGGGAGGCGTCCTCCTCTCCAAGTTTGGCCGCTACAAGCCTATCCACTTGGCTGGATTCGCTATTACCACTGCCTCCTTTGGTTTGCTCAGCATACTTGATGCCAACTCAAGCAACGCCGCGTGGGTATGCATACAGCTTCTAAATGCCCTCGGCAGTGGCGCGCTCGGCGGTGTGCTACTACCTGCGGTTCAAGCGCCTCTGGATGAGAGTTATGTCGCCACAGCTACGGGTGTTTGGAGCTTTTCTCGCTATTTCGGTTGTATATGGGGTGTTACTATCCCGAGTGCTGTGTTCAATAACGAGTGCCGCCGTCTCGCAAGCACCATAAGCAACGCCGAAATCGCCGGTAATCTGTCTGGCGGGGGTGCATATCAGCATGCCACAGGCGCCTTTTTGTCTAGCATTGAGGATCCAGAACTTCGCGCAGAGGTAGTCGGAGTCTTTACCGCAGCGATGCGGGTGGTTTGGCTGGTGGGGATTGCATTTGCTGCATTGGGGTTCCTGGTCACTTTCGTAGCGAAGGAGATTAAACTTCGGGAGGAATTGAACAATAGCTTTGGCGTGGAAGAAAGCAAGCATGTATCAGTTTCCCCAAAGGAAGATACTGAGGCGGTATTATCGTCTCATTCAGTGTAGTATCGATATATGATTTGTAATTGGCTACAATTACGGAGTACATAGAAATGCAAGCTCGGCAGCCTTGCCTACAAAGGTTCCAATTCTTACGTTGAGCATGCTCTGGAGAAGTATAAAGTAATACAATTTTCCATAACGCACGCGTACAACTTTTAAGTTGAAGTCAGCCCCTCTACTCTAAATGAAACTCCAGTCGCGGTGTTGAATGCATTCAATTGTGCGCTGGTATCTCTCGCTCGGCAGAACACCCACTTAAGCCCTCTAGGGATAGTGTGATTCGTCGTCCGCGCCGCTTAGAAGCTACTGTAACATTTATATGCCTCTCAGAGCCATCGTTCCGGAGCAAGGCAGCATCATGAGAAAAGGGGAGTTAGTAAGTTACTTCTCGATTTATAAGACACTACCAACACGTATCATGTATGAACTGGCACAAGTCCAAGACATAAGGCTAGTTGAGTAATCAAGATCGGGAAAAAGGGGAGAAAGAGGGCTGTGTCTTATATGCTATATCGCTATCACTGTTGTTCAACACAAGATTGCCTATACTATCCCATACTACATGTGTACCCGTCTAAGGTGAGCTCCTGGGTGATCTGGCCTTGAGATCAATGCTTCCGGCTTACTCCAAATGTCATTATAGCTTTAAGCAGCGTTCCGTCCAGCACAATTTTAACATAGCCACTCGAGTCTTGGCTTCAGAACAGTGTCTTAGAGTTTGATGCTAACAATCAAATAAGGAGTTACTATTGTAATACAAACAAGCTGCACCACCAGATTTTTCTACTATTTTTTTTTTCCGGAGCTGTTAGCAATAAAAATTACTGCTTTTAAGCCAGCCTACTTTAGTCTCATTCAGCTTCGGCAACATTTCCTTTGCTGCCTCACTCGGAATTGGCGCCGTTATGCTATGGAGCCTGCGAATTGCCTTAAATTGCAAATGTTGGGTATAAGACTTGGCGCTTGATATGGAAAAGTCAAATTAAAACACACCAACGGGTTGCACTAGGTGGCTCAGTATTACCCACTGGCTGTCAGCTATTCTTGATAAGAAATGTTGGTAATTTGGTATCTAAGATTACGTTTTATGAAAAAAATCTGCGTATAACAAATTGAAGCGAATCGGTCAAAATTTAGGAGCAAAAGGGGTTAGAAACGTTCGCATTAAATATCCTTCCATTCCGCAAGATAGATGCCAATATTATCTTCTCGTCCACTAGCACTGGACATCTTTTTCACGCCCTAAATCTTGTCGATTCACCTATTTGCTTATCTCACGTCATTTTTCTCATGCTTAGCTAGAGCTTGAAGAGTCATGCGATGCTTTCCTTTCCACTATATCATATTTATCTATTCTATATGTTTCGCCCAAGGCAGTTTTAAATATGTAGCTCCTTTTGCTGCATTTTTCGGGTCATTCCGAGCTTCCCAAACGTGAATTTCTAAACGACAATTCATCCTAACCATGGATTACACGTCCAGCAGGAATATTGCTTCTCCCGTTAGCAAAATGTCGGAGCAACTAGATATTGCTTTCTCAAACACGATAGGAAGGCTCATCGATAGTGCTGTGCCGATCACCTCGGCTTCTCAATATCGTGTCACTCTCGGCTTTGCTGTTCTATTTCACATTCTATTTTTGACGCGCGCTGCGTCAAGGCTCTCCAATACAGCCAAGCACATTGGTCTGCTTGTCCTTTTATTTCACATTGCCGTCTCAGCGATAGAGTTTCTTCGGTGGAACTATACGCGAGCCATTATTGGAGCCGAGCCAGTTGCGGATACCATGGACATTATGCTCCGCATAGCTCAGGTCGCCAGCATAATGAATATAATAAGGCGATACCAGAAGGGGCATCCAGATATAGTCAGGTCCATCTTCCAAGCTATTACGCCGTACCGTATCCCTTTAACAGCTGCGGCTTACATCCTAAAAAGTCCCGCCTTGCACCGCGCGTCGGTCATGACCAACTGAGGCTTTCTTTATGTTTGAATCGGCATACTTGGCTTCGCCATGTTTGACCCACTCAAAGGCTCAAAGCATCTATATACACCCTAGGAAGCTATTTGGGCTCGACTCTGTCGACATTGGACAACGATGTACCACTAGGATGGGCTATTTTTGGCTATTGCATTTTAATGACATCCAAACTGTCGAGCTGGACAACGCAACAAGTTTTGCCAAGGCAAGGTGGTCTAAATGAAAAAGAAGAAGAAGAACGTTTGGGAGCTGTTGAAATGGAACTCTAACAATAAGACTTTAGTAGCTCTGGAATGCCGAAGAAAATGAGTGCGATGAGATTTCAGCTAGTGCGGTTCCTGCTCTGGATTGGGCTTGCCAATCTGAAGACTGTCAAAGCCTATGATGACGGATCTGTGTTGAACGGCAAAGCTAGAGAGAAAGAACATACGAATTGAGCTCTATTTGAGCATGAATATAGAATCTAGAAGAATGAATGGAGGTCATGGCTATTTTGTAAACTGAGGACGTATGTGATGGATAAAACGCGATGATACTGCACAAGCAATGGATTTTGTTCAATGCTTTCGATAACTAGGAAAGCTTGAGTCTCTGCAATCACTGCCTATGCGAAGATCAGTTTTGAACTAAAGTTCCGAATATTGGCCCATAGAACGTACGGGCGAAGACCAAGCTTTAGTTGCAATCCCCTTTCTTTATACCGATAAATAAGGCGCGAAGCATACTATTGCTGTGTTTTGCTTGCTCGTTCGCTTATTATAGATCATGAGGTAGAGGAGGGGCTAGGAGAGTTCGTTTCGACGTAAGTGAGGCCCATGGCTACATTCAACGTCTTTGAGAATTTAAACTGCCGCTGCCAATAAAAGCCTCGTTTGAAGATCACTGCGGGTGCAATCCCCACAAAGACCACTTGGGGGGAAGTATGCGTAGCATCTATGCAGCCCCTATACATAGCATCGATCGTAAACAGCGGGAGTAGCAAAACGTGGGGTTACGTGGGACCAGGAACGGGCACGATGGAAATGCGCTGTAACGACATGGTAGTAGCCCATATCCATACCTAGGCTATCACAGGCGTGGTACATCGTGCCTATATTACTGGAGCTGCACAACTAATCTTGATGAACAGAAACGCAGGATCTACTACTTGCCTACCGGTATCTTCCTGGGTGTTTTGAGTATATCTTACCCCATGTTTCAAACCGCGTATCACAAACGCGCATCACCCAACTCTTCTTCTTGTGCGACTTTGACATTCGCTATGATCGCTTCATAGAGGTTTCGGTTGAGTGTGCTCGCAAAGAATAACAACAAAAAACGATGATAGCGGACGCTAATATGATAGCGACGCGCACAACTGGTATGAGGCATTCGATTGTTCTTCATTATGGTTATCTTTCGTGTAGGCCATGTTTGCAATTCTTTGCTGACGGTCCAGACGAATGAACATACCTCCAGGTGCAGCTCTTTAGCAGCTCTTTAGCAGCTCTTTAGTGTTTAGTACCTAGCAAATTCTAGTGGAGTCAAGGCTACCTTATAAAGTAAGACGAATGACACAGCAAGCTTATAGATGTGATAAGTACCCCTACTAGCATAGTTGGAGCTTTTTACTTCCAATTGGTTTTTGAATAGCAGATGAAATGTAAGCATTTCAATTCATTCCCGTCGCCATCATTTCTTCTATTCTGTTAAGATTTTCTTTCCCCTTCAAGCTGGGTATTTATGTATCATTGCTAGGGATACGTTACGTTTGCAAGGGTATAAGACGGATTTAAGAACAAAATGTCCCTTCTCTCACTTAGGACATTCCTTATAGAGGCAGTTTCTAACAATTCTTGCATTTCGCATAACTTTCCGCCCCTCATTATAAAATGATAACTTAATGCTCTTTGCAAGCTGCTCTTTTAAGCCGTGGATACTTTCCCTGTATCAGGCGTTATAATCTTGCGAGCGCTATCCAAATTTAGAACTACGTCAAAAGCGGTACTCCCCGCACTGGCCATTACTCTCCGCGCTTTGCCATTGTCTTCCCTTGTCTTCCCTGGCATGGGCTTCTGGATAATCATCTTACTGAGCAACGAATCTTAGAGCGCCTATGCCTATACAGCGCGACTTCAGTGAAACGTCTCTTTTCTACTTTTCGGAATAAAGTTTAGCCCGGCTTAGGTTATCTGATGGCTTTTGTACAATTGGCACTCCCTTCAATATTTAGTTGTCATGTTCTAGAATGTCGGGGTAGAGTTTAGCCCGACCCTGATCGACGGCCTATGCCATAGTGGCCTCCACTCGGGAATTTTACTCCGTATAAGATTCTAGAATGTCGGACCTAGGTTTGACCGGACTTGAATGACAACCTTGACAATGCCACTTTCCTCTGTATAACCAGTAATGAAAGCCGAATCCCGAAATGTGAATGCCTCTAGTTAACGTAATGGGAATATCACGAGGTGAGTTTTAACTTGTAAGAAAAAGAAACAAGCAATATTACCCGAAAAATGACAGTTGCCAAAGTAGAGTAAGAGCTTGGCAATTACATTTGTCTAAGTTCAAAAAGACTGTTTGCTACTTGAGGATAATATCTAATGCAGCGTGAAGCAAAAAGAGGAGGATACTTTTATGTAAAATTAATGTTTAGTGCCATTTAGCGCTCTCCGAATGCAGTTGCCTATTTCAAATGCAATATAAAGTGCAGAGACATAAGCTCCGACTTCAACGGGGGTTGCATCGGCGGTTGTTGCTTATTAGCCTGCAGCTGTTTTCTGCTAGCATCATGCTTTTGAATCCTATAACTGCAAATATGGGCTGATTGAAGCCAAGCAAGTCTGCAGCCCACGTTACTCAAAATTTAGTGATATTAGCTACCCCGCCACCCCTCCATCGACTCCGCTACAAGGGCGAGAACTATTGCGCCGCATCTGATATGCAAGTCAATAAAGGCACACTAACTGTATCTTCTTCTCATTCAACGTGTGTAGATGCTCTCATTCTAGCAAGAATTACTCTACAATGCATTAGATAGATAGACTCTTATCTAAAACCGACTTAGGAGCAGTCAGGGTCAAACCTTAGCATTACAGTAGATGCTATCACAGCAAAGAAAGGTGTAAGTGAGCGTTGTTTGTTGTTTTGCAATTTTCTAGGCTAAGCATCCCTGGCCTGCTGAAACAGGCATCTTCGAATAAGCCCACATTTTATCGAATGTTAACTGAAAAACCGGCCACAAATACGCAATTCTTCATAAATTGGGACACCTATAACTTCTTGATCTGTATACATGGAAAGAAAAATAGAAAGTTCCGCTCGAAAGCCGCAAAGCCGCAAAGCCGCAAAGCCGCAAAGATGTTCTTTGCGGCTGAACTGTTGCCACCGAAGGAGCGCCGCCACTCATGGTGTCATGGTGTTACAGTCAACAGTAAATGCTCTTACCAATCATCAGCTTCCTGAAGAGCGAGTCTTGTGTAAAGCATGGTACTGATGCAAAATGATCCTAGCAGTAATATAACTATGTTGTAATAATGGATCCGTCTTATGTATGTCCTCCGAGTGTAAAAGGCTTAGAGGATTTGGAATATGTATATGGAAAAAATATGTATATATTAACAGCCTACGTCTCCTCTCCTCACCCTCAATGTAAATCACAAAAGCTTTCACTCTACATCTCGGGGTTCTACATTGACTTTATTCTTATTCATCCTTTGTTTCTACATCTGCATTCTATCCATAACTCAAAGCTTCAGAGCCCGCTTCACAACAGCCGTCATGACAGTCGTCCCGAACATCGCCAGCGAAAGAAGCGTGGTTACTCTTAAGGCAAAACGTCACAAGATAGACACTTTAAACTATTCCAGTATTCAATATGAATACCCTGAGATATCTCTTTCTACTGATAGTACCCCCTTGGTGAAGCCTACAAAAGAGTCCAAGCACATACTCATTGTGGGAGGTGGTGTGAGTGGGCTGTTGATTGCCTGGATACTCTTAGATGAAGGATATCGTGTCACCATTCTGGCTGATGACTGGGCCTGGACTAAAGATTTCGAAAAGTCTCGGATGACGTCGCAAGTTGCTGGGGCCTTATGGGAGTTCCCTCCTGGTGGATGTGGATTGACTGAGATTGAGTCGCCGGGCAAGGGCTGGGCTGCTATTGAACACTACCGAGAATGGGCTCTGCAAAGCTATGAGTTTTACGAAAAATATGAGCAGGTATTCAACACCCATGAGAGGAACGGTGGATCTTTTGGTTTAAAATTCACCAATCTTCACCAGTTCTTTTTGGACGACTTGTCTCAGTTGAAGAAGGATAATCCCAACTATGAAGAGGCTTTGAAACTACAGGAGATAGAAAAGAGCCCGCTCAGGAAGGACGTGAGAAAGTATTACAGGACGACGGAAGCAAAGACGGCGGAATGGAATAAACAATTCGGCAAAGTCGTCGAGCCAAGCTTGAACGGGCAAGAGCTCAAGAGCGCCTACAGCCACAGAGCCCCTATTGTCAATACAGACAAAGCAATGGCCTATCTTATGGCATTGGTTGCAGCCAAAGGAGCGTGCATGGAAACGCGAAAAATTGATAGCGACATCAGGCATGAACTCGGCTTGCAGCTATTGAAGGATCATGGGGCAGATGCCATTGTTAATGCCACCGGCCTCGGTGCCAAAACAGTGGCGGCCGATGACGACGTTTATCCCGTCCGCGGAGCTGTTCGACGCGTTGAAAACACTCACAGAGGCTCATTCAGACATCTCAATGATGCATATCTGGTTCCTGCGCAAAAGGATAGCAACCAGCACCCCACCAAGACGGTTTTCATTGTCCCTCGCAATGATGATGTTCTATATGTTGGATCAATCGTACAGCCCAATAACAGTACCAAGAACCTTACTCCAGAATCGCCAGAGGTCCAAATGATGTGGAACCGAGCGGGCTCGTTTGTTAAGAATTTGCTACATGCTGGATTTGTTCCCCAATACGAATTTGCGCAAGGCCTTCGACCGTTTACTAAGAGGAATGTCAAAGTTAGGGCTGATGAGGTGGCAACCTATCCGCTTATTCATAACTATGGACATGGAGGCTCCGGATGGACCTTGGGTATTGGTACTGCTCGATGTGCTGTGCTGATTTTGAAGAAGCGATTGGAGGGCATTCCAGCAGCCGTCATCAATGAGGAAATTTATGGCTAGATTATAGCGGATCTGCTTGCCAGCATTTAAATTTGGTTATCAAATGTTGGATAGAAAAGGATGAAGATTTATAACTAGGTACAAATTGAGTCTACTATATGTCGCAAAGAAGAGATATTAGCACGCAATTCTTCCAATCATTTCTAGTATCATAAATCAGTCTATCCAGTACTACTGCACAGGTTTCAAGAATAAAAACGCAATATGAACTACCAAGTTCCCAGGCGAATAGCTCATTTTTCTTTGGTTACCATCCTCCTCCAAAGCATCACTATGATCCTATATACACAATGTTAATCTTAGGTATGGGGCCCATTTGTTTGTCCAAGGGCCACTATCAGAGAAATTGAGCTAGGGCATTCTTTGAGATTGTTTCAAGACGCATTCTTGAACAAGTGCAGCTTGACTACAATGAAGTTGACTTAATGGAATGTTACATCATCATCACAGCGTAGGCACTGATCACAGCTATTATATGCTGCAAATAATCGCAACAACGCAAGCCACTATTTTACTGTGGGCTTTAGTGGCAGCTAGCCTTCATAGTGAGAAATCTCAAGTCAACAAGTGAACTCCATTGGCTAACATCTCTAATGCTTATGAGAAGAATTGTAATCATAGATATCTTTGGTGCCTTGCAACAAGATTGACCATTCGCTCTCTCTGGCCCGATTCCTTGTACGAAGACTATCTTTTCAAGAGTGCTAATGTTCCTCCCACTTGGTCATAACATTCGCCTGCCACATCCTCGATGATGATCCCTTCTTCGAAGATGGAGTTTATAGGCACTGGGAGTAGTATGAGTTTGACACCTTGCAAGATCCCGATGAGCAGCATGTAGGGCCGCTCCAGCCAATACCACCGCACTGGCCGTACAGGGCAGAGCAGCTGCCAGAGGGACCCGTGGGACCGGTCGATCCTGACGAGGAAGTTGGAGTGCCAGTTCCACTTCCACCGTTGGAGACTTGCTGTGAAGCCGATCCGCTGCCGCTCCAGCTCTCGACGGCAATGACCTGGAAGTTCATTGTGCCAAGGTTCAGACCAGCCTTGGCCCACGCATCGAAGTGGTTCTGAATAGTGACAGTGCCGCTGCTTCGTGCCGATTGTCGGATAGAGATGTACTGGTTGAAGGTCGCCGTGCCAATAATCGAAGGCTCGTTGACGCGCTGGTTCTCCCAGATAGCGTAGGTGCCTCCGTCACTGGTGAGCGTACCCTTTTGCGAGCCGCCCGTGGAGATTCCAATGTTGGTCTCCATGACATAATACTCAACAAGGGGGTTCGTGGTCCACCCGTAGACAGAAAGACTACCAAGACCGCTGGAGACATTGAAGGTGCCTGAGTAGTTAATGGGACTAAAGTATTCGCATCATCTGGTTAGCGTCGCTGATCGGCGAAAGCACAGAGCAATCGGGGGTAGATTAATCACATACAGGTTGCTACCGGGTTGCCAGCCTACGCCCACAACAAAGTCTTGCTGAGTGTTCCAGTTAAGGTTGAAACCAGTTTTCGACGGCGAGAAGTTCACTGTGCCGCCAGTGGTATAGTCCTGGTTGTAGTTAATGGCGGTACGACGAGCAAGAGGATGATCGGGTCCAAGGAAGAAGTTATGCGGGCCTCGCTCCTCAACGCTCTTCTCGACAACCTCCGCAGGAGCTGCGAGCGAGGCTGCGACGGCCGAAAGACCAGCGACAAAGCGAGAGAAGGCAACCATTGCTCTTTGTTATAAGTTTGGATGTCAACAAGGTGAAGGGTTGGTGAGGTAGAAGCATAGAATGGCCTCATAAGCTTCACGGGAAGCTTATATACTTTTTATGAACCAGTAGAACACGCGTTTATCGTAGGTGTTGTATTACATATTCTGCCCAATCATACAGCCTTCGCTGCTTACTGACTCGTGCAAGGGTAGCAATGATTCTGCCAATTCATCAGCCTGAAGTCAATTGATGCCGTTGATCCGAAAAGACAATATTTCTGGACTATAGCACCCTTGGTTAGGCATGGAACGGACATGGAAAATAAGATGAATATCTTTTTGCTTACCTTACTACAGAATCTGTGGAGATCATGATAGATCAAACGCCTTGAATGGCATAGCATAGATGGCTAATCGTGATATCCTGATAGCATCGATATTCAGGCCAAAGCGCGTCGAGAGCATCAAACATCTGTCTTAGTCTTAGGGTACAAATTACTTGCCACTTAGGGCAATTCCAGATCGACCTTGGCGCGGGGTAAATTCATTTCTATACTTCATTTTTGCCGCACCGATTAAAATGTTACCCAAATATCGGCTAGCCGCTGTTCACAGCAAGCCAGGTAAATTGCTGTCGGATACTGGGGCAAGAAATATGTATCGCCAGGAAAAAATAAATAGCCTTACGCTTGGATAAAGATCATGCCCCTCCCTCGTCAGGTATCATTATTATCCTAAGAGATTTCTATACTCTTAGTGCCCCTTCTAACACGCCCCCTAGTGAGTGGGTGTTTGCAAAAGCCAATACTACGGATTTATATCTCAACTTTGTGGGAACCCTGGGGTGGCCACCTCTTTTCTATCTTGAAAGTGTTTTCGCCATATTATCTGCGGCATTATACGTATGGCACAGCAACGGCTATAGTCTAGAATGCCATGTAATATTAGCTAATCTTTAAATAGTAAGCATATAAACTAGATCGCATAAAATGTGTAGGCAGCACCACAATTTCTTAATGGTATTCCGAGCGTATTCAATCTCTGGATAAAAAGCAAATCCCCGCTCCTACCCAATGCATATACGCCCAACATGTTTTCAATTTACTATGCCTACTACTATCACAACCATAAATCTGTTCTGCATACCAGTCCGTACGGTGTAATCATGCAACTACCCCAGATATTTCACGAAGTTGGTTTCGGAGTATTTGCAGTCGTAATAGATCGCCCTGTAGCTCGTCTTGGTATTAATGAGTGGAGAGCCAAGTCCTTGGTATTGCAAAATAGGTAACACCACTCCCGCTCGCTGGGGCATGTGAAGTCCTGATTCGCTGTTCGGATTTTCTTTCGCAGTACAATTATTTCCGCCACTTCTCTCCTTTATGCAATTTATTTCCATTCTATTTTCACAGTTTTCCAAGACTGTCACAATCGTGCCTCCAAAATAACACGCCTTGGGCATAGGATAAGATTCCAAGCTGAGTAGCGGCTAAGTTGACCATATTTAGCCAGTTTACCCGTTAAAGAAATCTGGCACTCATGGCTATTTCCACAATATGTGTTTTCATATTCACTTCTCGGCTGACCTTCTGTTATTTGACAAAATAATCGGAGGATTTTGCATTCTGGCTTCCCTCAGTCTACGCGCAAATCCGGCATTAAAAGTGCGACCGCCTACCTATGTAAGAGACTAAGCCACATTTTGCCATTAATCCTCTTTTTTAAAATCAGAAACCCAATATTTGACCAAGGTCGTATCAGTTGCACCTATTTAGCAGTATATTAGCACGGATATCATGCCTTGTTTGTATTTGCTGATGATCTCACATTACCAGAAAGGAAGGCTTGATATTGGTCGTATACGGTATACCAGACAATACAGTTCAGTCTCTGCAACTTTAGGCTAATTCGTATAGATGCAAGATTCATCGTGGCTAAGTAACTTCATATTCAAGCTGCATGTGCTGCCCGATTTTTTCCAAGGGTAGAAGATATTAGTTCTAACAGGCCGCAGCGCTAGGTGATTCCCAGATAAGGAATGACCAAGAGAGATATTCGTCGGAAAGACGATTCATGAAAGTTGCAAATCATCAAGAGCTTATCGAATTGCTTAAGCCTAATAATACTGCCATAGATGTTATATGTTAAACTTGATCACATATCTGGACCCTTTTTGCTATTACAGACTGCGTCTTCAGAACCTGCTTAGATGTAAGATGTTCGTGAAGTTGCTGACCTTGTAGGATATGATATGCTAGAACTTGTAGAATATTTGTAGATGGACACGTAACATGTTTGAGACACACAACAAAGACTTGGTTAGGACTAGTGTGGTCTGTTGAGTGAAAAGGGAATTCTATACTGCAGCTGAGGTTTTACAGCTTCTTTTCACAAGATTATTTTTTGTTCTTATATAAGGAAGTCCTTTGTGGCTGACCACCGTGGCAATACTCTCGGCTAAACTCACAGATAACACAACGCTATACGACATAGTTGTTGAAGACATTATGCTATTATGCCTTTGTTGTACTAGATCAACGCGTGGCAACTATTACGGGATATCATCAATCTCTTCAGCTGTATCGGTGAAATTGTAGCACGGTTTCTAAAGCTATTTTAAGCTTAGCATAAGGCGGTTTACAAAGCCCATGGCAGTTCTGCTTCAAAAGTACGAGTCGCATCCCCATCATAGCCGACCTTTTCCATCCATTGTTTTAAGCTTCTGGTTCTGCCGGGGTATATTTCGTCTAGCAAAGCGTAATCTCTCTTGCAGAGCCCAAGCTCAGTGTTCTTTCCAGAATTCTGGTATATTCTCCACCAGGCAGAAAAGTTTTGTTCAAATGTCAGCAGAGATGGATCATTTGGAGATGTCGAAGTACCCAGCCTATGTTGTGTAGCAGTTTCCGGTAGCCCAGTTTCTTGGAACCATTCTTCAATCGTAATATTAGTACTTTTGGCAGGCTTTCCAGTCACAGCAGTGAACACTTCTGCGATTTGCTGTAGAGACACATCCTCCACCGCGATTTCCAAGTTTAGGCCGGCAGACTTTTCTGGGTGTTCGAATACCCACCGTACGTAGTACCCCAAGTCATCCAAACATACGTACGGAATAACACCGTCACCAAGCGGTATGCGAAAATCATAAACACCTGATTCGTGCTTCTTAGGTCGTTGAAAGTACCAGAGCTGTTCAATGTATGGCCCGGTGCACACAACAGACCATTTCATGGGGCTTTGTGGCAGGGATGACATCCAGCGTTTGACATGGCCTTTGCCATAGTAGTGGCCGCATCGAATAGCGTCATCGTATTGTGTCTCCAGGGCATAATCGTCGAGCGACGACCATACATAATGTTTCACACGATTTTGCACCGCGATCTCGAAAATGCGAATACCCCAGTACAATTCGTTTTTAATCCCCAAAGAAAAACTATTGAGGTTGACAAAGGCGTAGTCCACCCCTACAAAAGCAGAGCGTAGAGCAGTCTCATCGGTAGGCCCGCCGATTACAAATTGAACCGTGGGGACGAGGACTTTAAGCTTCTTTGAATGCTCTGAACTTTCATCGCGAGTGAGCACACGTATATTGTATCCATACTGGTGCAGTTCTATGCTTATTAGCGGAGACAGGACACTCTCCCTTCTCTTAGAGGCGGAACTTACGTTGCACAACAGGCACTCCTTGTGCACCGGTTCCGCCAATTACTAAGATCAACTTCTTATCCATACTGTTCTTGTTGAGAGATGCGATGCAGATGATCGTTCAAAAACAGGAAGCCACGTTCGCTTTATACCTTTACATTGCATTCGGAAAGTATACCTGCGAAGTATAACCGAATTGAGGGTGATATCATGTCTTGAAAAATACTCATTCAGGTTAGTATAGGGCGTGCCATTGTTTGTAAAGCATTGCTAATCAGCATATAGGCATGCAATAAGAAACAGAAAGTTGATAATAATTCCTATATATGCCGGGCGTACATAGATTCATGGTGGGATAATTCTCACGCAGGCTTTATAAGCATTGAATAAAAAAGGTCATGATCTACTATATATTTCACTCATATGCAGTATTCCTGGAAACTTTTTTTCTGTAAGTCTTCATGCTGAAATACCACGAAACCGATTGGTTGTTATTCGTTGAGCACACGGAATGGCCCCCCACTTGGGCTGCTACACTGCTAACAAGTGGCAGCTTCATGATACTTGACATACGCATGACAACGACCAGCTGAAACCTTGCTTACAACTAAGATTCCAAATGCAGTTGAAAACCAGATAGCTTTCAAATTTGGTTAGGATTAGGATGGTTCTTACGGTCATCGGTAGGATTTGTGGATATAACAAAATGTACGAGTGGTGCAATATCGCTTGTCAAAAAAACGAAATGTGTAAGTAGCTAAAACTCTCGCGGCGAAAATTAATTTCATTAACGTTTAATCTTTAACCAGCCAAGGTTATCAAATTTTCAGTAGAAAATAAAATGCAATAGATGTCTTGTTGCCCCTTCTATATTTACCTGCATTATATGCGTGCTGCTGTGTTGATGCTGGCAGTTGAAGCCCGGCCGCAAGGTGGATAAACAATTGGTGGCTAAAAGTGGAACTAGTGTGATAGCGCTGCTGGCCGCCTCTTGGTTGTCAATTATTGGGTTTTGACTATAACTGGGAAACCGAAAGCTAATATCTACATTTTGACATAGGCCGTGACTACTGAATCAGGTAAATTGGTCAAGCTGATTCAGGTCATTATCTTTCTCCCATGAATTAAAGCAGGTAGACGAACTCGGCTGAACATCAAATGAGAGTAGTCAAATTAATGATGTTGTTTTGATAGAATATACTTGTAGGGTAAGAGTGCTGTTGGATGTCAATGTTAATACACCCCGCTAGTCTTCTGGGGCTGTCCCTTCTAATGTGTCGACAGCAAATGCACGCTATAGTTGTGGGTCACGGTATACTATATGGATATTCCTCGACCATCAGCATGCTTGAATCTGGTAGTAAAAGACAAGTGGTACACATGACAATGGTAAAAGGAAAGGCATGAACAGAAAGTTGGTATGATTGATGTGATACATGACAAAAGCCTTATCCAAGGTAAAGACGGAGGCAAGAGGTCTGAGAATGCCAAAAGGAGGAAGAAGAAGGAGCAAGTGATTTAATCACACAACACACAGAAGTCTAATATATGCATCGGTATTGGCAAATAGAATCTCAGTATTGCCGTTACTGCAACTACATTGCTGTGTGCTCCTCTACTATAATTATTAGTCCCGTATATGTGCAGGCAGCTAGCGAATCTGTGGTCTAGAAGACAATGGCCAGAGCGGTTGGATACCATTGGACTTGTTTGTCTTAGAATAACTTGAGATGGGTAGATCTACCTCTCTACCTATCTAGATTTTCTTGTAGGCTGTGCAGAGAGTGAAGCTTTTTTGTCCCTTAGCCTATTAGGCAATAACGGCCAGCTATCCCCAGATTGAAAGCCTTGCAAAGGATTGATGTGACAAATAGCTGCTCAGTTCAAGTACAAAATTCAAGGATCAAGAAGTCAAACAAGGTGAGATGATACTGTGTGATCAGTTATACTTCAGCGTAAACACGAGTTCTCAAGGTTTGTCGAGTAGAAATAGCTTGGAGGCAGGTCCAAGTTTATTAGGCAGCCATATTGAGGCGTTTTAGTAGACGTAACAGTGTGAAGACGAAGGTAATCGCAACAAACTAGAGAATTATTTGCAATCATCGGATTTCCACACAAGCAATGCCTAGCGTTATTGCCGTCGCCACTTTGACGCCTGAAATAGAATCGAAAGGGTTCTGGGCTGTGATCGCGAACGTCTTGGCTGCGCGTATTTAATGAATAATCCTAGTACTATACTAACAGTAGCCTGTCATAGATTGCCTAAGTAATCGATAGCCAGCTCGCCCTTTCGCTCTTTGAGCTGTAGGAGTAGCACGCTAGTTAGCGAGCTGAGCTGTCTTGGCTGCTTCCCATGTGGCGTATGTATGTCAGGGCATCGCATTTCAGCAGATAAGCAGGGGGACATGAATCAAAGTGGCACCATGAGCGAAAAACCATGTGGACCGGCTATCGAACGGATTTCATCCCCGCATGATAAGGCCATCGTAAAGCTCCATTCAAATCCACGCTGTGTCAAAGTACTGACATTAGCGAGAGTTTTAGAAAGCATAGTTTATGGAGTAGTGCTGATGAATTTATGGGGTCAGTAGCCCAGAGGTCCAATCTCCAGCTACTTCTGCTAGTTTTCGTAACCATCGAGCCAGCGACCCCGTTCGAGCAGCGGGCGGACTGGTTTATAGCGGAATGGGGCACGTTTGAAGACGTGCTACTCGTACCCTCACTGGACTAATATGCGACGGGCGGAAGCCGGAAGCTGTAGATCAATTAGCCACTGGTTGCCGACATCGGCTACGTCTCGTTTGAGACAATTATCACCGAAGCTACGGCAATGGCTTCCCTGAAGACCTACCTATCTTGTGAAAGTGGCCGCGATCGAGCTACGCAAGAGGCTGATCCAATACTACAAGTAGTAGCTGGGAGAATCCAGATGCAGTTGAAGCCTCGACCAACACCCAATTAATCCTACAGAATCTTGGCACAGCTTATGCAGGGGCACTCACGTTGTTTTATTTCCGAGCCCGGAAGCCTCACGAACCACTCTAGCTCAGTTTCCAAAGTCTGTAGCACCGGAAGGCGCTCTGTCAGCCGCAGCAACTCAGGTTTCGCCCCGCCCAAAACAGGGGATATCCCCGGAGCTAACTATCACAAGCATGTGCAGCAGAGCATCGCCCTCCAGTAGACACAGGCCAATTCGCATCGATCGGAGGCTAGATATGTCCAACCAAGTACATATGTACAAGTATAGCCAAGGCGTGCCCAGCCTCGGTCTCTTATCACTTTTTACTGCCTAGCACCGTTCCGGCATTATTTCGCGCAAAAGTTCCAATCCAGGATACAGAATTAAGGGCCGATGTATCCCTCTGCTGCAGGTCTCCCACATCATCAGCACTTTGATTGGACTTTGCATACGCGGACAATATGTCCCTTAATATGGAGAGGCCAATAGATTTTCCCATGATGCCATCGCAGTTATTTTGCATTATGGGGCAGACTTCTTCTTTTCAATGCTTCTGGAGCCAAATTCTGGAGAAAAAGTGGCCATGCTGAACTGCACAATTTTTTGGTGGCTGATCGCATCACCCCTGACTAACAACGCCTCGCTACCAAGACTCAGGACCTTACCAAACTAGACTGTCGCGTGCCTCTATAACCGATCTACTGTAAATCCAGGGGTCAATATAGGATACTACTGGAAAAAAAGCGCGATAAGGCAAGTTAAGGGCGATGGCAAGGGTGGGTTTGGCGCCAATAGTGAAGTGTTGCGCGCTGGTCTAATCTCGGCTTCCAAATCAGATGTTCTAAGGCTGCATTCGTTCCCCACGTAGTGAATGCATATTATCCTCTTCTCTGCTTCGCACTGCTGATCACTTCCTTCTCCCTTGCATCTCCATTACGGCTCGTTAACGATTTTCTCCGAATGGTGGCGCCTCTACCGAGAAAAGGCAAAGGCAAAGACTCCAGCAAGAGTTGCGGTCAATGGTGCAGAGCCATTAACCCTTGAAGCACAACCGCAGCAAACGAGACGACAAGTCCGCCAAAATGGATCGAGACTTCATGGAACAATTATGGAGCGAGCGCCACTACGGAACACCGCTCGCCATCATCTTCATGGTGATGCCCACGATCGCCGTTGCCTTGCGTCTGTACGCGAAGATCACAGCTCATCAACAGCTTGAACTAAGTGATTACTTGTCCATTACTGCATGGGCTCATACAGCAGGCCTGTTCATATCTTTGCTGGTGGCCGTGTACTTACCGGCCTCATATCTGGACAATCCTACCGGCATCGATGAGCCAGTATCCAAGATTACATTCTCTCTCAACCTCTTGTGGGTTGGCGCCTGCTACAGCTGCAAGCTGTCGATTCTTTGCCTCTACTATCGCCTACTGAGTACACCAAACAGTACTTTTCGTCGAGTAGTCCAGGCAATGTTCATTCTAACGGTCTGCGTGGGTGTCGCGAGCGCTCTGGGCTTCCTCTTGATTTTCAAGGATATGTCGTGGTGGTGGACAACAGGATTGAGATCACACCCCGTGCAACTGGCGCAAATGATCCAGATGAATGAAGCCATCGACATCCTGTCGCTTCTCACAGATGTCATTTTGTTCGCGATGCCTTTGCCTGTTATCAGGAAATTGAGCCTCGACAAGCAGAAGAAGCGGTTGCTTATTGGTCTATTCTCACTTGGGTTTTTGTAAGCGTCCATTCCTCTAAACTTACAAGAAGCATTCCTAGACTAATACATCCTTCCCAGGACCTGCATCGAAGTTGTCATCAGAATCATTACCACATATGGCTTCGACGGTGCTCTAGATGCTATCCAAGTACAGTGTCTCTTGATGGGCATTGAGCCGGCGATGGGCATTACGCTGTGCTCACTACCTGTCTTCTTGCGATTGGTTAGTGTCTATTTTTACGAATATTAATACACCAAGTGTTGCTAACAATATGCTATTACTACAGTTCCGAAAGAGCCACAACAACTCAAGCGGTCGTAGCTATGCGTCCGGAGATCGTGGCAACTTCTATTCTCTAGGCCCTATGAGTGGTAAACATTCAACAACCAGAGATCCTGATGGTGCTTTGTTGGAATCAACTGTCGGAAAGCCACAACCAGTGGTTGTGCAGACAGAGATCACTGTCCATTCTTCGCGGAGCGGGTATAACGACTCTCTCGAATCCCAGGAGGGTTACTGGAAATGATGAGTTACAGGGGATCTTTCAATTTAATGTTCAACTGAATTAATGCGAGACTTATCGAGCAATCGTCACAACCATTGTCGGGTATATATTTCCTTTCTAATGAATGTAATTATTTAAGCGTTTAACAGCCCAGAGTGTCTATATTTATATGTACAAATATTTACTGTATCAATCCCTGGCTCATCCAAAGGCTTTGGGGATCTTAATTGTTTTATGACAGAACATCTTAGGCCATCTCAGATATGTGCATTTCCATCATGAAGTTCCCCTCTCCCGACAGCTTTGCGTAACCCAGGTATATTCTAATGGTGCGCAACCTCGAATGGAGTAGGCGGAATGAGAATATATTATCTGCCAGTTTGAACATGATAGTGCTATAAAAGAGCTGTCACTTATCCATTTCAGCATATTTTTGCTTTTTTTGAACATGGATATCTTACATCTCATAAATGATGCCCGAAAGTTAGCCTCAATATTATACATATATCGCTTCGAGTGTAGGGATCCATATGTGCGAATCTCTTTCGACTCCCCAGTTTCAAACCTCAACAGCGCGATGCTCGAAGCAACAGATTAGCTCCCTGGTTCAAATTCAGCCATGGTGCAAGTAGGCTTTTTCTACTGTTGGTTTGGTTAGCTATTAGGGTTGCGGAAATTGTGTAAAGCGTAGTAATTTGTACATGAATTCGAAATACACTTGGATGTCTGTTCCAAGGCACAAATCTGTTTGCAGGGCCAAGATAATACCTTGATGTGATAATATGTAAGTTGTTCCTGTTTAACCATTCTGGGAGATTCACAACCCTCGGGATTTTCAGCGTTGCACATAGGGTTGATCGGATATTACGACGAAGCGAATTGTTCCTTGGTCGTAAGAGCTGCCTATAGCTTTAAGACCATCCGCGGCAAGTAAAACTTACCAAGGCTAGAGAGCCAAGAATATGGATGTAATAAATTGCTTCTCGAGGTATCTGCAATGAACATGACGCGCCCGATACTAATTTCGATGCCAGTGTTTGCAAATCTTATTCCTGCACGTGAGATTACACCATATTTGTTGAAAAGATATTGAGAGTTTCTATTGCAAAAAGACATGGAGGGTATTACTGGTTCACGCGCAATTATTCCATATACTCTGATTTGTATCATTCTTCAGCGCTCGCATTCTTAGACGCCACTGAGTTCAGTTGACAATCCAAATCTTCTCAAGGCGTTGGGTTATACGCGTAGTTGTCTAGATCCACACGCGTCTTCGCGGCCAGGTGTTGCTTCGGGGAAAAGTTAGGGTTACATCTACACCTACCTTGCCTTTTTGACTGTTCTACCCGTTGACTAAGTCAATCGGCTCTTGGACTGCGACATAATATTCGTGCAATTAAGCACGCTCGCCGTATGCTTTTATCTCAGGAAATTTTGTATTCTTGATCGTACGATTACGCTCAATACCATACTAGTGCTAGAGCATGCAAAAAATGCCACCGATTGTACTCAATTGAACCAAATTCCCTCCAAGAGTATTTTTCAACTGCTGCTAAATACCCCAGCGAGCTCATTTGCTAAATTACAGCACTTGTGGGTGCGCGTTTCGTACACGTATTGAGCAATAATTGAAGTATGGCGCTTATTTATTAATATACAGCGCTTATCCACTGTCATGAAATAAGATAATTCACATGCACATATGGATCTAATACTGCATGCTCTGTACTATGTATCAATAATACTCTACTTGTGACAAGAAGCTACATAAAAGTATTTAATGACCACAGTGCAGCTCCTTTGCAACTACTAACAAAGTTACAATCGTTTATATGAAGCCACTCTACTGTAATAGCGATTAGGTGTAGCACTTCCCTTTCCGTATTGCATCAAGTGCATATTAAAGGAGGGCCGGATGATTTCTGAAGTTTTGATGAAAATAGAGCCCCGCATAGCCTTAATTGAAGAAATTCCAAAACAGATAGAAGCGCTTGTGTTTTAATGTTTAGTAACTAGGAGCGTAATCATTTACTCCCCTCACCACATGATGAAGTAAGATTAGCGCATCACCTAAGATTTTACGAGTTTTCAGGCTTTTGTCACCGACTCTTCAATTTTCCCCAGGTAGCTAAGAAAGATGCCGCAGACTTTTCTGAACCAACTTCCAGCAGTCTTTGCCGTTCAACTTCCCTGACCATAAACTGGCCAATTCTTGTAGTATAACAATGTCCGCTGTTGAGTTTAGCTCCAGCGTTACGGTTCGGCCAAGCACTTCGCTTAGCGAGGTAAACAGTTTCTTCTGCACTCAGATTAGAGACTTAGGATGGGTATGCGTTTCGAATCTTATTTTCATGCGACGAATGGCTGATAGATTGCAGAATCGACATGAATTGGATGCTCAAACACACTTTACAGTAGCTCAAAACGGCCGAGATTGGCTTCTATTGTATCCAGCGGGCGCAAATGAGCCTGTTGGGATGGTGATAGGCTTCAAGTTCCCTAATCGCATCGGATGGGTCGGTTTCTTCATAGTTGACAAGAATCACCAAGGAAGAGGATGGGGTGGGATTTTGTTCAAAGCCATGCTTGACACCTACAGGGAATCTGGCATCCAAATGGTTGGGTTGGATGCTGTAAAGGAGCAAGTCAAAACATACGAAAGACGAGGGTTTGTCGAAGCGGCCAAAATCAAGATAATGACGTGCACACCCGAACAAAATTCGGCCACCAGATATGGAGCTATCGAGTTGACCAAAGACTATAAAGCAATCGATATCAAAGAAGCTGATATGGGTGCCATTGCGGATCTAGACCTCGTGCACACTGGGCTTGACCGAAAAGTACTCTGGGCTATAGCTTTAGTTTCTCGACCGGATGCATTTGGATTTGCCATTGTATCTACCACCACCGGAGAACTATCAGGCTTTATACTAGTTCGTCGCTGCGAGCACGGACACCGATTCGGCCCTCTGTTTGCGGACTCTAACGCCCATGCGTCCTCTCTTCTTCAACTAGCCATGTCGCATCCAAGCATTTCAGCATCTTCTGGAAGCTTAATCGCTGAAGTATTTGGCCCTAATGAGAACAGTGTTGATGTGTTTTCACATCTAGGATGGCAATGGACGAAGATGGATTACCACCGAATGTGGCTTAATGGTCGAGTGCCAGTAGAGCAACAACAAGGTGGACGAGGTCAAAAGGGGATGTTTGCTATTTTTGATGCTTCCGAGGGATGAACTTATGTATATCTATATACATATATATATATACATATACAGCGGCTTATTGGTTTCGCGGTCCCGGTACTGTGCAAAGTCATTCCTTTACCAGAATTGAAACAGTGGCTCACTTTGACGTCTATTGACCGTGTAATAATTACAACACGGTTGAAAGTGTGTTAAAAAGAACACTTGATGGTATCAATTCTGCATTTGCGATCACCATGGTCCTTTCGCTTTTGCTGAGAAATGCACATCGGTGTTAGTGATAGTCTCCAACCTTGCGCATAGCACATACGTTGTTTCGCAATCGACTTCAAAGGCTAGCCTATAGGAGGATTTTGACATTGAAGCAATTAATTCTGGGTATATTTAACAAAGGTAGCCCTACATTAATTCGACTTGATTGGCGGGGAGAAAAGGGCACACGGTCACCAATGATTGCACAAACCCGACTGGATGCGACGCTGTCGTCTTTGGGTTGTCTCATCGCCAGGGTTTGCCTGATATGCCCGAAGATGGTAATTTTCACGCTCGTTCTGCTACCCTAATGGGATTTTTTCCCAGAGTACATGACAACACTATAAGCCGCATCAAGCTGTCTAGAAGATGGAAAATGTGTTGGTTAAAGGACATGCTGCACAATTGCAATATTTAACTATACAGTTACATGTTTGTAACAATTATATTTGTAGTTTAACAAGTGGCTATTTGTCTTGGAATCTTTAATGATTTTTCACCAGTGTTGTACATTTTGATATCCTTGAACTCAGGATACAACTCGAAAACAGGCATCTGACGTAGGAGGTACTACCATGTAGCAGTAGGCAATACAACTCTAGATTCCCTTCGCAGAGTAATGCCAATCCACCATCGGTTATCGTACTGCTCCACGTAGTATTACACTTGCATATTTCCCTGCATCATATCTCCTTCTATCTTAGGCAGGTATTGCGATGTCCAATAGTGGAGTAGAACACGGCTTGAGATTGGCTGTGTTTGTGCTGTCAAGCTGTCAAGCTGTCAAGCTGTCAAGCTGTCAAGCTGTCAAGCTGTCAAGCTGTCAAGCTGTCAAGCTGTCAAGCTGTCAAACTTCAACGTTGGGTAATAAAAGCATGCAAGTTTTATATCTCAAGCAACAAAACACATGTTGTGTATTCAATGCAAGCAATTTAAAATTTTATTCATGATAATAATAATGATCAGTTTACTGTTTCCTAGTACAATGTTTCACCACGGTTAAAACTATTACCGGTATGGTTGTGTCTTTCTGTCTTAAAATTTTATTCTCTGTGGAACACTAGTCCCAGTTTTTTGTCCTACTGGATTATACTATCTCTATAATTTGAGCCGCTCGGGAAAAAAAGCGCACGGAATCACAATCGCAGCGCGTATGTTTTCAGAATTGGATAGACGAAGGATCGCTGATTACGTACTTGATACGGAGCACACGCAGGCATATCTACTTGATAGGTGGTCTGATCACCGCCCAGTGTCATCATGGCACAAAAAGCTCCGCTGTTCACATCATGCGATACCACGCCGCGGCTGCAGCCCCTGCTCCATTATGTCGCAACTCAGCGTGAGCGCCGCATACGCTGCGGATGTAATGGCTTGGTCAGCCTCTCCATCCCCCACCAGCAAGGCCTCGATGTAGGCTGCTGCACACGAGCAAAAGAGCAACTCGCGCGCGGACGTGGCTCCTCCCGAGGTGCGGACGCGCTGCTCCAAGATGGTGACATAGGCCTGGATGGTGTCTTGGACCTGGCGCCAGCCCGGCCCGCTGACGGCAGAGAAAAACTCGTCCTTCAGCTCGCTTATCAGATCGAGACAGAGGGCCAGAATGGCGTGCCACTGCAGAGTGGCGAAGTGGCCTTGGCCATGGATGCGCAGAACGGTTAGCGAGTTTGCAGCATAGGATGCACTACTGCTGGTAGTGGCGGTCGTGGCCGCAGACGAGGTCGTATTGGAGGGCAAGGCAGGTATGCCGTCAGCATCAGCAGTAACCTCGTCGAGCCCAGCTGCCGGGGGCTGCGTCACCGTTGCCAAGCCTGAGGGATGATTCGTCAAGAGCAGCGCCGAGATTTCCATGCGCACTTTGCGGGAAAAATAGCATGCCGGGCTGGGCAGAGGATGAGCTGCGAACTTTGCGTGTGGTGCCAGGACAAAGGGCAGGGTGAGGGTGTCCAGGAGCTTGATCTGGAACTCGGTGGGCTTCTTCGGCAGAGACTGCAGCCTGCGAAGCTCTGTCGAGTATGCGGCCTTCAGCTCAGCGGCGAGCCGGTGCGTGTCGTCCAAGGTCTTTGCAGCTCCGGGAGAGTGCATGACGTGCAGGATTCGAAGACGCAGGCGTTGCGTCCGCGTCAGTATCACCAGGAAATTCGTCCTCATCATGCGGTAGCCGGGAGAAAGACTAGCAAGAAAAGATGATGACGTTGAATCGGCATCGTTGGTGCTCGCGTCCTCGTCTGCCAAATCGGATGGCGGCGCGCAGTCGTAGGTTTCTGGGGAGATGGGAGCTGGTAACTCATGATCAAGACATAGCTGTAGGGATAGTTCCAGCATCGTCGCCCACAAGCGCCGACGAACTTCAATTTCGGTGGCCGGCATGTCAGGATCGATTGTAGCAGGGTCTCGATGTAAACCCAGCTGTATCGCCAAGCGCGTGAGGTCATGGTCGCCAGGAGACCACAGTGAGCCGGTTGATGTGGCATTGACTGGGCCGGTGTATCGTGATAGCGCCAGCAGACATATTATTTGCGCAGTGTTCAAGTCTGCCCGTGATCCAGCGATTGCTTTCCGAGCTAACCATTGCCTGCCGTATGCAATCCAGGTTTTCGCTTGGTCCCGCCAGTAGATGCCGTCTTGGGTTTGCTCAGAGACAGTCTTGTCAGCAGTATCCAGTTCGGGGTTGACGAAAGCTCCCAGAGCAATACATATCACAAGCTTGCACAGGAATAACTCTTCAATGTCAGGGGACCATGTTGACGAGGAGCCCGCCCAGAACCGTCCGTAGTCGCGAAGAAACGATGGCACATGCAAGATGCGTAACACCGATTCAAAGGTGGTAAGGTATGCATCCAGGAGAACGTCGCATATCCGCTGAGGCGGTAGCAGCTTTTTCACCGCATAATTGGGTAGCTCAGGAGTTGCGGTCCAATTGAGCGACAGGCTAGGCGCGGAGTGTTTTGATGATCTTACTTGACGCTCGAGCTTGACAAACTTGTCCAACAGCGGTCTCAACGGCTCATACTTGGATTGCAGTTGTATGGGCCCCCTCTTGTTCCTTAATCCGTGCAGAACAAACTGGAGCCGGTCGCATTTATTCATCGCTTCTTCCCAGCAAGTTGCTATTCGTCCATGAGTGGCGACGCTCGGAGTCTGTTGCTGTGGCTCTGGGTCGAAAATGGAATTCGCCGAGGACCGAGAAGTATGGTCCTCGCTTGGCGTCGATAGCTGCCTAGAGACTGCCGTAGATGCATCGGAAAAGTTTGAAGCGCTCGCATCTGGGAATGAGACTCTTGTGGATTGCGAGGGTGTAACTCGAGATTGTGCATCATCAAGGCCCAAGTAAGTGGCGAGATCTGCCCCGACATCGTCGCGTAAGTGCGCCGTTGTTTCAAGGGGGAAAAGATCAAGGCGTCCAGAAGACTGTATATCTGCTAGTTGAGAAAAATCCAGTCGTGTGCTGTTAGAGGAACGAAAGTCGCCGTGTGGAAAGGGATGATAATGGACGTTGCTGTAGATGCATCTGGTGCTTGGGAGCTTGCTGCAAGGACCGCAAGGCGTTGCGCTATCACATCTGATCTTTCTTCGCTGGCATTCGACGCAAGCTGGGGCTAAGCGTCGCCGTTTGTGAGTTAAACTAGAATCCATATGTAGATGATTGTGCGTTGGATGATGACGGTGTTGACGAAGGGTAATAGTTTATGTACCGCATTGTGGTGTTGCTAGATTTATTATCTACTGAGTGTCGGGCACAGAGTTGGATTTTAGTAGGATTGCAAAGAGTGGGTAAGCTTAATTGCAAGACACAAGTACAAGATAATGGGAGAACTGGGTTAAGAGGCAATGGTCCCAAACAGTATCTTTCATATATCTTCTACAATATCCATGAATTTTATTATAAGTATGCTAATGCAGCTTAATTTATTTTATGTAGTCGTTTACAATATGTTATAACTTTTCTTAAAACTATTTTGGTAGGCTATTCCTGTCTACTAACTATATATACGTATATATAACTAAAATTCTAAATTTAATCTTGTATGTAATATTGGAAAAAATACAAATACTTTTCAATAACTGTATTACAGTTTCATGTAAATTGATAAATATCATTTTAAAGATTAAGTACTTAGTAGTCCTATAACAAGCTAGGTACTTAGCCTATAATTATAGCGGCAGCGCTAAACAGGCCCTAGGTATAAATCTAGGCCTTATCTAGCCACTTGCACTAACCAAAAAGATCTTCCGGCCTAAATCTTTGCTCCTTCTCTTCAATGTACGGGGCTGTTATCTTACGCCGGTAACAATATCCCAACTCTTGCTAGTCTTACTAGCGGCCAAGTCAAACGTGCCGTCATCGAATCTGCAATATCTGTAGAGGCCTCGTGGGTGAGAGCACTGGGCCGCACCTTAGCTAGAATAGCTGAGCATATGTATATCGGCACCTATGACGGTTAAAGAAGTGTTGATAGACTGAGATTTAAGAATGAAAGACCCCAACAGTGCTTTTGCTTACCGCTATTCTCTCTTCTTTGGTGCGTTTGAGAATAGCAGGCAGCGTACATGCCGTGCAATGGGACGTGAAACGATTGCGATGCATCAAAAACGTTGGGGTAGCCTCGCCCACCAAAATGAAAATGGCGTCGCCGACGTTATTCCAATTATTGCCAGAATTGGTATATGCATGAAGGTCTAGATAACCGGGAAATAGGCATCGTTCAACCGATCTCCGGATAGTCTAGGACGGGAAGGTAGCTGTGTAGCCGCCGCCAGGTAGGATAGAAATTGGAACCAAGCTCCGGTAGCTATCAGCTGCGGCCCGGATGAAGTGGTGCGGTCTCTTATCCGCGAAACTACAAGCAGGTGGCAGTACACTGACTTAGATAAGTGGGTTTGAAGATGCTGCATTGGTGCTGACTGTGACAGTCGGTGGGATCGTTGGGCTCGGGTTAGACTGCATCACGACATATGTCTTCGGTGCAATTGCCACGCCGGTATGTACTATAGTTACGGTAACTTCTTTGATAGAAACAAGGAACGCTGTAACTTCCGTTGAACTTGCGTATTCGCACAATAACAACAGTTAGAGAAGGCTTTGGATCTCTCAAATGCTCCCCGGTCCTTTTCGTAGAATTGGTCATCTGATCGGCATAAGACAGCTGTTGTTAAAGTCCAGATTGCTCTCGAAATCTAATGCTGACATACCAGATATGGTTATGTCAGTCTAATCCCAGGAAATTCTTAGTGTCACTGTGTATTAAACTCAATCGGATACGGTCTGTTCGAAACCTGCAAAGCGGAAACTCGAGAAATCAGTAATGCTCTAATCCACTACTAAGATCATGTCTATATTTCCATGGACATAGGTTCCACCAGGAAACATCGATCTCCGCGGCGCCGTAGTGATTATTAATTGCTACATATCTGTCAACCTGGTTGTTGCAGCAGTCATCGCGCCATACCTAGGGAATGCTATATTGGTCTTACAGCCTTGCAAATAAGTGAAGACAGATTGTAGATGCTGGTTTCTTATCTGAAGTATAATTCCTTCAGGAGACTTTCATGGCGTGAGCTTAGAATAGTGAAGGGAAATGGGCCACCACCGTCCATGATCTAGTTCGTCGAGCGAGAAATACACTCGAGCTTTGCTCGCGTCTTTTCGGCTCAACACTTTTATTCCGTTTGGATTTTTACTAGGCCGAACTCGGCTTTTGAGCGTGATATAATCGGTGTGCTATGCTAGTTGATGATGAATACGCTAATCTTTGCATGTAGAAAATTTTCTATTTGCTTGTACGCACATAGTTCAAAGTGATGAGTGATAGTATCCGGTTCCCGTAATCTCTTCTATGGGGGAAGAATGAGCATCAAACTGTATCCACCACACAGTTACAAAAAAATGATAATTGCAAGAAGCATATGGAGACTTGGTAAATTCTACACGATGAAGAGGATAGATAGAATTGTTTGCCAACTGGGAGGATCTCTAAGCATATATGCCAGCAGATACTCGCCAGTTAACAATGGCGTCGACAGCCGACATTGGCGACGCAAAAGATTCGATAACATTTTTTTCCACATGTGCTTACCATGGCGTAGTTAGCTAAGGTTAGCCTTGGCAGTATATGGGCTAATGTTGTATCCGGAAATGCATACACTAATTCTTCTGGCCGTTTGAAGTAAATTCGCATATAGGCAGCGTCCTTATCCATGTATTCCGTCTCAGTTGGTCCAAGTAGTGGCTTAATGGTAGTGCTGTCTATGATGTAAGTCCTGCGAGCATATGCCTAACCATCATTTAACCTTTGACAGCTAAGCTATTCTTGTTCCCCTCTTTATAAAAGCTTGTGTTTATATTATTCTACTTTATCCCAACATGTCCAAATCGAAACTGCGTTGCTCATCGACACAGTTATGACCATTTGTGTCGATAATGGCACATTAATCTTACATAAACCTATAAGTTTCAGGCCCTAATCCTGCTTAAAGGCTACTTGGGTGATTGAGACATTTGTACTAAGATACATAAATGAGAAAGAATTCATGACCCTAAAACTTACAAAAAAAGTGTGACTGGCCAGAGTTCAATGAGAGCTATAACCGATTTCCAAATATAAATATATGGCTAGTTGTTCCCAATTCGTTACGTCTCGAGCAGAATCACTAATATATAGTTGTGTATGAATCAATCAAGCGAATGAGAAAAGGTAGTCTAGGGTCGTTCTCTTCCACTTTCCCTTATGCTTGTCACTGATAATATTCTTTGATAGAAACTCGAAATACACCAGGGAGTAGGTATATTGGAAGGACCATTATAGTTACCTTGGCTATGTACTATATCTTAATAGTTCTTATAAACTCCTAAACGTTTTTATAATGTGAGTACTTGAGTCCTAGGCCAGTGTTGCGAATGACATAGAGCTGTGTGCGTGTTGGGAAAATTTGCTGAAGCAAACTTGATGAACAGTGTTTCTTATTCAATTTGAAGAATGCTTTCACAAATTTAATCATACCATTCTAATTTATACATGATATACTACCAATGATCCGCTATCACTCAATCGTATATCAACGCCAAGAAGAAGAAAAGTGGTTTGTCGTTGGCAGACGAAGAGTGGGAAATGACTAGCAAACGTTGAGATTATGGGTTTTGCTTGACGAGCTTCTCTCAATGGTGGCTTTGCTTTTAGTTTCTTCTAGCATGACAATTGAAAGTACTTGAAATGCCCACATTATCTGCATCAGGGATCAATTGAACGTAATATAGCTATGCTGCAGCCTTGGTTTTGTTTCGTTCGCTGTTGTTAGCACAGTTATTACCAATCCATACTGAGCGTAACGCTAGACCTAATCTAAGCATCGCCCCAACGGGAAAAGAAAGGAGGAAGAAAACAGAGGAGAGGGAGTGAGAAAGAGGCTACTATTAATTAATTATTCGTGTATAGAAAGATCTTTGACGAGGAGGCCTCAGAGGTGCACATGTATCTATCAAGCTTGAATCTTGTATGTCTTAGAATACTAGCTGATAATGTGTTTTGTCTTAAATCCTAGCTAGCTACACTGCTCTATAACGCTGAATCAGAGCTTTGATAGATCAAACACCTGTTCTGTTTAAGTATCTTCATTTGTACCCCTTAGTATATCAAGAAGGAGATAGTCTCATCGCTTCCTCCCTTCGGACAAAACAAATAGTATATTACCTCGAGGTCAACTCCGACGAACCTAGGGCTCATCGGAATTATTATCTCCCCGCATCAGACGATGGCTATAGAAGCCCACAACGAATGCGACGCACACCGCGATGGATGTTTTATATCTGGCTTGCAGTTCAGAAGGAGCTATATACCGACGGCAGTTCTGCCAACATGCAACATATATCACTTCGGCCGATATTCAGGCAGAATCGACTGTGTTTTGTTGTTGGTGGATGCAATCCGCCGCCAGCGTAGCATCGCTGATTTTGGTGCTCTGGGACCTGAACAAAGTCTGCGGAACCGAGGTCCGTGGAAAATCCGCAAACAGAAATACTCTGCGTCTAAATCTCCTTACCAGCTGAAATACATATGAAGTGACAGTGGATAGTAACATTGCGAGGGGCGCGACCCCTATCAGAAACTGTTTGCGATTGATTATGAGTTTTGGTTGGTCAATACGCTGCCTCTTGTCTTACAATCGCCTGATCTTGCTCAAGCTGTTTGGTTAGCGGCGGCTGCAACGACCGACGCTCTGGCCCCAGCAAATATGGAGCCAAAGAGGATTTATCACCTCCCCAATACAGCTACTTGATTGTTTCTATACTCTCAACTAGGCAATGGAGTTGACACGGGATTATTGATCCTCATGCACCATAATGCATCTTGAGGTGGCTAGAGCGGGGTTCACGCGGGGTATGGGGAACTACGGTGTGCCTTGATCTCTTGTGCCCACGACCGCTGCAAGTCGGCTTCTCCATTTGCATACGGAAACATGCGTTTGACTGCAGATGCCCTGGGCAACTCGAATATGCTTTTAGCAGTGAAGAATATACTGAAAGAATGATATAAGGGATCAATTGGTTGTGGTAGGAGACGTCGGTAAACGTGAGCATGTCTGCTTCACATTGCGACCAGAGACTGCGTTTTTCGAACCGTCTCGGGTCAAGGATACCACTGCATTGGTGCCAGCAAAAGATACGAAGTAGCATTGGCAATTCCACTGATGCCTGACTGGCACCTGTGGAGGATCGACCCATTTGACTACATCCTCCAACTATCCGCGACCATAACTTGACCCGATTGTGGTCTGGTGCCGATCCGGGAGTTATTGCCGACCCCAATAGCTAAAATTCAACGAATTATATGTGCACACAGGCTTCCTAACGTTGTAAATGAGAGTTTACGGAATTACAAAACCCGTGTGACTCGGGTCAATGCTCGGCGAGTTAGCAAATAAAGGTGCTTGTGGCCATAGGCCCCATACAACTCTATAAGAAGCTTATGAAAACTCCTAAGCTTAATTGTAAACTCGTAGACGTCTTCTCGGACATCTGCTCGGACATCTCACTGCAGCTAGGCCATGGCTAGCCTATTCAGGCCCTTTCAATAACATTGCCAGCTCTCAGTTACTATACTTACTCACTATACGTCTGAGCTAGGCAAGCCCTGCATCTTACGAGCAGCCTGTTTGCAACTAGCGTACGGAAAAGTATGCCCACTGACGCTAGTATAAACAAAAGTTATAGGTGACCAAGGAGTAAGACGCTCCATGGATGGCCGCAGATATGTTCGGACCGATCTCACATACCTCAACCTGTGCTTGCTCAGGCATCGGCTTCATCTCGGGATATGCACCTACAATACGAGGTAATGCATAGTTCATCAAGAGCTTCGTGAGAGGTCAGGTGAGAGATCGAGTACTACCAGCTAGAAAGGACAAATGTATAAATTCTTCGATTGGGCCCTGTACTCGACGTGAAACTCAGACCTGTAGGTCCATGGGCCTTGTTCTCTGTCGATCGTACTCACAATGCTGCCAAAGTTAAACCTGGTTCGCCGTCTCGGGCTTGGTGCCCTTGCCGCTGCAGCTTTGTCTTCTCTCTCAAGTGCTGCTCCCGCCAATGTCGCTATTCGTTCACTGGAGGAGCGCGCCTCTTCTGCTGATCGTCTTGTCTTTTGCCATTTCATGGTTGGTATCCCTCCGAGAACCATCCGCAACTCCGCTAACTCGATTTCTTATTGTAGATTGGCATCGTCGGTGATCGTAGCAGCTCATCCGACTATGACGATGATATGCAACGTGCCAAAGCCGCTGGCATTGACGCGTTTGCTCTGAATATTGGCGTCGACGGCTACACCGACCAGCAGCTCGGATATGCCTATGACTCTGCCAATAGAAACGGCATGAAGGTGTTCATCTCTTTCGACTTTAACTGGTGGAGTCCTAGCAATGCTGCTGGCGTCGGACAGAAAATCGCCCAGTATGCCAATTTGCCGGCCCAGCTATATGTCGACAATCGCCCGTTTGCTTCTTCATTTGCGGGTGACGGTCTTGATGTTAACGCGTTGCGTTCGGCCGCCGGGTCCAACGTGTACTTTGTGCCCAACTTCCACCCCGGCCAGTCCTCTCCTTCAACTATCGATGGTGCCCTTAACTGGATGGTATGAAGAACATCTGCCGACGCTGGAAGAAAGCAATGCTAATGCTCATACAGGCATGGGACAATGACGGAAACAACAAGGCGCCCAAGCCAGGCCAAAACGTCACCGTAGCTGATGGTGACAATGCCTACAAGAACTGGTTGGGCGGCAAGCCCTATCTCGCTCCAATCTCGCCTGAATTCTTCACGCACTTTGGCCCCGAAGTGTCATTCAGCAAGAATTGGGTGTTCCCTAGTGGCGCGCTGATCTACAACCGCTGGCAGCAGATCCTCCAGCAAGGCTTCCCGATGGTTGAGATTATCACCTGGAACGACTACGGCGAATCGCACTACGTCGGGCCTCTCAAGTCAAAGCACTACGACGACGGAAACTCAAAATGGACAAATGATATGCCCCACGATGGATTCCTCGACCTGTCAAAGCCTTTTATTGCTGCATACAAGAATAAGGATACCGATGTCTCAAAGTACATCCAGAACGAGGAGCTGGTTTACTGGTACCGCCGCAATCTTAAGGGATTGAACTGTGATGCCACGGACACTACCTACAACCGCCCAGCTAACAATGCGAGCGGAAATTACTTTGAAGGCAAGCCCGATGGCTGGAACATAATGGAGGACGCTGTTTATGTAGCCGCCTTCTTGAAGTCTGCTGGTACCGTCACCGTCACGTCTGGAGGCACAACCCAATCGTTCCAAGGAAATGCTGGCGCAAACATCTTCCAGGTTTCAGCCAGCCTGGGCCAGCAGAAGTTTGCTCTCACCCGAAATGGCCAAACCGTCTTCAGCGGCACATCCCTTATGGATATTACCGACGTCTGCGCCTGCGGCATATACAACTTTAACACATACGTCGGCACTGTTCCAGCAGGATTTGATGACCCTCTGCAAGGAGACGGTCTCGCATCGCTCACAATTGGCCTGCATGTTACAACTTGCCAAGCTCAGCCCTCTCTGGGAACCAATCCCCCGGTTACATCAGGCCCCACCACTTCGATTTCAGCTTCTTCGACTCGTGTTTCTTCTACCCGCGCATCTTCTCCTCCCGTGTCTTCTCCTCCTCCAACTTCTCGTTCCAGCTCTTCTACTCCGCCAGTCAGCACACCACCATCTGGCCAAGTCTGTGTTGCTGGAACCGTCGCCAATGGTGAGAGCGGTAACTATATTGGTCTGTGTAACTTCAGTTGCAAGTAAGTCTTTCCTACCTTCTTTTATAGCTTCACAACTAACTCTCACAGCTATGGCTACTGCCCCCCTGGGCCATGCCAGTGCACTGCATATGGCTCGCAAATTTCTCCGCCCGCGTCGAATGGCCGCAACGGCTGCCCTCTGGCTGGGGAAGGCGACAGCTATTCGGGCCTCTGTAGTTTCACCTGTAATCACGGCTACTGCCCCCCAACAGCATGCCAGTACTGCTAGATCAATTGAAGTTGTATAACTGGATGTCGTGAGGAAATTAGTACCAGCTGTGAACATATCAGGCTCTATTAAATACTTATAGCGACTATATAGCACTAGCACTGCTTGTATATATTTCAGATTGTGGCATTAAACTCCGAGGTGAGCATTTGGACGTGTATGCCACAGTATAACTCACCTTTGGATGACATGATTCCCATCCTGGTGCAGAGCAGAGATTATCAGGTATCTAACACCTACAAGACCTCAAGTAGTTGTTATATATGTCCGCGCGTATTCACTGATTGATTGCGAATTGTTGAAAAATGGGTTACTTCCAATGCAAATGATTCGCCCAATATGTATCTAGACCTTTCTAAAGTATATAACACATAATAACAAGAGCTTCTAAGTCATCCATGCTTCTCATACTCCGTGCTCTTAGTCGTCATAGTCCTCATGATGTCGGATGATAGTTTTCCATAACCAAGTCCTCCTTGGACACACTCTCCGCCAAGAACCAGCCCTCATTCTGAAACAAGGATATCAGCTCAGCGCGACCATCCGATGCAAATGTGTAGTTATCTGTTTTGAAAGAAGCTTCAACGATATACTCGATTCCAGTGCCACTCGAGTTCTCTATTGGCCAGACCTCAATGTCAAGTTCAACGCCATTCCATGTGCCAACTGAGCGCTTGGTAAGAACGGGACCGTAGATGACACCACTCTCGAGCATATCAGTACCCCAATTGTTGGATACCCAATCATCAAACATGCCTGGCGCGTTTGACTCCAACATGCTACGCGAATCAGCCTCATCTGGGTCATCCGTGCCACTGTAGCCCTTTGACGAAGCCGTGTAATCCCGCTGGATGGAAAGAGTTTGTGAGGCATAGAGCCAGTCAATCTGGGCATCATAGTTGCCCTGGCCAGAGTTCCAACCGTCGTTGAAGGCCGTGTTTAGGGCACCATTGATGTCTCCGTTGCTGACCGGAAGACGCCACTTGTATGTGAGGTCAAACCCGCTCTCATTCTCAATGTTTCGAATGCGGCAGCTCCAGCCATTGTTGTAAAGATCTTCCGAAACTGTGTCGATGTATTGCACATTGATCTTCGTAACCGTTGTTGGCATCGCAAATGTGGAAAGAACCGTAGGAGTAAGTTTGAAGCTGGAATCCAGAACAACGGTAGGGTCAAGGAGCAAATGGACTTCATAGTCAGGGACCATGGGACCATCGGCCGCCAGTGCCAGAGGCAATATAATGGCCGCAGATGCGACCTTGGCCAAAACGTTCTTCATGGTTATTATAGCGAGTTATGGGACTTGAAAGGCCTGAAAACGACACAGATACATTTCTTTCTCCTTTTCGCGAGGTCCACGGTCTATTTATCTTCGAGCCCTCGCTCTAGAAACTTCTCAATTTTGTATTGGTATTCCTGTTCACTCTTCATGAGAATGCGGGGAACAAACGATGTATTGTCTCCCAGTCGCAAATGATACCCATGAAATATTTTGTCGCTCTTTCCGTCACCGAGTATCAGTGATATTGAAAGCCCACGTGCTGGTTTCCGTATGTCTTATTGCAGCAAAAAATTATAGCGCGGCGTATATATGGGACACTCAATTTTAGTCTATCATTACTTGTACAGGCATTTTATAGCCCAGGTAAGCGCGGGATGCATATAACAGCAGGACTCCACAGCGCGCCTGTCCGAAAGAAACGTTATAGAGGTATATCAGCCGGATATCAATGGTGATACATTACACTCTTGATGATTGTCCTTCTTTTGTAGTGTAACATGGCAGTTGAAGCCCTCCGTTTGCAGCAATTAGCTAGTGTACCACCCGCAGCAGTGGCCATCTTCCCTGCACGCTTGGTTTACAAAAGATTTCGTCACCGAAAAGACGCAAAATTTAGCTCGCGTTATTTAATACGCCGAGCTTTGTTATGAGCACCGAATTCCCGAGAACTAGCTGTCAGTAAGCGCAAGCAGTAGTAGTCAATATATATTTGAGCAAAGTTGTGCCGTTATTGCCGGGCGGTTGTTACGATGCCACTTTTCTGTCAAAGGCCCTGTACGTACGTGGGCGGCTCAAGCCGTGATACAATGGGGGTTTGTCATAATAATATCCGTCTGTAATTTGTTACTCATGTATTTCGTATGTAAGAGAGATTTCGTGGGGGCAACTATACTTCGATCGCAAACGAAATTTCGTGGGGAAGAATGGCGTTTAAACATTCGCTGCGTGATTCGCTTATTTTTATGACTTCTACAGCAGAGCTGACTGTTAAACTCTTACTGTCTATTCTTACACATGTTTTAATCAACACCACTACACCTTGCTGTTAGCATGGTTGTCTTGCTGCTCTACTACTTAAACTCAAGAGTAAAGACATTAGAGTGAAATCTTTTCCAAGCCCTGGCCTGTGCATTCGTATGTACAGTGCCTAGATGAGGTGTAATAACTGCTAGCTCTGGGGTAGGCCGCAAGTCAAGCCGTTGGAAGTCCAGCAACACGCCTCTAAATCCTCATAGATCAGCTGGGTTATTCTCACAACTCAATCAAAAATATGCTTCATCCGTATCTAAAACACTACCGAGAGAGGCAACATAGTAATTAGACAACAGGGATATTGTCGTTGCGAAATTGCCTCTGAGATGCTCCGATATATTCCTCCGTACAAGAAAGAAAAAAAAAAGAAAACACAAGTAGCATCGAGATGCGGCGCATCAAATGATGTGCAGGGTAAATATCACTTTGAACATAAAACCGTTGTTCTAGACTTAATCGGCCCAAAATCTATTCATGAAGCTTAGAACTATCTTTTGCCCCTAGGTGCACTTGCCATACCCGTGAACCTAAATGACTTCCGCGGCACACAAAAAGCGACGTTTAGCGCCGACCTTTCTGGTAGCCAGCCATGTTGCCAGTTTCGCTAGGGAATGAAGCAGAGGGGCTTTGGGGCAATTAACAAGTTTTATTATCACGCAGATGGAACTGACGGCGCACATAATTGGGCATTTTGCAAAAATACCGTGTGCTATTGAGGGCATGTAACGAGTGGAGTTAAGTTTACAGAGCTCGCAATACGATGTGTTTATCATTCAACTCTCCCGTGGCGCTTGTATATCGCATTGTTGTTTGCGCTATTTGGTAGCTAAATAATGAGCTTGAATAGTAAACATAAAGTAAGATGGAACTGTATCACCAAACACGTTGGTGTGCAGATAGCTCTTTAGCTACAATTTATAATCTCTTGGTCCTTAATGCTGCTTTGGGTTAACCGCCGTAGCTGAGCCATAGGTGATCCGCCATGACGCGTAACCCCTAGCCGGATAGCTTTACAGCGGCCAATGACTCAACACTAAGCCCCCTACGAAGACTGATTCTGGATTTTCCATTCAAACACTTACCTTGCGATATCTACGGGATCAACAAGTAAAGAGGATAGATAGTGTTCTATTGCGAACCTAGCAATCACTAATCCAGCTACTCTAATCATTCACGACCAATCTTGAATGGTGTCTATCGCCTGTTCTCCAGACGAAAATTGCCAACTACAAACGCAAGCAGTGTTGACCTGTTGCCTATCAATAAGCTCCGATGCAACATGCGCAAGTGTTTGCCATATCTCTGAAATCAAGCACCTTCATTATAGATTGCCATATATCCACGTTCATAAGCCAATGATAAAAGAACGACTTGCATCATGAAACGCGTCGTTGGCCCTCTAGATAAACGCAAGATAGTTTCTCGCTGCCAGGCTTGCGCAAAGAGGCGCATAAAGGTCGGTTCCCTGATTCCATTTCATTCTTATTCGCAGAATCAATAACATGAGTTATAAAAGTGTCAAGGAGGTGTTCCTTGCGAATATTGCAATCGTACCAATAAAATATGTAGCCCACAAGCGGTGGCAACTTCTACCAACTTAAGCAGACAGTTCGTCGCATACGCGCCACGACAACAAGGAGCGGCAACTGCTATCACATTACCAATACAAGTACAGTCAAATGATACCGATATATATCTGAATAGTTTCGCGGAGTTACTTTATCGATGCCAGTTCACCAAAGATTTCCTGCACATAGGGAGAGACCTGCTGCCTTTGATGCACACTTCGCCAGCTTTGAGAGACCTGGGTATCGCAATCGGGGCATTAGATGCTAGCAGACGAGCTTCAACCAGAGCGTGTCTCGAGCCTGATTGGCCACAATGCGTCGCGTACCGCTCATATAGCCGTTCCCTACAGTCTCTCCAACTGCAGCTTCAGACAGAGGATGTCGGAACGGGCCAGGACGTAGCGTGGACTACCTTTCTATTAGGGGTATTTGAGGTGAGATAACTTTGAAATGCAAATCATCGGATGTTACTAAATATAACTAGTTGATGGCTGAACCATCTGGCACCGGGTTCGCGAAACATATGCTCTATGGCACATCAAAGGTACTGCAGCTTGCTGGCCCATATGCCCATCAGTCAACGTTACAGAAGAGATTGCTTGATGCTTTTCGAGTGCTGGAAGCAAACAGAGCAATTCTATACGGAGATGACACATTCTTATCGGAGAGCAAGTGGAGCTTCAATAACAGGGTTACAACCAAGCAAGCTGCAGTTCCTGATCCCATGGCGGATATAGTAGAGCTGAGGATACAAACGTCAAGATTCAGCAAGCAGTGAGTCATAAACTGTTGTATATGTTTGGAAATTGACCTAAATGTGAATAGGCTGTTTCAAATTGTTGAGGATACTCCCACGGAGAAGAGATCTACAAGTTCTGCTGTCAAAGCTCTGGCTCGCGAAGGAACCGCGTTAGATCACAGAATCACCACCTGGAACAATGATAGCCTCTTAGAGTCACCGATTACAGATCCTTTTACCCAAGTTTCATTTGCGTATTATTATGCTCTGCAGCTCTTTCACTGCAGAAACTTTACGTATTATTCGTGTTGGGAGACTGGGACAGTTCCCGAATTAAGCCTACTTGAAACCAATGCGTACGTTGCGGCAATTATAGATGTATGCGACAAAACCATTCGGGCTTCTAATATACCTGGAGTCATTCTCTTATTTCCATTACGGATGGCAGGAGCACATGTCGGATTCGAGCGCAGAAGCAAGATTTTGAAACTCCTCCAGCAAATTTACAACAGCGGCTTCGTAGTGGCGGAAACAATCAAGGCAGATTTATGCGATTTCTGGGCTTTTAAAGAATTGGAATCTTCGAGCAAGCAGAATAGGTAAATAGTTTACTATGTAAATGTGCTCAAGATACAAAGTACCTGAGTAGAAGGAAAAAGTAATGCGAGACAAAAGTCTCTCTCTATCTGGTTGACGCGCGTAGGCTTACTTGCACTATGTAAAAGCTCTCTGAGTCCTTTTAGCGTAGGCAACCCCCTCAGTTCGCGATGTTAAGCTGAATGTTGAAGAAATCGGTCACGACTCGGGTACGCCTACCGGGCGAGAAATAGTCATACCCCACAATGACATTGCAATTGTTCACGTAAACGGTCACCGGAATAACACCTTGATACATGATGTCCCACTGCCCAATATGTTAGCCTACTGCGATATAGGGTCATTGTAAGAAAATGCTTACAGAGGCCACATCACCGTTGAACTGCCTGGTAACAAGCCCTCCGAAAACTGCATCGGCCTTGGCAAGGAAGTCTTGTTCGAAAATGGGATAATTGGAATTAACGTAGCCTTGCCAGACATAGGGCGTTGTTCCATTATAGATGGTCAGGACGTTGTCAACCAGACCATCGCCAGTCACGTTTGCATAATTAAACACCGACGAAGCTGGGGCATCATCGTATGCTTCATTTACGCGGACCATGCCCTTGGCGGGGGAATTATCGATGTATCCAGTCATGATGTGAGAGAGCGTTTCATCCCTAAGTCCTCTGTTAGCTGCGAAGGAAGACGAATAGTCTAAAAACTAACCATTTGTGTTGCACAAAGTTTGCTGTGAACTCAGGCTGTACCAAAGGCGGCTTTGGCTGCTTGAAGCCAGATGAGTACTCGATCATAGATGGCGGAAATGCAGCGCATTTTGGGGTGCTGGCTGCGGCGGCGATAACTACAAGAGTAGTAGCGGCAAGAAGCTTGTTCATACTCATTTTTGTATATGAAAGTCCAGAATTCAATATATATGTTTTAGTGGTATGAATAGCAATAGTGGTAGAACTGCTGTCTTTGAGAGCCAACAAAGGTTGAAGGCCAGATCAGAGCTTCTATATATAATAATTTCTATCCAACGACATACGCAACCTCTTTTAAGTTTAAGATGGGTCGCTATAGCATTGAAAATGCTATCTGACTCCTTCAGAGCGTTCAATTACTACTTCTTTGAGACACGAGATGGAGTACAATTCAACTCAGCCTCGAGCCAGTTCGCCGACCAAGCCCTAGTGTGCCTAGTGTGGGTCATGAGCGAAAAGCGTTCAATTACTTCCTAATCAGGCAAGGGCGGGGGTTGCCGAAGGCGTTGAGAAGCACGGAGTGTTGTTAGATATTACGTAGGTATAGTTGGATAGAACAGAACGCACTCGCGAAGTACTTATTTAAAAGCTATGAATCGAAAAAGGGAGTACATATAAGGGTACTAAGAAACTGAGAATAGAATCACATTGATTCAAGTATATGTGTATGAAAGTTCGTAAATCTTTCTAAGGAGATTCAGCAAAATAGCCCATTGAAACAAACAGCATACACTCGTTTCAAGGCTGGGTTATTGACCAAAAAAAAGAGCAAAAATCGGGAATCTAGAATACAATAAAGCTTCAGCTACTAATTGTGAGTTTTTGAGAAAGATTCGTGGTAATGCTAGGCCAGACTAGATGAAACGGAGTTTAGCGAAATCCTTTGGTAGCCGTGTCTGGCACCGTTGTTTGCTATTGAGATTTCTTAGTCTACTGGCTATGAAAAGGCTGTTGGTTAAGCGCATTGGTCAGATGCAAAGAATCGATACGAACTATGAGTCACAAATAGGGTGATATACATGCAATTGATTGAGGTATCATATACTATCTAAATCAAATACACACTTCCGCGCAAGCGATGGTTGTAGCCAAGTACTAAACAATAGGCAGTGATCTTTTTATATACCGAAATATAACATATAGTGCAGTGAATATAGTATTAACAAGAATGGTGGGAGAAGAAGTTTCCAGTATCATCTAAGAGCAACAGCTGCCATCAGAAGTATCCCCGATGACTACGCTATCGGCGATGGTAGATTAAGCTATCGCTCGAACCTTACTCAAAGATGTCGTTCTGGGCACCAGGAGTCCAGCCCATGTTGGTGCCGTAGGCGGGAGAAGCACCGTTGGGAACCTGGACGTTGTTGCCAGAAGCCTGGTTCCAGGCGATCATCTGCTTAGCACCGGGCAGGCACTTGGAAGAGTCATTTCCGCAGTAAATGGGGACCTGAGCCTGGGCAACCTTCTTGGTGGAGGTGGTGCCGGTGACATGGCATCGGTAGTTGGCCATGTACATGTTGGGCTGACCACAGCCGTTAGGGACCCAGAGCCAGGCGCAGTAGCAACCGCCCTCAGGGCACTCAGGGAGATCCTGAGGGACCTCGTAGGTAGCAATACGCTTCCAAGGAGTGCTATCATCGAGTTAGTGTATGGCTTCATCATCGTTTTAGCATCAGAGACTTACTGCTCAAGAACAGAGAAGACCACAAGGTTCTCCATGTTCACCTGGGAGATATCCGAGTTGTAAGAGATGGCCCATGCAGAGCCGGCAGCCATAGTCTGGTTCTGGGTGTGCATAGCACCATCGTCCTGGATGCAGTCAGGAGGGTTGCCAGGGCCAGACCAGTTCTCGGGGTGGTCCTGTCCATCGGGCCACTCTCCAGCAAACTGTCCGTTGAAGGACAGCGTGGTCTGGGCTTGGTTGTGGGCAAGCTCAACAGTGAAAGAGCCGCCAGCAGGCAGTTCAACGGAGGCATTGCCGGGAGGAGGTGCCTTGTCGCAGCCACGGTCGGCTTGCATCCACCACTGCTCGAACGGGAGGTCCCAGAGAGGGTTGACAGGAGTGTTGGAGTTGGAGTTGTAGTTGCTAGGATCCGGGCCACCCTACGCGATGAAATTAGAATGTGCTTCGTATCATGGAAAACAGTTTGACCCGGAGCTGCACAAACCTCGCAGTACATGCCCTTGACAAAGGCGGCAACGTGGGCATTAGCCCCGGAGGCGAGAGCCAGCGCAACAGGAACGGACCAAAGCATTTTGTCGGTTAAGAATCGAAGATGATTAATGAATGAACGGTTGAACAAGCGAAGGAGTGAATAGAAGAAGGCTGGCTTTGAAGCTGCTTGGGAGAAAAAGGCTGGAAGATTGGCGAGACAGCGAGATACTTATATAGAGATGCTGCTCAACGCCGCTGGATAGTCTACCTATTAGCTCGATACTATCTACGGCTTCCAGGGTTTCCTCGGGAAACTAGCCAAGAATAAGCTGTAGAGAATGGCAGGTCCTCTGTGGGTTAGAGCTTGGCATGGGTTGACCAGAAAGATTGAAGATCTACAACCCATCAGCCTTCGAAGCAACGCTAGTCATGGGCCACTTTGGGCCGCTTCCCCTTTTCGAGACTATAAGAGTTCTGTTTTTCTTCTTTTAGCTCTACATGTAACCTCCTAACGAAACAGTTCCGAAATTATGCGGCTCGTTACAGCCGACCGTGTGGATGGCATTGTTCCTCGCCAAGTGCTAATGGAACCGCGCTTCTTCAAGAATTAACCGGCGGGACATTTCCTTGCATCACATTGCTGTCATGTAGTACCTATCGCCCTCATTGTGTATATGAGATTCTCAGGTAATGCCAAGGAGACAGGCCGCGGACACTGACCATTGATGCTACATCAGGCGTTTCGAAACAAAACGAGGCGGAGAGGGCACCCTCCGCAGACAGGCTCCACATAGCCGAGATGTTCGCTCCACCCACTCTATCTAGAAAAACTTTAGGAAAATAGGCATTTGTCCAGCAGGCTGCCTATACGAAATGCAGCATGGTCATCATACCTGTGTGTGATATCCATGATAGCTGGTTAGGCTTTGCTAGTCTCCTTGTCACCATGCTCGTTTCTAAACGCTAATAGTTTCTATACCAAATTGAAGCCCAGTCTCACTCAGACCATAAAGATGTAAATGGCAGGTCGATGACCCGTAAGCTTGGCCACTATCACGAGGCTGCCTCGCCTGAATTTCCCGTACGCTAGGAATAAGAGCTCCTTCAATAGTATTCATTTCTCGAGCCCTATATGGAGCTTCCCTTCACTGCGGCATATGTACGCGCGCCGGTCGGTCGTTTCGGGGAAAAAAAATAAACGTGCCATTCAAAGTTGACACTGCTGGCATTTCTGGCTGTTCCTGGTAACCCTTTAGTTAGCGCTTAGGCGATGCGATGAAACAGGCTAAGGCTCATGTTAAATAAGAATACAAATCTTACGAACTGCCATCTTTGATCGGTAATCCCTGTGCCTGTTAACAGCCGAGCGGCCGCTTTCTATTTCTATCACTAAAAACAGAGCTTTGGAATAAATGCCGGCGGCCATATTATTTCCATAGACTGCGACTGCGAACCCCTTACCACGTATATGATAGAATGTAGCGGGCTTGCCGAGCAGCAGATATGTAATCACCACAATAAGATGTGGAATTTTGCCGAGCACTTGAACTGCTGTCAGGACAATGATAATCGCTGCTTGGAGAAATGGTGCCTCTACTCGAACTTATAGAATGTGTTCTTTCTTTGTTGTACGTTATTGCTACATATGGATATATAGCTGGGAAATCTCATAAAAAGAATTGAACTGCCGAAATATACCAGAAAAAGGCTAGAGACAGGTCAGAGAATTTTTGTGGCTTGACTAATCCGCATATCATCTTTTTCTAAGCCAAGCAAGTCCTTCGCGAGCTTCCGTGTAGCGTTAGCTATTGACTACTGCTATTACAACTTTCAATCTAAGTTTCCAATTTTCATGTAAGGCAAAGCAAAAATAGCTGCCTGCTGAACCGCCTAACTTGGCAGAAATGGCTGACCTTGGCCTTGCCACAGCATAATACTCCGGGATGTCCTACTATGTGTTGTATAGTGCCATTTACTGGGGAGCTTTTACTCCGTCTGTACTATCACAAATACCATCACACGAGACACGTCACCACAAGAACTTGGAAATGGGAATTCTTACACCTATCAAGAAAGAAGAAGAAGCAGACTAAAACTAGTGCGGCTTCTCTATATATTGCCCACCCCTCACGCCCGTGGAGCTTTCGCGGATCAGAACATGTCTGCGAAGAAAAGAATAACATAGTATTGCATCTGCAAGACATATTCAGCTGGCGAATTCCATATTCTACAAGATATGGGTTTAAGTAACAGCTCGGCTTGATATACGACTATCCTTCGGAACTTATTAATTCTGCAGCCATGACCCAGAATTCCTCAATATCTACCTAGGCGCCTATGATAAGCTGCCAAACTATATTTCGTAAACCGTCATGATACCTAGCTAGGCACCTATATAGAGCCTTGCTCCGTCGCACTCGTTACGTCTTTGCGGCTCTCGAATTTTCTAGGGATCTTGGCACGTCTCAGGACCAGATCACCCTGGCCTTGAGGTTATGAAGTGCCATCTTCAAATGCTCATCTTGCAGCTAGCTGGAGCCACTATCTCAGCCCCTATCGTGTGCCGGCCCAGATCCAAAGAGCACTGGTCCTTGCAAGTCCTAAATTGACTACAAATCAAGATACTTTGAGGCTCTCGGTAAGCTTGCTGACAGCCAAGGCCTTTGATTGGTGGAGAGACAGCGCCCGGATACGAGCCCCTGTATCATTGATATTATTAGGTGTAAAAGCTCGCCTCAGTTGCCCTATATGCACCGAGACCCGCTGGTGTTTCACCCACTGATCGTGCCAACCGGCTCAAAGTCGCGCTTTTACAATATACATTTCCCGCAAATGGTCTTGATACTGATTCGAAAAGGAGAATGATTACTACTCGCATGAATCACGAATCACTGCGTAATCGTTAATTATCCAAGGAGCAATCGATCTCATCTGTTCCGGATTCCGGAAGCGCCGGTTCACTCTGAGGGCCCAGCGTCGATTGCGTTTCGCAAGGGTGACTAGCTGGGACTAAATTTTAAAAGGCTCGTTCCCAAACACTTGATGACATTCGGTCGGAGATAGAAATGCCAACTTCGTCATTCGTTTGTTGTAGATTTTGTTCATTTTTTGGGATCGATGTTCATTAAGCCTCAAATCTATAAGAACCACAAGTATCATTTGATACGTAAGGGACAAGCGCATCTGTAATAGAATGGCTTGTAATTGCATCACCCCCACGATGTGATGCACTGAACGCGTATTTGCAGCCCATGTCAGCTAGCCAGCTGAATGATCAAAGATAAAGAAACCTCCCCCAGTCCTACCCACAGCGCCCAAACCTTTGAGATATTCGACGACCAATTCGTGTCCTCCAGCCAGCGCCCCTTGCAATGGAGTCTGCCCCCTGCGATTAGAGGTCGCATTGACATCGGCACCAGCGCCGATGAGCCTTTTCACAACCTCCAGATGTCCTTTCTCAGCAGCCGCATGCAAAGCAGTCCCGTCACCATCGTAGCCGCCGCCTGAGGCATGTACATCAGCGCCTGACCTGAGTAAAAGCTCCACGATCTCCGAATTGCCTTGCAGGCATGCCCCCTGAAGAGCTGTAATGCCCTTATACCTTGCTGACGGGGCATTGACCTGCGCCCCAAGAGAAAGCAGCAGCTGCACGATTACCCTAAAACCGCCCCTTGCCGCTGCCTGTAAAGCGGTACGACCTGCTACTGGCGACGGGGGCGCATTCACCTCGGCACCACGATCCAAGAGCAGCTTCACGATGGTGAGATGGCCGCGTTCTGATGCTGCCTGCAGCGCAGTTCTTCCATTGTAGCGAGCGACAGCATAAACTTTCGGCGGCGAGTGCCCCTCTTGTTGGCTTCCTGTAAGTATCCGGATGCCGTGATTCGTTGCGGGACTCATGTTGACCTCTGAGCTTGCTTCTAGAAGCAGGCGGACGACCCTTTCATTCCCCTGCCCGCAAGCAATCTGTAGCCCAGTACGCTGAAAGTTATTTCCACCGCAGAAATGAATATCCGCTCCAGCGGCGAGCAGACATTTCACGACGGCTTCATGTCCTTGCATGCAGGCTGCTTGTAGGGCCGTTTGGCCATAATAGCCTTTTGGAGGTTCGTTGACGGCAAAGGTACCTGCTGAGGCGAGGATATCTCGAACAGCCTGAAGATCCCCGCTTCTAGCAGCGAGCTGCAGAGGCGTCCAGCAGTACTCGTCTACATCTTCAGTTGGCAATGAAGGATCCCACGCCGCATCCAACGGCGATAAAAATGCTTGTTGCTGTGGCCGCACTGCCAGCGGAGTCTCGACAAATCTTTGTATCATTTTCGCATTGACAACTTATCGATGCATTGCTTCTTATGTAAATTCGACGATGAGCGATATCAACCATTTGAAAAGTGGCTGATTGGATCTTGGCTGTTCGGGGGACTTGGGATTCTACCTTCTCTATAGAACCACGTGCAACTTTGATCCTTCGCGCAATTTTTACAAGCGACTGCACAAACGTAATATCAGAATCAGGCTGGTATTGGACGCCCTTTGCTATGCACACGATTCCTAAATATATAATTGTCGCTCATGTGACCACTAGACTCGCGTATTTGCACCTCAGCCAAAGGCAGTACATAGCTAGGTGTCAACATATAGGAATTTTTCTTAACCTAATCTAGCGATTTGTATTGTACGGAAATTAACAGGCATAATGCAGATTGCGAACCGCCATTCCAGCACTTATATACGGTATATTGTTTCAATTAGCACAGTCAACCCAAACGTAAAGGAGAAGAAAGAAAGCAAAGGATGTTCAAATTTGATCAAATTGTTAACTAGGCTCTGAATCATTTTGCTCGGCTAGATGCGAGTCTGCTCTTCCACGAGATGACGGCCTCCTTCAACTTTCAGCCCCTGGATCTATTCTTTTGCACCTTTGGCGATGAAAAATGGCTTCATGCTAAATTTCTTGCCAAAATCATGCTCAGAGACATTGGATGCATGCGGTAACGTGGGATATAGCTGGTAGTCAAAGCTTTCTGGAACGAACCCAGCTTTGGACAGAAGGTCCTTCATATCTTCAACTCCATATCCGTGGTGGTTAGAAATTGTGTGCTGAACCCTGGCTTTATGTTGGGCGTGATAGTCGTCGTGATCGCCGCATTCACCTGCCTGAACGTGATGATGGGAGTGAGCGTCCGGAGCCAGATCTATGACAACCAAGACACCGCCACTTCGGAGGCGCTCATAGAGACCGGAGAGAACACCCGCTTGATCCTCAATATGATGAAGGGCCATGCTGATTACTACCAAGTCGAAATTGAAAAAGTCCTCTGTGGCGAGCAGCGTATTTTCTAATGGCGGTGGGATAGAGCCCTGAACAGCATGCATTTGCTCAACTGGGATACCCGACTGCTGAGCCATCTCGTTGTAGGATGCAACACTAGTTTCGGAGATGTCTATACCCCTTATAATGTCGAATTGGTCCAGGAGAGTGCAGGACACTATGCCAGGGCCGCACGCATAGTCTAGAAGCTTCACAGGAGGGCCGCCCTCTGACCGACTTCGGGCACCCATCCACTGAACGCTGTTGGAGAGGGCATCGCCGATTTTCTTGGACATGTCGAGTACCCACTGCTGCTTGAACAACTCGCGCCCGTGGTCACTATTGAATGTTGGCGGCTGTTTCACCAAAGGGACAGTGAGGGTGGCGCAACCCAATCACTTACTTCCAGAATCTGCGGTTGGTTGCCGCCAAATCCTCCTTTGCGTGCTGAGAGTTTTCCATTTTCGAGAAAAATAACCCTATCGCTTGGTTTCTGTTGGTTATGAAGAAATTGAAGTTTGTATTCGCATTATGGAGGGAAAAGGAGTCTTGAAATACTGAGACAAAGTCTCCGGAAAGGGTCCGCGAAAGTGACCGACCGAGGCAGCTTGCATGAATCGAGTTATGTGTCACTGCTACACCAGGAGCAGTTTATTTCTCCGCTCGGAATATCGGTCTCAATTTTTCAGAGAGACTCTCGTTGATATATTCAGTTCGAATAAGTGCAAAATTTCGCGCTGCACATAACAACGATCTCTTGCTGCGTGGCTGTGCTCAACACTCGAAAGGTGGCGGTTTATTACCATACTGCAGAAGTCACCGTAAACCTTTGCTTGAGTCTGGGTGAGTACGACAAGGTTCATTTCAATCAGTTGCAACACCCGGTATAACATCAGCAATTACACAAAAATTTGTTTCAGTTGCTCAGGATCAATATTAAGGCACTGCGGAATTGTTGCCGCCAAAAATGGTCAAAGTACGCTACGGATTATATTACCTCTCACCAAGACGTATCCTCCGTATATATGTTTCCAGCATAATAATCTCAAATTCAGTCTTTGAATAACAAATTAGTTACCCTATCGGATAATAGATTGAACTAGGTATGTAAAGACTAAATACATTGTGTCGCTTCTTCCTTTGGGCTTCTCGTTGACCACCCTACCATTCTGCAGCTTTTATGTCTAATGGTAAGCGTAGCATTCTGTGGCCGTCCGGGGTCGGTGATGGCAGTCGCCCCCCGCGGATATTGATCTGAAGCGACTGATGAAGCATCCTCGGCGCTGACAAGCCTGCATCACGTTCATTCCGCATAGCGACAAACTCCTCAGCCGTGATACCGTCCTTGAGATGCTTGTTTTGCTCCCTGTGGTCATGCACAGTCATGTATGCTTGTGGAGAGCGGCCGTCCTTGGGGGGATAATCGTGGCCAGTCCAGATCTTGACATTATCTGGTAAGCTGAGCAGCTTACGGCCTGACGAGTAAAGGCTTTCAGAGCTGCCACCTGGGAAGTCACAACGCGCGGAGCCAATATCGGCATGAAAGACAGAATCGCCACAGAAGACGTTATCTTCAGTCAACACGTCAGCAACTTATGATGTTCGGTTAGAATGGACTTGATTCGGTGTCTTACCTCCAACTTTGTAGCCCATGTGATCGGGTGTATGGCCAGGGAGATGCATGGCCGTGGCTTGAATACTGCCAATCACAAACTGCTCATCATCTTCTAAGAGATGGTCAAACACAACTTCATACTGCTCCTCCGGAACTCCATATCTCTTGCCAAAGAATCTTTGGACCTGTCCAATTCGCTTGCCAATCGCAATAGATGGCTTATATCCCTGTTGCTCAGCAAGACGCTTCTGAAGATAGGAAGCCGCCGTCAGATGGTCCGCATGCACGTGGGTTTCCAAAACCCAATCAACTTTGTAACCTTTCTCCTTAACCAGTGCAAGCAATGCATCAGCGGTGTGCGTGGTAAGGCTTTGGCTTGTGCGATCAAAATCCAGGACAGGGTCAATAATTGCGGCCGTCATTGTTGACGAATCAGCCACAATGTATTGCCATGTGCCTGTATCGGGCTCAAACTCGCTGTGAATAGTGGGCTCCATTGCTGAAGAGGAGACGGTGGTGAAAGGCTTTCTGCTGCTTATAGACAGGCCTTTAGATCTGTTGATACTAGCTGAGTTGCCAGATGAAACCCTTGAGCGTGTATGTAATGATCTGTGTCTGGGAATCTGGCAAAGAGAGCTAACTCTGCAGCTGCTAAAGCATCTAGCATGTGTTGAAGGTCGAGTCACAACGCTTGAAGTAAGAGACAAGCTAGTCTCCAGCTGCTTTAAACAACTGGTGATGTGGTATTGAAGCGACATTGTGCACAGCTGATGCTTTATACTTGCTGCAGAATGAATACAGTCGCCGGCTTACTCGTCAGCTCAAGATGTCAACCAGCCCAGAACAGGCGCGGGCATGTCTAATATCGCAAATCGATTTGCCGCATCGAGTTCCCGCGAGTTTATGTCATATTTCAAGTCGTACGAGTGGCCAAATGAGTTCGGCGAGCCGTGAAGCTGGTCGGCGACTATGCATCAGCCATTCATCAATCATCACCGACTTCCGGATGCTGACGATACGTTTTTCGGTGGCGGTGGCCGGATCTTCGCTGACCTTCTCGGCTCGTCGCCGTGAGCCACGGCTGAACCTCGGGTCTGCTTATTCCAGCTGCGGATGTCGGTGATGCAGACGGCCCGCGGCGACTAGTCGATTGCGCGATCGGTGATTATTCATCGCAATGCGTGCAGCGAAGCTCATATTTTAGCTTTTAAGGTGTTTGGCTGCGGAGATTTCTTTTGGTCCTTTCTTTTGTGGTGTGCTGTGTTTTGTTGCTCATTTCTTTCTTGGTGTCTTCATCGCCATCATGCTCCAAGCTCGCACAATGGCCGCGGCCTGCCGCAATGCCAGCAGCCTGGCTCGCAGCTTCGCCACTGTATCAAACGCCTCTTCTGGCCGCAGCCACCGGATTGTGGTGATTGGAGGCGGCTCGGCTGGTCTGGACATCAGTCACAAGCTGCTTCGATCTGGCAAATTCTCGCAGGACGAAATCGCCGTTGTTGATCCCGCAACGTGGCACCATTTCCAGCCCGGGTGGACCCTGGTTGGTGGCGGCATCAAGACCAAGGAGGAGCTCAGAAGGCCGCTGAACAGCCTGATCGACCCCAAATTCAAGTTCTACAACGACAGCGTTGCCGGATTCTCACCAGAAGAAAACTCCATCACACTCGGCAATGGCGACAAAGTCAGCTATGAGCAATTAGTTGTCGCTCCCGGCATCTCAGTCAACTACGGTAGTGTCAAGGGCCTCCCGGAGGCTTTAGCTGACCCGAAAAGCCTCGTTTCCTCCATTTACAGCTATGACACTTGCGACAAGACCTTTGAGACGATCCAGAAGCTGCACAAAGGCACCGCCATTTTCACTCAGCCGGCCGGTCCTATCAAGTGCGCTGGCGCGCCTCAAAAGATTCTGTGGCTCGCGTTGGACTACTGGAAGCGCGCTGGCCTTTATGATCCCGCCAACCCCTCTGGTTCCGCAATTCAAATCAGCTTTGCCACGGGCATGCCTGTCATGTTCGGAGTTGCCAAGTACAACGCCGCGCTGGAGCAGCTTCGCAAGGAGAGAGGAGTCGAGGGATTGTTCCAGCACGATCTGATTGCCATTGATGGCGACAAGGCAACCTTTGCCCTGCCAGACGGAAAAGCCTCTGTGACGAAGCGATTCGATCTCTTGCACGTTGTACCCAAGATGGGTCCTCATGCTTTTGTCAAGGGCAGCGCCATAGCGAATGAGGCTGGCTACGTCGATGTTGATGACGGCACTACTCGCCACAAGAAATACCCCAATGTGTGGTCTGCTGGTGATGCGTCAAGCCTTCCGACGTCCAAGACTGCTGCCGCCATCACAGCGCAGACGCCTGTTCTGGTTCACAATCTCTTGGGATCGCTGGAGGGCAAGACGCCAGACGCAACATACGATGGATATGCTTCATGCCCGCTAATAACGGAGTACGGCAAGGTCCTTCTTGCCGAGTTCAAGTATGGAGGAGAGCCAAAGGAAACTTTTGGCGACTGGTTTGGTATCGACCAGGCCGTTCCTCGGAAATCTTTCTACTACATGAAGAAGCACTTTTTCCCTTGGGTCTACTACCAGCATATGGTGAAGGGAACTTGGGGAGGTCCTAAAGGCTGGATCAACTAAGTAAATAACTTGTCTTAACAACTCAAAAGTGTATCTACAGTTGCTGAAAATCGCTACGTGTGGTGTATTTGTTTTATCGCGACCCGAAGGTGTCTTAGTATGTGTTTATATAGTTTGTCTCAGACAAGTGTCTGGGAATGTGTGGCTCTGGAATGGGTGGATACAAGGGAACAAAAATACTACACATTAATATGATGTTGGTAAAAGAATAATATTAAACGTCTACATATCACAGGGGTTCACAATTTGATCTGATACTTAAAACTGGCTCGCATTGTATGCACGTGTGACGCTAGATTACATATCGCCTGATGAATGAGTGAGCCTGCTAAAGTTTCTCGACATATGTGCGAAATAATGCCATCACCGACATCGACCTTCTTCGTATTAGACGAATACCTTACGTGGCTGTTCAAATACAAAACTGTAAGCAACATCATTGAACGTGATTCCCTCCAGTTGCCTACTACTTTTTTGGCATTCTTCATAGATTCGGTTTTGGTCTAGGTATCCGGTACACCCGTGAAAGAAAAGCTTAAAACCGGTAGAGAAGTAGCTAGTACCCTCAGCGAATTTTCTGTACCATTTGTGTAGATATTTGCGAGCGAGTGAATGGAGAGACCTATGTGTTTCAAGTCAAACTAACATGGGCAGCATTGCTCTAGCCCATGGCTACTTTTCCGAAGCCCTCACTCGTGCTCTCGCCAATGATGAGCAAGCATGAAAGCTGACAAATCTAGGACACTCTGTAAACTTGGATTTAGCTGTAAGTGGCGTAATGACGAATAAGCCACAATAGCCTTTACCATCGATTGGAGTCAAGTGGCTACTAGGTCGAAGGACAGTGCAAACGTTTAGTCTGTCAATACGTAGTGTTCAACCAACAATGCTAAAGCAAATGCCGCAGAAAACTGGCTGTCTTCGCCGAGGATATTCCTCTAGGCCAGTAACATGTTGCTGCAATTGCGCAGAATGCGACCAACTGATCTAAGCGTTCCATTCAGGAGGTACAACGGTTGGCTTCTACATGGCCCATCGCTTTATCCAATACCATATACTGCAATAATTTTATGACATTTGAGTGCATTCATTGTACTCATTTTGTTCCCACAGTAGCTCAACTTTTTTCGTTCAAGTGAGTCTCTGATGCACACCGCGGAATCCGCGAGGTCATCGTCGCGAATGACGAACGAAAATCGAACACATATTTTTGTCACTAATTATTATGGGTATCAGATCAACTCGACAATGAATCAATTTCACAAAGATGAGAAGAATGAATGTTTAAATTTCCGTTGGATGTAAATTGTGTGCTCTATGTATGAAAGTTGTGTTCAGGCCTTTCGTATCAAACGAGTGTAGGCAAGGCTCTATAAAGGTATGGACAAGAATGTAATCGTGGTATATGTTTGAAAAGAGATATATGCGTATACATGTAAGAAATGTATTCACATATGATGCATGAATTAAGAAGACAGAGCATTTCTTCTTAAATCATTGTGTAAACGAATTGAAACCGCTTAAGCACAGGTGCTAGTAGCAAGGGTCCAGCCCGTAAGACGGTTAGCAACGTCGGAGGCGTAGCAAGCAGTGCTACCGAGGCCATTGTCGAGAGAGGCGAAATCAGCAGAGCCGCTGTTGTAGAGGCGAGAGGCAGCATAGTAAGCCTGGCTGCCAGAGTTCTTGACCTCACCCTTGGCCTGTGAGTAAAGCTTCTGGAGGCCGGGTCCCTGAGTGGTACCGGAAACACCGTCCTTGATCATTTGCTCGATGGCGGATGAAGGGCAAGGGTTGATACCGAAGCAGGTACCCTTTCCATCGTGAGACTGCATAAGACCGGGGTTGGTAACGCCGTTGTTGGTAGTGGGAACGCGGACGCAGCCCTTGCTCTCCTGCATGACGATGGCGAGGATGAAGCGCTCGTCGACGCCAGTAGACTTTGCAGTTGCCTTGATAGCACTGGCAATGTCATTAATCTCTGTCTCAGAATCATTGTCGACCCAGCCGTTCCAGACGCAAGACTGCTTCATGAGAGGGACGTTGGCCTTCCAGAGGTCATCCCAAGAGCCCCATGAGTCCTGAGACGGCCAGCCGGCACCGACTGATCCGTCACCCTTGTAGTAGGTGTACTTGTCTGCAACGCCGCGCTTGACAGGAGTATCAGCAGCGGGGAGAGCAGTGCCGAGGGCAGCAAGGCCGGTAAGAACGAGAGCAATGTTGCCGAACATCTTGATGGTTTGGATTGTGTATATGTTTAATGAAAGAAAGAAGTGAAGTAGCCTCAGGCCTAGTTGGAAAGGAGTGTTTGGTAAAGGCGTTTGAAGGAAAGGAAAGGAAAGGAAAGGAATGGAATGTATTGAACTGAATGAATCAAAATATCACTGCTTTCAGAGGAGGAATTGACGGCTTTTTATACATAAAATCATCTATATAAATCATTTGTTTGTCTAGCATGGGAGTATAGGATGTCACTCCTTCCGATGCTAAGGCAAGAAGGCAAACGCCATCTTTTGATGAAAAAAGTGAACAGCTTCCTAACAAATTTTTTTCTCACTTTTCCAAAGATTTTGGAATCTCCGAGTGAAAGACGGTGGTGACAGTATGGAGGAGGCCGATATGCGGTATCAATGCCGGAGACAACTCTTTAGAAGACGGCCTAAAAACGCCACCATGCAAGGGGCCATTTTGAAAAAAGATCCCACTCGCGCCCGACTCGTGGTAGTGGATACAAAGGGTCTTTTTAGCGTGGAATCCACGTGTGCGAAAGGGGAAAATCTCGCAATCGTTTCGCTCCTGGTTTGGCAGTTAATTGCGATATCAAGCCGGTTTGTTGTTGTTTTCCAAACGATATAATTCACTCTTCATGTCTACTTGTCTTTTATTTTCTTGTTCCTTCTTCCCCCCCTCAGAACTTACTTCTTATAAAAATTTGCCGAGAGAACTTAACAGTTCGAAACAGGAGGGGGTGCGCTAACTGTTTGAGCATCATCGCCGTCTAACACCGACATGAATGCATCATAAGCGCCTTTCGGAAGGTTGCAGTGTCAACTAACGGAGTGGCGCTTTGGAAGGTCACTAGAATGGACAAGTGGATTCATAACTGACAAATGGCGGCAAACCACCCTGTGTTGGCGTATAGACGAGGCGTCAACGTTATCGAATCGGAAGCACCCTCAGTCATATGTTCCTGGCTAAACAGATTTCTTCCTTTTCCTCTTCCAGTATCCCTGGATTTGCCGCCGGCTCTATGTCGGGGAGCGTCTTCTCAGCTTTTCATCTGTGACCGAGTCATCAAGACAAACACGTAGCCCCTGAATGACAATAGCACAGACAACACCATTTAGGCAAAAGAAGTTCCAGAAGAGTTTGACGCCTTGCGCTAGAAAAGCAGCCACACTCCTTGTTAACATCACAACTTGAAAACAGATGACCATTCAGGAATACAATGCGTATGTATACTCCTTTGCCAAAATCTTCAAGTTCATCCTTGAGGAAACAGAAGTCATCCTAGCGCTTCAAGTAGTACTAAAGATTCGGTTTCTCGCCCCAAGTCTGAGAGTCCGCATAGATTCGGAAATTTGTTGCCAACGCTGGGGTAAGCAGCGGACCGAGGCTGCCGAAGTACTAACTAATGCAGAGAGGCCCGAAGCCGCGCCTGCAAATAGGAAGATTGTGCAGGGAACATCTCTGTAAAGAATATGGGGTAACCGAACACGAAGTCGATCATCAACTCAAATTCCGGGGAAGTTGAAAAACGGTTTATGATAGACGCTACAACAACTTCTATTCATTTCTAAAAAGCATTTTTAAAAACAAACACTTCTTGAAGCACGATAAAAAAAAAAGAGAGAGAGAAAAACCAGTTGTTGTCCATGAGAGGCGGGCATGGCTATTCTCGGGCATCCGAGATTGCCACGGAAAACTTTTCGCACAGCTGCGTCATCCATTCCGTGATCGAATACACCAAAAGAGATGCCCCTTCTTTACAACACTCAAAACACCTGAACAAAATTTCTCTTGGGATATACTGCCATTTCGGTGAGTTGACAGGCGCCTGGTGGCGTTTGCCCCTGGTGGCGTTGCCCGAAGCAGAAATTTTGTGCCTGGTGCGGCTATTGATTTGACAGAGCAACGCCACTTAGACAACGCTCGCCAACGGCGTGCGCATCCTTCGCGGTTAAAAGAAGAAACTGTTCAATTCCGTAGAATGAGCGTACTGTACGGAGCCTCAAAACAGGTTAGCAGCATTAGCTCATAGCTAAATGGGGCAACTGACTCTGAGTTGTTTTATGGAGTCTTTACAGTATCTACATCGCCAAATACAGTGTACGAAGGCGAGATGGTGTGTTGCTTCTCATCTCTCATTATGAATTGTGGTGACTTTTTTTTTTTTTTTAGTTGCCTTGGACATCTCAACTACTGTGAGATTCTGAATGGCTAAACCGCCAACAGCGTGGTTCTCCTCGTAGCGGATTGAACATTGCAACCGTGGCACCCAAAAGCCGAATAGAGCACTGGTTGAAGGAAAGTCTTGCAAAAGATATACTTTGAAAGGGATTTGAGTACCCTTGAGAAAGTAAATAGAAAGGGAGAACAAAAGCAAAGAATAAATGAGTGGAAACCCACACAATGCGATTTGGCCACTTACTTTGCTGCCAACTTTCATCCAGAGTGTATCAACGTTGTGGAATATCTGGCGCCATTAACAGGAGGGTTCTCCCCGGAATTCATGTCAAGGCTCTTTTCCGGCCCCGCACATTCCCAACTACGAAAGCCGGCTTGATTTCGGACGAGACCGCAGCTGGTTGCACTACATCTACGCAGTCTGATTATTAAACAACGTTCGTAAGCGTAGGTAGGTTCCTATCATCGCTACCCTAAATGTGTCGAAAACAAAGGCGATGGCATTCTAGTTCCTTAACAAATCTTAAAATTCAAACATAATTGCATTTCTATGCAGCCATAATCCTCCAATCCACATATTGATATGGGGATACAAAGGTATGAGCATAATAAGAAATCACAGCATATGAAGCATGTCATTGTGTACCAAGGAAATCAGCTCTTAGTCTCGCTACTGCTCCGCGTCGCCAGCGTCACTGTCTAGTTTGAAACAGATTGAGTAGATCTTGTCTAAATAAAAAGAGGCAGAAAAAAACAAATGTCTACCTCAGGCCTTCTTTGGATTGAATTCATGCTACTTCCCTTTACAAAGGGCTATCCTTTCATACATTGACGGATATGTCCGTTCAGTTTCTTCTGTAATTCGTAACCGACAATGTCATTTCAGAGGCTGATTACATTTTGAAGCATCATATACTCATAGTCAAAGCGCTCTTTCCCAGTAACTTGATGTTACCGTATTGGTTCCTGGTTTTAGAGGCTGTAATTGCACGTCTAATGCCATGCAGATCAAAAGGAGTCGCCACTCAAAAAGAACAAACAAGCTGACAGCTGACAAAAGTTAGCTGAAAACGGTCTAGTTGTGCGGACTTGCGCCTTTCCGCTCCGCCAGCTATAGCCCCGGTCTACTGGACAAAACCAGGCACGTAAACCAAAGTCGCAGCATTCGTTGCTTTATTTGATGTTTCGTGATTCTTGTTTTTACGTTTCAGGTAGTACGGGATGACATAGGTAGGAATTCGGAATTCGTGCTTAACCCGGCATCACACGGTGAGGTGGGATTGGATAAAGGGATGAATGGATCGTCGGTTTGTAGGCTTGGAGAACACGATGGCAAAACAAAACAATCTGAATATAAATATTTGAAGCGCCTTCATTTGAGTATTTGACCACATCTCAAAGACTGCGAACAAAATCAAGCTGAATACCAAAGTCCTCGCGATGAAATCTTCTCTCGCATTCTTGTCGTGGCTGGCCTTTGCTACTGGCTCTGCAGTCTTACAGAAAGGCCTGCCAACTGTTGACCTGGGATATCAAGTCCACCGCGCAATCTCATATGATGTATGGATCTGGAGCCAAAACTTCGAATGAAGTGTATACTGACTTGCATGAAGGACACATACAAGGCATACAACTTCACCAATATACCTTTTGCGGAGCCTCCTCTAGGTGCTCTCAGATTCAATGCGCCAGTTCCGCCCAAAGGCCGAAAGTCAGGCATTCAGGACGGCAGCGTTGGCAAAGTCTGCCCTCAAGCTACTCCTAACTGGCTGGCAATGAGCACATTGTTTAATACGGCATTTGCGAATCACCAGTTGCCTTTCAACGTGACAGAAGCAAATGAGACTTTATCAAAATTGCCTCCGCTGCCGCAAGATGGCAGAACAACGGAAGACTGTCTTGTGCTTGATGTTTTGGTTCCTCAAAAGGTTTTCGATGCGAGAACTACGTCTAAAAAAAGTGCCAAGCCTACCAAAGGAGCTCCAGTATTGGTGTGGATTTTCGTAAGTAGCGCCATTAAAAGGAACGTTGAAAATAAATTAAGTGACCTAACGCTTTGGACAGGGTGGTGGATATGTGCTTGGGGATAAAACAATGTTTGGCACTCCGAATGACCTCATGGCAGCAACGCAAACAAATGGTTCCGATGGCGCTATCTGGGTGGCTATGAACTACCGTCTAGGTGCTTTTGGCTTTCTTTCTGGTCCTACGTTGCAACAAAACGGTACATCAAACGCTGGACTTCTTGACCAGAGGCTTGCACTTGAATGGGTTCAAGAGAATATTCATTTGTTTGGAGGTGATCCTGATAATGTCACCGTCATGGGCATCTCTGCCGGCGGCGGATCAATCATGCATCACATCACTGCATATGGAGGAGAAAAGCCCGCACTTTTCCGTCGTGCTATCCCTCAGTCAGCTGGTTTTGTACCCATACCTGGGAATCGAGCACAGGAACAGGCCTTCAACGACTTTCTCTCTCTGCTTAACGTTACTACACTAGACGAAGCAAGAGATTTGCCATCGAGTGCATTGCAGGCTGTCAACATGAAGCAAGTTGGCAATGCGCCATACGGTACTTTTGCATTTGGCCCAGCCGTGGACGGGTCTTTGGTCCGAGGAATGCCATCAAAGTTGCTTCTCCAAGGTGCATATGTCAAAGGCATTGAGGTGTTCTCCTCTTTCAACAAGAACGAAGGAATGACCTTTACAGACCCTTCCGCTTATGATAGTGAACCTCTGTTTAGGAAACAGATCGAAACTACATTCCCGCTACTTTCCAGCGAAGACGCTGACTTTATTTTCGGGACGCTGTATCCGCAGGTATATGATGGATCTCAACCATATAACGATTCTCTTGGAAGAGCGCAGTTGCTCATCGGCGAAGGAGCACTCATCTGCAACGAGAATGCAATGGTCAAAGCTGCCATACAACAGAATCTTGCTGCGTTTGGTTATGAGTATTCCGTCTGGCCAGCAGTGCATGGGTCGGACCAGGTTCCGCTCTTCTCCAATGGACCAACGCCAGGCGTAGACCCTCAGGTTTCGAGCGTTTTGAAGAATGTTGTTGGAGGCTTTGTAAGTCATGGTTCGCCAAGCAAGTCGCCAACTGGCCTTACGGCGCCTCCCTACGGCCACGACAGTTCCATTCTGAACATCCTGGTCAACGCCTCTTCTGTTATTCGAGATCCTACGGCAAACAAGAGATGTGACTGGTGGCAAAAAGCACTCTACTATTAGCGGCTCGGTTACATGCTGTCAGACTTGATAATTTTCGATGCCGTGAGCCTCAAAGGGGTTCAAAGCGGTCCATTAACTAGATCACTAATCTTGTTCTTTATACACTACTAGAATTGCTAGCATATAGAAATTTAGAGTAATTGTGCTTTATCGTCTTAGTAAACCCGGTAAGCTTAACCATTCTGTGGCTGCTCCTGCCTTTCTTGGTGCTCTTCAGGGAACATGGCCAGCCGGTCTTTTTCTCGTTTCGGTAATTCATCTGCTTCTAAAGATAGAGTTCCGCGTAGTTGTAGCTCGAGTTCCTTTAGCTCTTGTAAAAATCCTGGATTTGGTGATGCCTGCGGACGAGCGCGCACAATTTGCCCCAGAGCCGTCCTCAATGACATGCCATGGTGTTTCATGAGATACGCCGCAACTACCGCTGGAGAGCGAGATATTCCAGCAGAACAATGAACCAAGATCCTGCCCGTGCCATTGTTTGACTGCAGAGCCGCCTCAATGATGTCGCAGGTGGTGCCACTAATCTTCATAATCGATGAAGACGGCGAATCGGTGACGCTTACGCGATGGTAGGCCACTCCTGGGACCTTACTTGGCGGGCTAGTGCCAACGCTCAATACATGTGATATTGAGTTGGCCTGCAGCAGCGAGAGGGACGAAGCTGCGGAGACTGGCCCGATGAAGATGGATGGTGGGAAAACAAGGGAAGTGGAGCTGCTCTTTTCTCGCTTGCCCATTTCCCGGAAACTACAGGGACGTAGTCTTTACTAAATAGGAAATTGCCTATCGAGAGCTGTGCTTTGGAGGTTGGCGAGCTGCCGATGGAACGGAATGCAACTATTTGTGCGGAAAAGGTGACTCAGGATAGATGTATTTTGCCCTTAATATTGGGCTAGCATACATGTACATATTTTTCCAGGCAGCAAACAGGCTAGCATGTGACCTGAACAGCACATAGACGTTCATTGGATACAGAAATTGTAATACTAGACCGAATATCGCATGTGTCTGCTACAAAAAGACTCGATTTGCGGATGACTGCATCATAAGTACTTACGTATAATTTTAACCTAAATTTCTTTAGGGCAATAGTGCTCGCATGTTCACCGATGTTCCATACTAATACCTGCTCAGGCCCAATACCCAATCTTGTGTGTCTGAGGGGCGAATTATCTTCGTATACACCGGAAATACCATCCTATTCACCCGGAAGTGGCGGAAACATTTCCGAGCATTTACCGTGGAAGAACGGCACACGCAATTTTAGGTACTTCATGCTTAAGTTTAATGCAAAACGAAGACAAACACTGCGTCCAGTCGCTGTAGCTGAGCCGAGAAGCCGCATCCGCATTGGGGTAGCTGAGCAGCCGGGTTGCCGTCATCCCACCTTGGCAGGACGATCAATCGGTCAGGGGCTGGCCTGGAGTTCGATGGCTGTTCTAGAGCAGAAGAAAGCTGACTCGCAGAGGAGATCCAGCACTAAACATGCAACAGGCCACTCTCCACTCTAGATTAGTCTTAAACTCCGTTGCTAGGCCCATGATCTGGCTACTCCTGTGCTCCAGCAAGGGGCACAGCTACACACATACATAGATACCTAGTAGGTGTTACTGCCAGCACTTCGTAGTGCGGTGTGCCAGTGCTGCTAGAAAAGTATAGATTCGCTGGTTGATTCCATCTCTGCTTCGCATTCGTAGCAAGGAAATCTTAGGCACATCAACTTGGTGGACAGCCGCAAGTTATAGGAATGCAGAGCCATCAACAGTTGATGATCAACTTACTCGTAGTTATGCGTAGGCGCCTGTGGGGTCCTCGCATGGCTCGGAGCATATGGCTCGGAGCACTCCGTACAAGCTGCTGTTACCGCGCCCATACATGTAGGTACGGTACGTGCATTCTCCAATGCGACCGCCAAACCAATACTACATCTGCTGCATTATGCATACCAAAGTAAAATGCAGGAATCATATTCTCGCTGACTGCAGAATATCCCAGCGAGTTGCTTCGAAGCGTAGTCCAAACATACTTCTTGTGGCACGCGAATGCCACCTTGAGCTCGTATTATTGCTTTTACCGCCAGATCTGTTGCGGCCTTCCTAGCACAGCTTAGCCCTGACTATCCATCGCAGCCACCTGTAGCCGCAATGCTATCAAGGGAGTTTTAGTGGCGCTGAATCTGGGGTCTTGAAAATCCACAAATCACCGTCGCCGGAAGCACTGCTAAGGCCACCCCGTCTCCATTTCCTAAACAAGCAGCTGAAGCAAACAACACCCAAGCTAGGGCAACTACCATCAATCTTTCCAATTGATGACATAGTCTTTTCACTTGTTACGGAGCAAAAAGTCAGTTGTTTCTAGCTCAAAGATGCCTGTCCCATCAGTCCGTCGATCAAACCGTGGGATGCCGGAATCCGGTTGTGCCTGGCGTGGCAATGGGCTAGTACCTCGTTCCACTGCGGCAACTCCTTTCTCTTTCTGGACCTTGAATGAGTATGGATCTTGAGTGAGCCCAAGGCTTGAGATGTTCCCGATATAAAAAGGCGTCTTCCCGCCTCTCTCAGATCATTTCCATTCCAAGTAACAATTGTGATCATCCTCAGCACTTCTTACCATCTCAGCCTTAATCTTTTCAGCCAATCATTCAAAATGAAGTCTGTCGCTGCTTTCTCCGTCATCGCCGCCGCCATGGCTGGCTTCACCCAGGCTTGCTCTACTCCTGGCAACTTCATTGTTACCTTCTATGGCTACCCCGACAACAGCCCTCCCGGACCTGGTACTGCTCACAACTGCGGTGGCCGTAACTTCAAGGCTGGTGGTAAGTAGCTACCAATATGGACTGTTTTGTGAATGAGAGTACTAAGACGTAACTAGGTACCGGAACTTATGCTGATCCCATCACCATTGCCACTGCCCCTGGCGAGCTCAACGTTTGCGAGATTGTCTACCTTCCCCTGTTGACCAAGTATGGTCGTTACGAGGATGACTGTGAGCAGTGTCGTACGTATCATTCCCAATAACGCTGTCAAATTGTCATATGCTGACCCCTCTCTCAGAGACCGACTCAAACAACGGCCAGCCTCACATTGACATCTGGACTGGTTCCAACAGCCAGAACGGCGGCCAGAACCAGATCAACTGCGAGAATAACCTCACCTTCGGTGGCCGTTACTCCATCGTCCGCAACCCCCCTACCAACTACGGTGTTGACAGTATGTTTCATATCCTCCGGTATTTATTGGTCGCGACTAATCATTTGTTTTAGCCACCCCTCTCTTCTCTGCTCCCAACACTTGCAACACCAACCACGTCTACCCCAGCAACCCTGCTCACTGCTAAATTAATAGCCGGCAAGCTTGTAAATAGCCGCAGCTTTTTAACTTTCGATTTATGATAATGATTAGCTACGAATAACCGCCTCTTACCGCGGGTTATCTTTAGACCGCTTCACGTATATAGCTGATTGATATTTGTAAATAAAGCACATCATGAGCTTTAGCTCACATAAATCTTCATCTGCGCCTACTTTGAATTGATAAACCTGTAAAGTGATAAGCACCTAGTTAACACAGAAGGTCGAATTTATTTAAGAACTCTGTTCGAACTGTGCTAGACGAATCGTTGACATAGATTGCATGAATGGCCAAAATGATGATCTGATCTAACAACGAAGTCTATACTGGGAATATATTCAACATATCTGGCTTTTAGAAACTATCTAGCACACCTACCGCTACTACAACCTTTTTGCACGTAGACTTTTCATCGCATAGAATCTTTGTTGTTCCCCCGCTCGAGTCAGGACAAAACCTTAGTTCATTTTACGGCAGTAGGAGAGCCGGATCTTACAATACAGGGGCAGTGCTTATTTCTCCTATTAGTCCATTTATAAGTTACTTTAAAAACTCTATCTTACTAATTCTCCATCTCACTGTTCCAGTTCTTTTCGACAATTGAGGCTAATACCACTTCAAGGGGAGTATAACTCATGGAAATCATAACTTAAGAAGCATCCTTAATTTATCTAAATATTCATAAGCACGCCTATTATCTTGAACGCTACTTGCTAATGTTCAGTACGCTTCTTCGTATCTTTGTCAATGCTAGTATAACACAGTCCATCCCTTTCTTATGACTCGTTGACCAAAACGTAACGGAATCTGGGCTTGCCCTGCTCCAAGTCAACAATGGCCTGGTTCGCATCTTTCATAGGTCGCTTCTCCACCCAAGGCTTGATTTGTTTGTCGGCGGCGAGTTGCAGCATGTCGCGGATCTCGTCGGGGCTGCCGATGCCTGAACCAGTAACATTCTTGCGGCCATAAATGAGAGACATGGGATTCAACTTAAGAGGAGCCTCTGGGGCACCGACTTGCACAAGCGTTCCCTCATGTTTAAGGAGGGCTAAATATTCGTTGAATGGCATCTAGAAGTTCCAGCGTTAGCGCAAGAGTTCAAGGGAGGGTATTGATATCTTCCAACATACATCATCAGAGGATACGGTTGAGATAATGAGGTCAAAGCGTTCGCTGTTCCTCTTCACCCATTCTGCGTCGTCGCTTGTCGCAATGTAGTCGTCACATCCCAAGTTGATGGCATCGGCCCTCTTGTTTTCCCTTCTTGAGATTCCGACAACTTCGTCGGCGCCAAATGCCTTTGCAAAAAGCACTGCAAAGTGGCCAAGTCCACCGACGCCGACTATGCCAACCTTTTTACCCGGACCAGCGCCGTGGAACTTGAGCGGCGAGTAGACGGTGATACCACCACACATTAAGGGGGCTGCATACTCAGGCTCCACGCCTTTAGGGATCTTGACAACAAAGTGTGAAGGAGCACGGTGGTACAAAGCGTAGCCTCCGTACGACTTGTCCTTGTTGCGATGTCTGGAGTTGTATGTGATGACACCGCTTTTGCAGTATTGGGGCAAGCCTGCGTTGCAAGTAGAGCAAGGACCGTCACGACCAAGACAGGCATCGCTTTGAGCACCGACTCCGACAATGTCGCCAACCTTGATATCACCCTCAGCTTCGGAGCCAACTCGAACCGCAACGCCAACGATTTCGTGTCCGACAACACACGGGTACTCCGTGGCGCCCTAAACAACCTTGAGTCAGTACTGCCGTAATGGTGGAAACCAATGATATCATGAGATAAGACCCACCCATCCTGATCTCAGAGTATGCAAATCTGAGCCACAGATACCAGAGTGTGTGACTTTGATATCAACATCGGTCTCTTCCCAGACCTTTGGCTGAAACTCTCTCCAGACCATCTTGCCTTCTGATGAGGAGGCATCGTCGCCCATCCATCCCTCAAACTTGTAGTCAGTCGACATCTTAGTTGCTTCGAATATCTCGCGCGGGTAAAACAAAGTTTAGGTTGTGTAGTTAAGCTCTGCGTAGAATTGCTGTCTGGTTCAGATCAAGTTGCACGGCTATCAGCTCCTCTTTATATCTGTCTCAAGAGCAGATTTTAAACTACAACGCTGAAGTCATAAGGGGGCCTCTTCCCTCTGGACGCGAAAACTGGAGATCCTCGTCCCACAAATGCTTCCACAAGGTTGCCATTTGCCAAAGTGTACACATCTAGCTGCTGAAGTTTTTCGACCAGCTCTGCACTTACAGACTATCAGGTCCTACCGGGAGCGCCGCCAAATTGGAAAATGATCCACTTTTCCACGTTATGGATGAGTCTAAATGTCATGATGTCCCTCTTTTGTTATGATCAATATAGCCAATAACAAGATTCGAAGTGAGTGCCTGATGAATGTCGTCCTAAGTGAATGTGTTTGGTTCCCTAATTCCGAGAAAGTTGCCAATCCTATGATAGCTTAGTGACAGCATGCTGTCGGCGATTATGAATCCACTTTCGGAGATCCAAGGTTAAAGTTGCCAGCCATATCTCGGGTTGGGGCATTAATGTTCCACTTATGGCTAGTAAAGGAGCATTAAAGAAGTTACTAGTTGTAAACTGGATGACGTGTAATTAATTTGTAGCACCTGATAGTTATTAAGCCGGATTTGTGCGGTGGAGTTAAAGCTGGACCCGGGTATACAATTATCACCTGTCTAGGTCTATGTCTTCAGCAACTGATGGAACCGTCCGTGGCGTGCTGGCTTTAAGCGAATTGCAATAGGATGATGCGGCGCTTGCTTTGTGAGTAATTGTTCTTCTCTTCGCCTCGCTTTCTCTGTATTTTCTTTTTTGTTGTAACAAAAAAACTTACATGTGTTCTGCACGCTGGCTGAGAACAGACATGTACATGATTTCTTGTTCAAATTGTTACGCGCCTGCGACAAACTAAGCCTTCAGCTCTAGCTAAGCAACACTCGGAGTAAGAGCCAATCCCGCTCAACTCGGACATAACGAAGTTACCGGACCTCGACAAAAAGAGTCGTATCGTAGTCGTATCAGTTATACCATACTGCATCGTAGCTACAATGTCAAAAATTCCCCTATTTTCCTTCCTAGGCCATTACATGAGTCAAGTTAATGCGAAACTCCGCTGAAAAAGCCGCCCAATGTGTACTATGGAGGTCCACTGCGGAAGATCCGCGGAAGGAATGTGGTGGAAAGTGGAAGATAGGCGGAAGATATGCGATCCATTACTCCCCGCGCAGTAGCTTTTCCGATTGTTTTGGGCTAGAAACAGCTCTGGAGTTGAGCTCGTTGCCGTAGTCTATGAAACGAGTCCTCTCTGATCATATGGGACCTAACCTGCGAACTTGACCGAAGCTGACTAAAAGACTTTTAAGAAACTTACTACTGGCGCAAGTTTAATTCGCGAAGGAATATGTCAGACATATAAGCAATAGCACATACTTAAAACAGCACTAGAAATCGCTCTTTAGATTCAATACTGGGGCGAGATTATATCAGCTTCTGCCCATACCTATTACGTACCTGTACAGCATCGTTTAGTTCACATCTTAAAGCTCCAGGTTTTTTACCACTTATTGAGATGCCGGATTTAATAATGCAGGAACTAGGCGAGTGGTAAAAAGATAAGCATTACTTTGTGTAAATTCCGAATCCAAAGAATTGAAAAATTGATGGTGAAAAGCCGACCGTTCTGCTACGACTATTTTAGCATGTTAGCTTTGCTGATCAGTGCCTACACAGAATGTTCAACAGAGAGCCGCCAGCAGTATTTTTACTATCCAGCTTTCTTACAGTGACAGCCAAGGTCACCGGTAGCGCGCCGATAATCTTGAACAACTGAAAAGGCACAGTAGATCATGCTTACTGTTACTTTGCTACGACGATGGCTACAGAACGCTGAGCTAATAGCCTATGTATCCGGGACGTTGCTAGGCGCTCTTCGCTTGGCCTAGCCAAAATGAATACGTGCTAAGGAATTGCCAGCTCAATTGTTAAGATGAAGTGTATGCTCTGGAGTCCATCAAGCACACTATGAAGAGAAGTCATAGCAAAGCAAAGACCCCCATCGTTGGATTGTGACCGCGAAATGAACATGAGCGCATAAAACACCAACAGAGCATTATCAGTTTGGGTTGATGTATCTCTTTGTGTGCATACGTATACATAAGGCATTTACCATTCTCTGAGTCCAAAACCCCCTCTTTATTGATATCCTCATAAAGTTTGACCATGCAATAATGTTGTCTCATGTTACGACACTCAATCTCGCATCCGCAAAGTAGAGTTGATCAGAGGCAGTGGATATAGATCAGATAACTAACGAAGTACGGAGTAATCAATTAGTGTTTTACGCCCCGCAGGCCCTTTTGTGCACAGAGATTCCCGCTTTTCCAAGGCGCACTGGAAATAGTAAGATAAACAGTTGTAAGCAGTTGTAGGCGCGCGATACGGACATACAAGTGCGGCTGAAATGATTTAGCCAACATGTCAAGATTCTGCCTCGCCAAGCTCCCATTATACAACAGGAATGCATCTTGAGGATTGTAGTGTGCGCCATTTTAAGTCTCAGCTGGTCTAGAACTAGCAGACGAAATCAAAACACAAACACAGCCACGCAACACATTCGGCATCCTACGGACACAAGTAACAAGCAGGGAAAGTCAAATCATACGACGGTGAGAATAACTCTACATCTCCAGATACGATTTTAGCAGGATAACAAACAAGGTGTGTACTACTGGTTGGTAGAGTGGCTCACAGCTCATCGATCTTCAACTAGGTATTTTAAAGATCTCACTCCAGCTCTATATTAGTGTAACGCTTCACTAGCCCATATCCCTGTGACCACGTGTGGGCAAGGCTCATTCTACTAGATCGGAAGGGCGTGGGAGCCTGGCCGCAGTCCGTGAGATGCACTCCGTGCGTTTCCCCCGCTGGAGGCTGAGCCCGGCCGGTTCGCCCATTCGCTGCACGAAACGGCCAAGATATCCTAACCTTTTGCTCGGGTCACAAGCTAGTACCATCAGCTGGTATTTAAATCACTCAAAGACCAGCAACCCTCGCTCATCAAGCAGACGTGAAGATGAACGTTGTAACTTGGATCTAAGATCTGCAAAAGACACTTACACAGCGAGAGCACCATTTAAACTTATAACAGAATGTCGGGCTATCCGCAGCCACCGCCACTGCCTCCTCGATACAATGTAGGATCGGGCCCCCCTCAGCTCCCTCCTCGACCCCCTCCTCAACAGACAAGCGGCCAGCCAGTGCAAAACAATGCCCAATACTCGTACGGGAGCATGAGCCCGCAGCAACAGCCTCTGTACGGATACCAAGCGCCACCTCTCTCAGCACCCTCATCATATCCAGCTACGACTGCAGCAGTGCCATATTTCCCGCCTCCTCCAGATGCATCACCGACTGGCCATAATCCCAGCTCTGTCTCGACAGCATCTACTCAGAGACCATCTCAATCCTATCCCCCTCCTCCAATTTCCCGCCGCCCAGTCCCACAGAGTCCATCTGGCTACTCCCCACATCCCCCGTATAATCCAGCTCAAAATGCACAAACCCAGGCTTCATATACATACTATCCACCACCTCCTACCGCATATTACAATAACCCTCCTGCCAGTGTTGCAGCGACTCCAAACACATCTGGTCTTCCGCTAGCTACGCCTCCCCAGGGCTCAACATATCAATACACGAGCTATACCTCCGCTGAACCAAACAGTTTGCCTCCCCCTTCGCCACAGTCACCTGCATCCGGAGGCCATATGCGATATGGAAATGTGAATTCTCCATCTCATCAGAACACACCTTCGTTTCTTCCTGCTCCTCCTCCCCCTCCTCCTCCGCCATTGTCAACTCGTCCTCCGGTTGAAAGGACCTCTGTCATCCATTACCCTCCTCCACCACCTCCTCCTCCTGCGACAGCGACAGCGACCCTAGAAAATGAAGGACAGCAATTTGCGACATCGCAACATGGACTTAGTTCATCTTCATCGTTACCCTTGTCCCAGTTGCAAATCAACCAGAGTCAAGATCCACCCAGGCCCGCTGTAGCTCTCGAATCTCAGCATGCAGCCTTGACATCCAGTCCTCCTCCTCCGACTTCAGCTACATCACCTCAAGCACAGCAATCCAATGTCCTTCTTCAAGCGTACCAACCGCAGCCTACTCAGAACTCATCAACTCAAATCACAAGTAATACCAGTTCAGCTCCTTATCCGCAAGACACCCAGCCGTCCACTACAGTGCCCTCTGCAGATCCTATGGCTAGTCTTTCCTCGCAAATGGTTAATCTCAACGTGAGTTGTTTAGGAGGCGCCACAGAGCCAGAGCCCTCTGAAAGACGACGTGATGAAAATGCGCCGCAGCCTCCACCACACATTCGAGCTACAGGACCGCCCCTAGAAGTTATCACTTTCTGTCCAGAAGGAAGGGTGGTGGATTATTCACTTTACTGGTATCGGTTGCCCGATATACCAGATTTTTTAATCTGCACGAAATGCCACGCCGATAACATTCAATCTACTCAGCTAGCAAGCCAATTCGAGAAGATCAAGCGGCCTGATAACCAAAACTCTTCCTGTTCTTTCTGGATACCCAGAGTAAAGGAAGTCATGTGGCCGCAGGCTGTTTGCACAGGCAACATGGACGCGATGCGACTCTTTATGAAGAAGCGCGGCAGTATGAAGCCATGCAAAGGGGCAAATCCAACTGCGGCCACACAGGGGATTAAATGGTATGGAATGTCTAATAGCGACATTAACGGATTCATCTCCTGCGAAACCTGCTACGAGGATCGAATAGTAGGCACGTCATTTGAGAGCAAGTTCTCTCTATATCGTCAGCAGCCTGCTGATGAGCAATGGTCCTGCGATGTTGCTCTACAGTATATTTCCCGAGCCCTTGTCAAACTAGCTCAACAGAATGACTGGGCTGGATTTGTCGCCGGAGCCACTCGTCGCCTGTCCATACCTAAATGTGAAGGCAAAGAAGTACGGTCAAACTCTTGCACTTGGTACATGCCACGCCGCAAAATTGAAAACATGCAGGCTTGTGAAGCTTGTTACATGGACAGAGTGAGTCTTACGCGATTTGAAAGAGAATTCGAGGCTTGGCAAGAGAAGACAGACTTTGATACCTTTCTCCAAAATCTTACTCAGTTTTGGGCCTGCAAACTACACGAAACCAACCTTCCCTTGGTGTGGGCTATGGACAATGCAATTGAGCAGCGCGATTGGTCCGTATTTAGCAGCTCAGCAGAAGTTGCGTGTCGACTTCCCCCTTGTACGGCAAATGGATTTATTCACGGCAACTGGTGGACAATCCAAGGAGGGTGCGACAACTTTGATGTCTGTGAGACGTGTTATACGTCGATTCTCAGGACGAGTGGAGCCGGCCACTTCTTCGAGCCTGCAAAACGCAATCCCGAGGCCACCTTGATTTGCGATTTCTGCGTGTCGAGCCCCCGATTCCGGCAATATATAAGAATGTATGCCAAGTCGGTGGATCAAGGAGTTTTCAGTTACTACCTGGACTACGTCCGGACATTCGCTTCGGTTCCAGTCTGCCCTGTGCTCAAAACTGTCGAGAAGTCTCACTGGTGGGGTTACCCAGGCGCTTTGTTCTGTCAGGATTGTTATTTGAGTTTTGTTATCGACACTAAGCTTGGCAGTTCAGTGCCCATAAAGGAAGGGTTTGACGAGCGACCCCAAATCTGCCAGATCTGGTCGTCTCGCATGCGCACAATGTGGTTGCAAGCGTGTGATGCTGGTGCCCCGGGCTCTCCCGAATCGGATGCCAAGGTGAAAGAATTCACCGAATTTGCCAACCAACGACTGAAGATTTACACTCAGACAATTCCTCAGATGGACTTCATACGCGAAATGAAGCAAATGAGGATGCAAGCTGCAATGACCCAGGGACTGGTGAGTGTCATGTACAAGGGATCGGATAGTTTGCTGTCCATATCTGGTGCCACAGACGGGAACCTTCATGGAAATAGTCAGCTGGGCTGGTACGACACAACCCAAGGCGTACAGGGAGCGCAAGCATTTCAGAATATGCAGGCCGGTTTCGCGAGTGCAAACCGGACAGATGAATGGATGCAGGTATTTCAGCTTGAGCAGATATGGAAACAAGTTGAGTAGGGCAGGCGGATTACCTATAGCAACGAATTGCAAACAGTCTGACATATTGGTCGCCCATTCAGGCGTACTTGCTCAACTTAGCTAGGTATCTATCACGCGTATTCATATCCATCTCCCATATATTATAGAGAGATGAAAACGGATACCAAAAATTACTTTTTTGGCAATCCATTGCCTTATTGTTGTCTGCAGCTCTTCAGTTATTCCGCAGATTGGCCGACCCTCGGCAATAGCTTCACTAGTGCGTTAGTGCTTGAGAGGGGTTGTGAGACCTGAGATCGTTCTGTGGAGAGCAATAATTAATAATTCCATGGCATGATCCATATTGACGACGGCGCTTCAGTCCGCACTTAATCCCCTCATCGCAGTTTCAACGATCCAATTGATTTCAAGCAGCATCATATAAGGGGCTGTAAGACTGTCTGTCATTAACAATCCTGTACCTTCTCGCTGAAATGGCATTGCCTGAAACAATGAAAGCCGTCGTCTTCGACGGGCCCCGCAGTGTTTCCATTCAAGATCGGCCAGTGCCTCAAAGTACGTCTCTACAAGTAGCGAGCTGACTTCGCTGCAAATGTGAAATGAGCACTCTATAACTCACTTTAGTTCAGGATGATGAGGACATTATTGTCAAAGTGAGCGCGACTGCTCTCTGTGGCTCGTGAGTGTTCTTCTCTCCATAAACCTAGCTGGCCATAATCGCCTAGCTAATACAACATGCCCTATTAGCGAGCTGCATGTTTATCGTGGCCATGAGCGACCGCAACCGGGATTCATTATGGGACATGAATTCACAGGAACTGTTGTAGCCGTAGGCTCAGCTGTCAAGTCAGTTGCGATTGGCGACAAGGTCGTGACTCCATTTACGGCATCTTGGTATGTAGCCTATCTTGTTTATGCCTCCTTTAAAAGATACTTTCGTTTTCTCTCCGCAGAATACGGCCATCTATGCTTACACAATTACCAGTGGCAAATGCTTTTACTGCCTCAATGGTGCTTCTGCGCGCTGTGAGAAAGGCCTGCTCTTTGGCTCAACCAAGCTCGACGGTGGCCAAGCCGAATACGTTCGAGTGCCTTTTGCCGATGGCACCACTCACAAAGCACCGCCCTCAATCTCTGACGAGGCTCTCATTCTAATGGCAGACATCTTCCCCACTGGCTTTTTTGGCGTCAAGTCTGCAGTTAGCCTTGCCCCTCCAACTCTGAACATTAATGAGTCCACCATGGTTGTTATCGGATGTGGCCCTGTAGGTCTATGTGCGATTGTTGCAGCAGCCGAGCTAAAACCCAAGCATCTATTTGCTATTGATAGCGTGGATAGTAGGCTCGAACAGGCCAAGAAGCTCGGCGCTGAGCCTCTCAACTTTGTCAAGGACAAAGCAGGAATGGCGGCTAGAATCAAGGAGGTTACAGAAGGGCGAGGCGCCGACCTAGTCGTTGAGGTTGTTGGACTCTCGCCAGCATTGAGGACAGCTTTCGATATTGTGAGGCCATTTGGATGTATCAGTAGCATTGGTGTTCACAACGCAGAGGTAAACCTCCCCGGAATTCGATGCGCCTGAGCTCGGCTAACACCCAACAGATTCCATGGTCAGGCAATGAAGCGTATGGGTAAGTATAAGCTGACTTCCGGTGGAAAGGAGGCGAAGCGGAGTACTAATAGATGAACCTGTCTAGCAAGAACATTCGTTTACAGATGGGTCGATGCCCTGTCCGCAGCATTTTTCCGCAGGCCCTCGCTCTATTTGAGAAGAAGCAGCATCTCTTTGGGTGAGCAACTATTCCCATCATACTCACATTCAACGGAATGTTTGACTAAATATGGCAGATTCATGTTTGAAAACATCATGCCGCTTCAAGAAGCTGTTCAGGGCTACGCACTGTTTGACGCGATGAAGGTACAGAAAGTTGTCTTCAAGCCATAGCTGCAAGTCAACGATGCTGCATCATACGAGGAAATGAGGCAGTGAAAGATCAATTGAAATAAATAAATGTTTTCATTATATATTGTCTACCTTCATGTAGCTTCCGATGATTCGTAGCTGGTCTTTCAGCGCCATCATTACGTCCGTTGAGGCGCATGGCTCTAGTGAAGCAAGGCTCTAGTGAAGCTAGGTGGTGAAGCTAGTGCGTGTTGCCGCTACCTACATTTTGTATCGAAGCATCTCTCATTAAATGCTCTCCATTCGTAAGCCATAGAGTCTATAATTCAATCAAAATAAACACTATTCACCCAAATATTGATCAAGCTAGGCAGCAGAGACTTCTAAATCCTCGTAAAGACGACCCCGTTTTCTGAATGTCTCTTTATTTGCATGCCCACCTTTAAATACACTCAATAATGCATCGCTGTGAAACCCACGCCCTTCGGATTACATGTCGCATGATTCATAGGTGCAACTCAAATAGAGACGGGTATCAGACTTGGCAATTTCTGTTCTGTAAATCTCAGGCATCTACCACACAATTAAAATGGCTGCCAAAACCCCTTCCGATGAGCGCAAGATGCTCAATGGTCCGTCTACACCTTTTAGAAACGACCGACAAGCGTCACTTAGCTGACACGTTGAACAGGCCAAGGATCTGTAAAGGCCACCAGTTCCACCCATGCTAATGGAGCTGCCAAAGCAAACGCTGCCGAGCAGTCTGGCGATGATTCGGATGACGATCCAGACCAACATACTATTGAAGTCTCGGCTGCCGCTGGTGAGAGTGGTGACGTGAAGAAGCCTAAGAATAAAAAGAAAAAGAACAAAAAGAAGAAGAAGGCTGTTCAGACCGAGCCTCCATCAATCCTTGTGTCGAAACTATTTCCAAACGACAACTATCCAAAGGGCGAAGAGGTCGAGTACAAAGATGAAAATCTGTACCGCACTACTGACGAAGAAAAGCGTCATTTAGACAGCATAAACAACGACTTCCTCTCCGACTATCGCCAGGCGGCCGAGACGCATCGTCAGGTCCGCCAATGGGCGCAGAAGAATATTAAGCCGGGTCAGAGCCTCACTGAAATTGCCAACGGCATTGAAGATAGCGTTCGGCGACTCTTGGGGCATGACGGCTTGACTGAAGGGGATTCTCTTCATGCCGGCATGGGCTTTCCCACCGGCCTGAATATCGATGAGATTGCTGCTCACTTCAGTCCCAATGCAGGTGATAAAACTGTGCTCCAGCAGAACAATGTACTGAAAGTTGACATTGGTGTGCATGTCAACGGCCGCATTGTCGACAGCGCCTTTACAATGGCGTTTGATCATAAATATGATAACCTTCTTGCAGCTGTGAAAGACGCCACGAATACTGGCGTCCGCGAAGCAGGAATCGATGTCCGCCTTGGAGAAATAGGCGGCTACATCCAAGAGACCATGGAAAGTTATGAATTGGAACTCAACGGGACGACGTATCCGATTAAATCAATTCGCAATATTGGAGGCCACAGCATCTTGCAATACCGCATCCACGGTACCAAAAGTATCCCAGCTGTGAAATCGGACGACATTACCAAGATGGAAGAGGGTGATATCTTTGCCATCGAGACTTTCGGCAGTACTGGTAATGGCTGGGTATACGACCATGGAGACGTCTCTCATTACGCCCTCCGTGGCGATGCACCAAAGGTGGATTTACGTCTTTCCTCGGCCAAATCACTCTTGAATGTTATCAAGAAGAACTTCCATACCATTCCATTTGCCCGACGCTACTTGGATAGAATCGGCCAGGAAAAGTATCTGCTTGGTGTATGGCTCATCAAACCTCAAGTTCTACGATTACAGTGACTGACATTTGAGACAGCTTAACACTCTCGTGAAAAACGGCATCGTTGAGGATTACCCGCCTTTGGTTGACAAGAAAGGGTCGTATTCGGCCCAATTCGAGCATGTAAGCATAACATTCATTGGGCTGGGCCACTTTCAACGACGTCTACTAACAAACTACGACAGACTATCCTGCTCAGACCTACCGTAAAGGAGGTCATTAGCCGTGGAGACGACTACTGATGGAGAGAAGTTTCTCACAGCCTGGTTAATTTCCCCAGCTTAGCGATCCTTGTGGAAACATGAGCCGATCGTACAATACAAGCAGAAGCTTGAACCTGTTTCATTCGCCACTTTCGTTTACATACATTCGATTACCATTTACACTCTAAGATTAAATGATGCGACGGGATACATCGTCTTCTTAAGCTGGTGGCATGCTAGCCAACTGATTCTAAGACAACGCTCTTAAGCACAAAAAAAAGGGATAAAATTTAGACAAAACGGAATATTCTCCAGATAGCACACAGTCATTACAATAAAACTCCAGTCTATCTTACTAGGGCTCGAATCTAGTCTTGTAACCGCCGAGTATAAAATGCGCTCATAAAGAGTCCTCAATTTCTAAGCCATCCTGATGCTAATCCATGGATGCATGTTCTATGTCCGCAATTAGAGCTGAACACCGGTTACAATAGTGTACTTTCGGAGATCCTCTCTTGGTACATATTTTCGTCCATCAGTGCTCACGCTGACAGGTTCCCAGTCTTTGAGTAATTTCAGCTCTTCCTCTCGCCGGTGCTTTGCGCCATCAAATGAATCCGATCCAAGAACAACGCGAGTAGCCCATGGCCGGCCAGCCGCCACTCCTTCCCTCTTCACAACATCGACCATCGTGGATGCAGCTTTTTCAGGATCTCCCGGCATAAGTCCCATAGGATCAGTTGCAAACATGCCAAGGAACTCTGCCAGCAGAGGTTTGTACGCCTCTGTAGCCTCAGACGGAGGTGCAGCATGATCTCCCTCTCGAGGTTGCATAAGGTTGGTGATGAAACCTCCGCAATCGAATGCGACGCTTCGAATACCCAAGTCGCAAACCTCTTTGTGGAGGCTTTCTGCGAAAGCACTAAGAGCTGCTTTGGTCATTGAGTAGTGAGACATTGTCGGGAGAGCCATCCAGCTAGAGCTGGAGGAAGTGAATGCAATACAGCCATGGCCCTGGGCGCGGAATAAGGGCAATATGGCCTGGGTAGTATGCATCTGTCCGAAGACATTGACTTGAAACATGTTTTGCACGTATGCATCGCTATTCCCAACCACGACTTAGCAAGTTGTGTGTCAATCTTTATTCTCAGATGGAACTCACTCGGCATCCTCGACAGTCTTTGCGGCCGACATGCCAGCGTTGTTCATCAGCACGTCAATGTGTCCGAATATGTTCCATGCCTTCTGTATTTGAGCCTTGACCTCTGCGATTCCAGCGGTTATGTCGAGTTCCAGAAGCGCAATGTTTTCAGATGTGGACTTTAAATGGCCAAGTCGTTCTTCGACCTTTCTACCGCTTGCAATGACTTTATCCCCGCGAAGGATGATGTGCTGTGTCAGGGCAGCGCCTATACCAGATGTGGCGCCAGTAACGAGGAAGACAAGGGGGGCCATTTTAGGTTGATTAGATGATATCTGAGAGTGAAGAGTGTCACCGATTGATCTGAAAAGAAGGAATGATTATATGTTGTTAGAATGTGAGGATTGCAGCGAAGTTCAGTCATTTGTAGCAGCGTTCTGAAAGCCCTTTATATAGGTGTATGTTCTTCATTCTCGCCATACCGTTTGTGCTAGGCATGCTATTTCACCGCTCCCAGGTTCAGTAAACTTTCCATGGCCCTTTCAGCTAAATCCGAGACGCATGTACTCACAGTACAGACAAAATGGACGAAATTGCGGACTAAGTGAAGGGAAGCAGTAGCAAGTCGAGACAGATGTCCGATCACGTGAGCGGACGAGTCAGCGATGATGCCCATGATTGACTCGTCCGCGGACGACTCTTTACACCTATTATATCATACGTCCGGATGGGAGTTTATTTGCCGTAAATCCGAGTTTTGCTCTCAACCTATTCTAAACACTTCATCCGAGATGGAGGAATCTCGAAATCAGGCAAACCCGCCCGCTCGTCGCGCGAAGAAGATGCGGAAGGGAACCCGAAGCTGCACCGAATGTATGTACAACCAGGTACCAATTACAGACGCGTTGCATATGACCCCATTCCGTGCATTATACCGTGTAAACGATTTCCCAATGAAGTATTAGCAGATATTGATAACTATTTACCAGGTAGAAGACGTAAAACCCGGTGCATTTATTCACCCGGAGATCGCGAGTGCATATTGTGCAAATCGCGCGGTGCACGCTGTATTGAGCAGGGCAGCGAAGATCCGAGAGTTTCAGAGTCCAAGCGAAGTGCTCTTCATAAAGAATCCAAAAATGGGAGAAAAGCTAAAGATCAAGCTGAAACTTCTATTGATCAGCCTGAGAAGCTCTTGGAAGATGCGGAGACATCTGATCTCATGTTATCGGAAAAGATCGACTCTGCACCGATCGTCTCTTTACTACTCGATGCCAAGGTAAACAAGATCATTGGCAAAATAAGCATTTGACATTAACTCTTGACCTTATTCATAGCTTTCAAATTTAACAAAAGCCGAATCGGTCCAGTCTTTTGGCTTGGTGGCAACGGGTAACGAATCGACTTACGCCCGACTGCCAGACAGAGGTCGAAGTCTGCGAGTATATAATAACAACCCTCTTGTTAGCAAATCTGCACGTATATGCTCCACTTTGCGTTCAATACTGCCGAGCTATGACACGATAATGTCCGTCTTGGCTGAGAAGGGGTCGTGGTGGGACAGCTTCCGTCAAAAGGCATACGCCATTTCTGAAGCCCCGTCTCAGACAATAGAGGCCTTTGCGAAGCGAACTTATACAAGCAGCAAACCAGCCGACATAGGCGCCCTTGCCATTGCATTTGCGAGGAGCATGAACAAGCACCGTTATATCTTCACCCTTGTAGATGAGCTTGTGATCTCAGATATTAATTATACGGCAACTATAGAGGGCTTGGAATGCCTGATACTGCTTGCCAAATCATATACCGATTGCGGCCAGCCAAAGAGATCATGGCTGGTATGGAAGAAGGGCATAGCTGCAATTCAGCTGATGGTGCGTTGCTGCATTGATTCATTGAAGAATGTATGCTTTATCTGACTATGCGCAGGGTATTTGTATCGGCAGCAACTATTCTCCGACGGAGCTGAGGCTGTGGTGTGCAGTTTATCATGGTGACCGATTCAGTAGCATGCTACTGGGGTTGCCTTATGGGCTCAATGACAACCATTATCAATCTGCTATTACTGCATCCGGAATGTCCCCAGGCTTTTACTTCGTTCTCAACTGTGCGGTCATTTCTGGAAAGATTATTGACCGAAATATGGCTCCTAGCAAGCCTTCTTACGCAAAAGCCATAGAATTGGATGAGGAACTGGAATCGATTGCGTCGTCACTACCAAAAGATTGGTGGATGGTCCCGAGTGATATAGAACAATCACGACAGCCATTCGAGTCGGACAATCTCAGAGAACAGCTGTTACAGCAGTTATACTTTTATTGGGTCAAACTATACCTTCACTTGCCATTCTTAGTCGACTCGGCAATAAGTTCGCCTCATTACTTTAGCAGAATGGCCTGCATAGAAGCGGCAAAACAGATCTTGAGGAGATACCGGGTGTTGCGCTGCAGAAACAAGTCGGGCTACTGTTTATTCGAATGCCAGACAACGGATTTCGCCTGTTTCACTGCCGCGGTAGTTCTCCTTGTTGGGACATTTCATTGCAGCGCTGCATTCCCCTCACCAAGTGTGGAAGAAGGCCTGGAGCTGGTGGCGGCTACCGACAAGATTTTACACGATGAAGAGCTCAAGAGCGACTGCAAAGTTGCAGCACAGTGTCGAAAAGTGCTTCGAATGCTCAGCACGGAAGGGCCCGACACATCGGACGCACATCGGGAAGTTGTGATACCGTATTTTGGCGTGGTGATTCGCAAACGGTCTCGCCACCTACAGTCCCATAATCCGCGAAATGCACCACAGTCGGTCGGCCATGATGTCGATGATCTCTCCGACCCATCTCTTCCTCTTCCGCCTCACCCTTATTATCCAGCCGATGCGGGAGATAATAACCCGGCCGTGGAAAACCCTTGGAGTTTAAATGGATTTTCGCTCCAATATATTAGCCATCGCGGACTTGACCGGACCAATCTCGGTGGGTTTATGGGAGGCGCCGGAGTGGAGTCTGGGCCAGACGAGTCTCATTTTACCTCGGCAGCAATGGAATGGGACCAAGGCTGGAGCGTTCTTACCGAGATTGACTGGGACCTGATGCCAGGCATTGACGAAATGTCTCCTGAGGATTTGTTCAACTTTTAGCCACTACTGAGTACATGAATCTTCTGTTCAACTCTGCTACCGCATTCTACATGACATCACTTGATTGTGAATCAGCGCACATATTCTCTTGCATTCTGCTCATGCAGGACACACCATACACTTATTTGTACTCTTTTTTTTTATAAAAAAAAAAGAAAAAAAAAAAAAAAAAAAAAAAGGTTACTGACCTTCCTGAGTATTGAATCTTTGCCTGACTAGACTTTGTTATAGCTTGGTGGAGATTTGGCAATTGATGGTTGCATGCCGAAAAAGCCGATCGATCTTTGGCCACCTACCCTATCATTTGGTGCAAGAAGAAAAGTGACATGTGAATCCACTTTTGTATGTGAATTGGGCATAAGCCTATCACTGTTCTTCTTCCCACGGCGTGCCTTAAATTATCTTAGACTGAGCAACCAAGTGGATGGTGCGATGCTGGATCGAACACATTGATGATCGTTCATGGTGCACAGAAATCCCAGGAGCTGCTCGGTTGGAAAGTTTCGACCTTTAATTCCATATGCACTGTAAAATAGCTTGGAGCATTCTCTCTCTTTGCCCCTTCTTCCTATTTCCAGCTGAAGGTGTTGCTGCAATGCTGCTTAGATATAACGCCTTTCCCGTGGTGTTTTGCGGCCCGCTTGCACCCCAGTTGACTGGCTGAAGCTATCGCCTAGCGGACCCCAGTACTGTTTCGCATCCCCCATGTACTCCTACGTGACAGCATTACCTGTATTTTAGCTCAAAAGGACTCTACTGTAAAATCTGGCTCTATCGGAGGGTGGCAAAAGTCCCTGCATATTATCTATATACGGATAGACGGCTACCGACTCGTACATTAGTACAAGCAAGATTCTCGATGATGACTAGGTATCCAGCTGTGTATCAATTCTACTCGTCTTGTCCGCTACGTAAGATGGGCAGAAGTTATCGATTCCATCAACTAGCGTCTACTCGGAAAGGTCCGTTGGCTTTTTAATCTGCCTGGACTTTCGGCGTTATCTTGCGTATACGCATTTTCTCCTGATAACGCAACTCGAAACCTCACAACAGATAACTGAACTAAGTCTCTCTAACTCTCTCTTTCATTGGCTGAGTCGAGGGTTTGGAGCGATGAGATAAGCAGGTTTCGGACATGATGTCACTAGTTGTTTGAAAGACCCGCAAAATGCTCAGAAAATTTCTTTCATTTACGGCCTAGAAGCTTTTTCGAAGCACTTGCGCTACGGCTGCCGCTTCACTAAGCCTAATGCGTAACTGTACGGGAGATGCCGTACGCAAGGAGCATCTTCCGTCGATGGGATCTTCCGGTAGCTGAAAAATAGACGCTGTGACGCGGTGGGTTTCCTCGGTTATGCAAGAGCGTGTTTGTAATTCTCCTTGAGATCTGTGTTTTATCGGTGCTAAGATTAGAAACGCCGAAAAATGATATCAATTGATGATGGAAGAGTTGCCGTGATGCGAGTATTAAAGAGCCGCGGGCCGGCCCCTCGATACAGTTCTGCTCATCTAGAAGAACATCAACAACAACAACAACAACAACAACAACTCCTATAAACCAAATACACTGAAACCCCAATTCCAAACTCCTTCAATTTTACAACATACATAATCATAATTATAACCTCACAAATTCACAACACCATATCAACATAATCAGAATGAGCGGCCAGGTTACCTACGAAGTCTACCGCGGTGCTGAGGGCGAGACCCCAGTTCGCAAGACCATTACCACAGAGCTTCGCCCGAATGATGTTTACCTTGAGTTGACCCACTCCGGCCTTTGCGGTACCGATCTCCACTACAGACACGCCGATATCACTCTCGGACACGAGGGCGTCGGAATTGTCAAGCAGGTCGGCCCTGCCGTCAAGGACCTCAAGGTCGGTGATGTTGCCGGATTTGGATACATTCGCCAAGTCTGCGGTAACTGCATGGAGTGCTTGACTGGTAAGCCATAGCTCACAGCCGATGAATCACTACAATGCACGGCAATACTAACCGACAATAATCTCTAGGCTGGGACCAGTACTGCTCTCAGGCCGTTTCGTATGGCAATGCCGGTTTCGACATTGGCAGCTTCTCTTCCGGAGCTGTCCTCGATGCCCGCTGTGTCTTCAAGATCCCCGATGAAATCGACCCCGCTGATGCCGCTCCATTGATGTGCGGTGGTGCTACTGTCTGGACCGTCCTCGACCAGTATGGAATCAAGTCCACTGACCGCGTTGCTATCATGGGCATCGGTGGTCTCGGCCACATTGCTATCAAGATGGCCGCTGCCATGGGCTGCCACGTTGTTGTCCTTTCCAGCAGCGAGTCTAAGCGCCAGGAGGCTATGGAATTCGGCGCTCAGGAGTTCCACGTTCTCCGCCGAGGAGAGAAATTCGAGGACAAGATGGAGCCCATCAACCACCTTCTCCTCTGTGGAAATGCCCAGATTGATTTCGACGCGTAAGTTTTTGACTGAAAAGGCCTGCCCGCCAAGCAACTGCATCAATAATACTAACTGATAATCTTTTAGCGTCCTTCCTTTGATGGCACCCAACAGCGCTATCTACCCTCTCGCAGTCGACTTCAACCCCTCCAAGATTGTCCTGTTCCAGCTTGTCATGAAGGGTATCCGAATCCAGGGCTCAGTCGTTGTCTCCACCACTGAGATGCGCAAGATGCTCAAGTTCTGTGCTCTTCACAACATTACTCCCCAGATCGAAAAGTTCCCGCTCAACGAGACCGGCATGACCGATGCCATGGCCAGACTGGTCAAGGGCGACGTCCGATACCGCGCTGTCCTTGTTGCGCAGAACTAAGCGGCTGACCACTCTGGCTGGTGGAGCAAAGGAGAAACAGACCTCTCACTCTGGTAATGAAGTAATGAATTTTGGGTCAAGCGGTAGACGTTTAGAAGCAAAAAATGACATTGGGCTTTGATATAGATTACTTAGACTTAGATGGGTATTTCGGCGTATAATAGACTCTTACAACTCTATCTCAATTTTCTTGATCATATCATCTCTCTTGTCTAGCATTGCGCTAACATCACAAGTTCTGAAACAGTATCCCGTCCCTCCCCTCATAGAATCTTTGGTGTTTGATGAGCGATGAAAGCCCTTCCACCTTACTCTTCCCTTCCCCTCCCTTCTCTTCCTTCCCCTTATCTTCCTTCCCTTCCCTTCTCTTTTCCTTCTCTCTCATTTTCTCTCTCTTATCTTGTCGTTTCTCTTTAGCCGCCAATTGTGATGAGTTACCTATCATGTCTGCCCATTGTGGCCAAAATCCACGCATAGTGATATCATACTGACACTTTGGCGATTTATGTCTCAACCACTAACCCAGCATACTTCCCTTATGAGCTGCTGAATATCCAACTGCCGGGCACTACCTAGGTCATAGCAAACCGCTGGCCACAAGCTTACATCATCATTTTAACGCCTACATGTACTTACTAGTAGAGCTACCTAAACTCTTACCGTCATAGTGTCTTGAGCACACGTATATGATTAGCGGATGGTTGCGACTAGTTGGCAGTACGAAGAGTTATGGGCTCAACAGCTGTTTCTGAAAGCTCAAAGCCCAGAGTTGCCCGGATGTCTTGGCAACTCCCCAGGCGTCGAAAAAGTTGTCAACAGGAAATGAATATGGGCCTTGACTACCTTTCTATTTCTGATAGACGCTATCTATGTAGCCAGTACCTGTAGTGTAGGTAGAAGAAACCAGAAGAGATCGCAGGCCTTGCTACCTAGGTAGGTAGAAAACCTTATTCGTAGTAGCTGGGCTGACAAATGCCGCGCTTCTTATAGCCGACAAGCGAATAACTAATCTCGCCCTCACGTGACAATCAACCTTGCTTGATAATGAATGCGCCGTAAGCTCCGCATCCGAAGCCGCATGAGACAAAGGCCTCGGCGCTCACTCACTCACTACATGTAGGACAGCGTCCACAGAGCAGTGAAAACGTTTTTGGTTCATGAGAGTTTCATTTATACTCCCAAGAAATACCCCGGAATGGAGCAAAGAACCAGCCCCAGCGACTCGATTACAGACCGCGATTCGCAACAACCCGCCACTCAACCCACTCACAGAAGAGCGAGGACTCGGGCCCGGATAAGCGCAGCTTGTGTGAGATGTCAAAAACGGAAGATTAGGGCACGTATTTCTGCGACCCAGCTGCCTTCAAAGAGGCTGCTATGAAGTTGACTGACCCTGTAAAATGTTTAGTGTGATGGAGTTCTACCGGCATGTACAGGCTGTCAGAAAGCCGGCGTCCGGTGTGTGGATGGCGGTACCTCGCGTGAAATACCTCGAAAGTGAGACCTTCAGCTTCAACTACGGGCGGCATTTGTTGCGGCGCTTTCTGGTGCAGTGAACTAACACTATCCAACCTTGTACAGCTATCTAACGGACCTTGAATCGCGAGTTTCATGGCTGGAATCCATTGTTCGTGATAGATGTCCAGATGTTGACCTCGGCGCAGGGCCAGGACGGCCATCACCAGCTAAAGCAGCGCGCCTGAACTCTAAAGATTCCCCAGAAGAGTCTTCACCTCATGAGATCACGGAGCAAATGAGTCTCGTATCTATCTCCGGTGGCTCAGACCTTCGATACTTGGGCCCCTCCAGCGGCCTCTTCTTCACCAAATTCGTGCTTGCGGGCTTGGCGCATGTTGCAGACATCGAGACAGTAAATCTTCGCGGCACCGGAAGCGACGACAACGACGAGCTCTTACCTGGAGATTTAGTTGACCTGCAAGCAAAAGACTTTCCCAATGACAAGAGACAAACCCTATTCCTCACTCAGATATACCTCGACTCTGTTCATCTTCCGTGGCCTTTCTTACATGAGCCCACTCTCCTTGCCATCATTGACAGGGTTTACAACGGAGCACTATTGGATCCCCTGGAAGAGTTCCACGTCTTTATGGTTCTGGCAATCGGAGCCACGATTTATGGTCGGCGGTCGCGGCGGCATATGCTGGGCGAAGGTTATTATGCTTCTGCTTTGCAGCGTCTGGATACCGTTTTCAGAACGCCGTCCCTCGCTACTTGCCAATGCCTCTTATTGCTGGAAATGTATACTCTCCATGACCCATCGTCGGGACTGAATCTTTGGCAACTTCACTACCATTCGCTGGCCTCATGTTTGGAACTAGGCTTGCATCGCGATGTTCGAAATCCTCGCCACTTTAACCCCCTTCAAATCGAACTCCGCACGAGAATCTTTTGGTGCACATATGCCATGAACCGACAGCTCTGCACTACAATGGGGCGGCCGCTGGGCTTTTTCGACGAGCAATGTGAATTAAGAGTAGGTCACAAGGCGTCCTCACAAAACCAGACTGTTTCCACTGACACACGAATAGATACCCTTGGACGTAAACGACGATGAGCTGACCGAGGAAGGAGTACGGGCCTCTCCGAGACCTCTTGGAAGTCATTCAACAATGTCAAGCGCAATCCATCTCTTCAAATACGCCAGGCTCAGCTCTGAAATCAAGGTTGTCATCTTTTGCACTGACCGAAGCTATCCGCCATATGTAACTCCCGCCATTACCGACATGTCAGCATGGCGTACGGACGCAATAAACCGCATACGGAAATGGCGACAAGAAATCCCCAAGCATCCTGATGGCGATCGCATGGCTTACCTAAATGATCTCTGTGAGATCCGATACCATGAACTGATGATGCTTATCCTGCGTCCCAACCCTGTGTTCCAACAACCCACAAAAGCGGCCATGGGCGAATGTTTCAGCAGCGCCATCGCGTGCAGCAAGCTCTACGCGAAGCTCCATAACGAGAACCAGCTGCGCTACGGATGGCTTACTGTCCACTCATTATTCCTATGTATCATGACCATCTTCTACTGCGTCTGGACACCGGACAGCATTGCCGAACATGTCAACTTTGAGTGCCTGACACAGTCTCTGAAGGCGGCGTCGGATGTCCTCAGTGCAACTGGAGAGTACTGGCCCGAGGCAAAGCGGAGCCGCGATGTCTTGGATCGAATCTTCTCCGCAACCATGAGACGGTTTTCCCCGCGGCAAGAATTTCCAAAGGGGGTTCCGTTGCTCTCCTCTGCAGATTCTCAACCTGGAAGCGCTGCGCCATCGATGAGCATGACCGACGGCACCAGCGTCTCGTCTCAATCCGGCAACAGTCCATATGGGGATGCACTCCTCTCTACGGTGGAAGGATTTGTCACTTCGGCGCCGGCGGACGCAATTCTTGCCCCAGGAGAAGGGCTGCTGCCTCCAGGCGAACCGGCGCTGGGCTCGCAGCCGCTCTCTTTGGCGGATCTTCCAGACATGATGGCCGAGTTCCCTGCTTATCCGAGCGCGACGCTGGACTCGTTCATGTCGACGGACTGGCTGTCGTATTTCATGAATGCGGAAGACTTTGGGGGCATGGGCATGATGGATGATAGCTTCGGAGGCTTGGGGGGGTTGGATGCAGTAACGGACATGTCTGGATGGTACCAAGGGAACAATATGGGCGTGATGCAATGACGTTATAATGGGACGACGACACTTTTAGAAGCGCTGCACGATGAATAACTGTATAAAATTAATGCCACATTTCTATTCATAATATTTCTCGTTCCTGTTGCTCCGGATGAGATGCGGCCTTTGAGTCTGGAATCTTAGCTGAGATGATGCCCACCTACATGTAGAAGTTAAGTGGAAGCTTTAGAGCAGACGAGACTCTCCTGATTCGCGTTGCTATTGCTCAGCACTCTTGAGTCTCCATGAAGACAAAATTATCTCGACTTGAACTGAGACAGAATATTGACACGTCTACATATGTCTACATATCTGCAGGGTCATTCTGTCCACGTTGCCGCCCGTCGAAATGCATGTGGTCAGCTGAGTTTTCAGCAGAGGTCCCCTCCCGCCGGGGTAGGCTTAGCGGTTCATGCACCCCAGATTCCCACTCGGAGCTTAAAACTCGGCCGCTAGAAGCGCTGAAGCGTGAGCACCTGAGCACATGAGCGCTAAGAGCCCAGCCTCGCCACCGCCGTCACAACTCCAAGCTTCCCCTCTTTGCCATCTCACGATGCCTCGATATGCGACGGTAGGCCCTCGAGACTACTGAAGACGCGTTCCGGCTCCTGTCTAGCTGCGGACGCTGCGCCGAGATTCACCGTCCTTTGTTGCCGTCTTGACAGCGCCCTGCCGCATTTCCGCCACGGGCATGTCATCCACCGAGAACACTTCGCCTCCCATGGCAGAGCAGGGCATTTCGGCGAACACACAGTCGCCGCCGGACAGGAACAAGAAGAAGCGAATTAGGAACTGGACGGCAGATGATCGAGCAGCCCATCGGGTGTTTGAAAGATCGCGGCGGGAGGCTTTCAAGGAGCGATTGACAGTAAGTGGGACTAATACGATGAGATGTCTACTTGTACCCTCTCTGCGTTATGAAGCTAATAGGCATGGACTACAGACGCTTGCGAGCCTCATACCGTCACTGCGATCAACCGACCCGAACCGACTATCAAAACACGTCGTCATCGACCAAAGCGTTGCACTCCACAAAGCCGAGCAGCAGAGAATAGTCGAATCCGACCGGAAGCTTCATCGTCTTGCAGCCGAACGTGATGAACTCCTCTCTGAGCTCAACACATGGCGGTTGAACGCTGGCCTCGAAGTGCATCAGGCCCGAGTTATAGCTGATGATCCCGAGACTGCTCCAATGCCAATAATGGGCGAGATAGACGCTGCGATGCTAAGAAGTAGCATTTCATCTATTGGAATGGGCGAAGAGCAGGGACCGGCAGGCAGTGGCCCGATATATCTAGAAGAGCAGTCTTCATTCACGCCTACAGAACACGAGCTTCCACCCGAGGCAGTCTTAGTTCCGGCAGCTGAGACAGAATTGCCACCAACATCAACATCTGCGGGCACGGGGATTCCATGGATGCCCGCTGAAATGAACTTCTCAATCCCCAACTCGATTCCTCTAAATGGCGAGTTTCACGCTGATACACTCAATAAATCACCATCCTACACTCATCTACCGATGGCGTATGGCATGGCTAGCAATAATCTAGATGGAGAAACCCTGCATTTCAACACGACAATGATGCACATGACTGATCCATCGTCATATCATAACGATTCATATATCTATAATGGCTGATGACAAGTGGTACTGATTGAGGAATCTCAAACTACTCTCATCCGCCTCTACCAACACCAATACGCAGGGCATCCATACGTTCTGGACTGGAACTACCAAAACAATGCCCTATTTCTGCGGCACACTCAGAGAGCTCGAAGCGTCGTGTCAATCTTATCCTTGCTCCTGTTCTCACCACCAGTAAAGAGCTCTAAAGCGATCGCCAATCTTTCCTTGGTAATGGGATCAGCCTCAATTGCCTTGGCCAGTTCTGCGCCGCCGTTGGCGAGGTAATCGATGTCAGTGCTAGCCAGCTTGCCATCCCATTCTGCAGCAGCAAGAGGATCGATCTTGGCCAACTTGCGAAGCCTTTCAGAAGCCGGAGGAGCGTTCTTGTATACATGGACAGGCTTGGGCGCGCCCTCACCGGGCTGCTTGGTACCATCATACTTGAGCTTGGCGAGTTGGTCCAAGACGGTATGAGAGATGGTGGCTGAGTGGCAGCCCAACTCCCCCGCCGCCATGGCTTCTTTGGCAGAGATGAAACTTGACAAAAAAAAAAAAGTTTAGTCAATGGATTCGGCGTTGAGGACTTTCCGAATTTCATGTATCTCACCTGGCATTCTTTAGAAGTGGCTGCTCCTTGCCAGTCTCTTTGTATAGTCGTCGGTACGTTTCGAGGATCTGGAAGACTCGAGCGCTCATGGGATGTTGGGTCGCGGGATCTTCAACGTCGGGCCAGAGCGATAAATCATCGTGTGCTCTAGTTTCTAGCTGTTTTCTTAGCTTTTGTCGCGTATACCCCAGAATGTGAGAGCTTTTAACAAACCGTTAAAGTACGGGCTGATGTACAGCATACCCGCCTGGCTGCAGGCTATGGCTTGCGGGAGGCCAAACAATGCTGTTCCGAGCGTTGGGATTCCCTCAGAGCTCAGGATTTTGGCTGCATTCAAGGCCGGGCCAGTGGATGGGATCTTGATGCAGTATCGATCTCGGCTGATGCCAGCTCTAGCAAACTCCTTGTCGTACAGCCGAGCGTGGTCTAGAGTCGCCTGTGTATCGTACGCCTTCGACGGTAGGGTTTGAAGCAGGACACGGCCTTGGATCAAGTCGATGTTCTTCTTGCACATCAAGACGGCCTTGTATATGTTCGTTAAATGAAGAGCTTTATATCTAATCAGAAGAAGTGAAACGTACCATTCTTGTGTATATGGCCAACCAGCCCTGATCTTGTAGCTCTTTCGTAGTTTTGACCAAGAGTTCGGCGTTGGATGGGTGGTTAAGTTGGATATCAACCCAGAGTTGGTTACTGGTCTGGTCATGCGGCTTGATTGGCATGGCCTTGATGTATTCAGGATCCATCCAGTCGACATCGACATTGACTGAGATTCGGGTCAGTTTATACTCATCGTTTTCAGAGTCGTGTGAGAGATCGGCTTACGCTGCTCCTCGAGCTTGTCGAGCCATGTCTGAGATTCCTTACTTCCCATTGTGTATACAATACAATAAAGATTCGGTCGTTGAGTGAGTTTCAGATGGTCAAGTGTTATTCTGAACAAGACTTGCGCTGTGGTGTCTGGACTGAAGGCGATGCTGAGACAGGTTTATATATCGATTAATTACGGGCCCGGCCACCTTTCATATACTCTTGCGAATTGTATTGTACTATCAACGCTGATCTTATTTCGGGTTCAACTGGGCCGACTACCGCCCAAGACCTGCACAGGAACCAAATAATCCAAGGGTTCATCACATGCTAGTGTGTCAAATTACGACATCAATACTCATTACAAGTGGACATTTCATACCCTCCCACATGCCGTGCCGCTATTTCGTTGCTAAAACGCCAATCTCCTCACCTTGTTTTGCGGACCTGCACAGGTCAAAAGTCGAACACACGCAGGGCAACTATGCATACCCAGGTTGCGTTGTTTGCGGGGAAAGTCTAAAGTTTAGGATTCGGTGCCGAACCCATCTACCGCTAACTAACGGAGAGACGCCTAAATGGCTAAATTTTGTGAGGTCACAGCCTTTGCCAAGAAACACACGCAGGGCAAGGGAGGGAATCTCCACCCTTTCAGTTTAGATCAGAGGACACGCAGGGCAGAGGCCGAAAGGAACAGAGAGGGAAAGTTGCTAAAGGATCAGGACATCGGGTGGCGAGTGGCATGGCGTGGAATACACGCAGGGGAATAGATGGGGAATAACATAGTCTGAATTTAAAGGGCGGCACCGTTTTGCGCTCTACTGTACAAAGAGAGAATGGTTCGCGTCAATAGGTGATTACCTAGAATACATATATAATCTGTTCGTGATATTCCAGGTTACAATAGCCATGACAATTGACCTTTACAGAAAACCTCTTGTCAAATGACAGGCAGCAAGATGGAAACCAATATTCTCGATGCAGCGGATTTCAATGGAATAAGCAAACAGTTGATTGATATCGCAAGTTGCCAAGTGTCGTAATCGTACGGTACTTCGACCCGAACTTCTATGTGGCTGAGAGGCGGCGCTTCGAACTAACGCCATGGTGCCGTTTTGAACGAGCCGGACCAAAACCTGGGGTTTTGTGGAACTCTAATGAACCTAATGAACCCCATGGGGGGTAATGGCTCGACCGGTAATACGATAGTTGTGATGAGCATCGTAAAATTATATAAATATTGCGCCGGAATGCATCTGAACCCCTTCGTTTCCATAGACGACGATCCAGTACTGTATTCGAAGACTGATCACTAGATTGATGAACATCTGCCCATCATGGCTCATTCACCAGACTTGAAGCCCAAGGATGAGTTCATTTCTTATGTTGAACCCTCGGGCCCCAGCCTTTCTCGCAATGTCAACGCCAAGTATGTTTACATTCTTTCTATATTCACTAGATCTCTCAGCTAACGACCTTATTAGGATTTGGAACCCTTTGATGGGTATTTCCAAGGATAACCTGCAATCTCAAGTCAGGGCCTTTTGCAGTGAATATGGCTTTGAAGACAAGGAAGATACCTTTTTCCGAGGTGCTCTGGCAGCCCAGAACCCAAGAGACTATGAGGATATTCCAGAGCTGACAGACGATGACAAGTATTGGCTGAGGCGCGAAGTCACCAACCGGTGGCATTTGCCCAAGGCTCTGTACTATACCATTGCTCTTTGTTCCCTTGGATCAGCAATCCAAGGCTGGGATAACACTGGCGCTAATGGCGCAAACCTATCTTTTCCCAAAGAATTTGGCATTGAAGATAACGGTTGGCTCGTTGGTGTTATCAACTCGGGCCCAACTCTCTTTGGCCTCCTCAGCGCATGGGCCGCTGACCCAGTGAATAACCTTCTTGGTCGACGGGGAACAGTCTTCGTCACGGGGCTATTTTGTATCTTTCCAGTCTTGGCGCAAGCATTCACGCAGAACTGGTGGGGTTTACTGATCTGCCGCTTGTTTATGGGCCTCGGAATGGGTATCAAGATCTCGACGATTCCCGTCTTCTCTGCAGAAGTCGCACCAGCGTCTATTCGTGGTGGGCTGGTAACTAGCTTTCAGCTTTGGGTGTCATTTGGCATGTTTGTGGGATACTGCTGTAATCTGATCTTTTATCGGGTTGGAAAGTTGGCTTGGAGGTTCCAGCTTGCATCCGCTTTCGCACCGGCGATTCCTGTCGTGATATTTGTGTGGTTTTGTCCCGGTATGGCTCCTGTTGCTTCCTCGCGAAACATTTTGTTGAATAGAATTGAGCTGACACTTCAATATAGAATCGCCTCGGTGGCTGATGAAAAAGGGGCGATATGCCGACTCTTTCAAATCATTTTGCCGATTGAGGAATACCGAGATGCAATCGGCGAGGGACCTGTACTATGCCCACTGCCAGGTAATGGAAGAGAAAGATGCGTTTGCCGGCGTCAGCTTTTGGCACCGAGCCTGGGAGCTATTCTCTGTGCCTCGATTGCGCCGCGCGGTTGTTGCCAGCGGATGGATTGTCATCAGCCAACAGTTTTCTGGAATCAACATGTAAGTGATACTTTCTCTTGCGAGGAAAGATGGGGGGAAGTATATACTGACCACTGGTACACAGCATGGCCTTTTATAGCTCAACAATCTTCGTCGAAGCAGGCTATTCGACTCTCAGCAGCTTGCTCGCCTCAATGGGCTTTGGTCTTGTTCTCTTTGTCTTTGCATTCCCAGCAGTATATACCATGGATACCTTTGGTCGTCGAAATTTGCTTTTGACAACATTCCCAAATATGGCTTGGTGTCTCCTTGCCGCCGGACTCTGTTTCTTGATGTCCAACGACAATAGCGCCCGGATTCCTTGCATTGCCTTCTTCATCTACCTCTTCACCGCCTTCTATGGACCTGGTGAGTACAATCTTTTACATTGAAATGGAAAAATACTAAAACTCTACGAAGGTATGGGTCCGTTGCCATCAATTTACTTTTCTGAGGCATTCCCTCTGTCTCATCGCGAGCTTGGTGCCGGTCTGACTATTTGCGTCAACAATGCTGTTGGCAGCGCTTTGAGTCTTACTTTCCCTTCGCTCCTGAAGGCACTTGGGCCAACTGGCGCTTTTGGATTCTACGCGGGATTAAACATGCTTGCATTTGTCGTCATATTCTTCATCGTCCCTGAGACAATGTATGTTACCCACCCATCACCTCAATTGCACAAGATGAAGACTGCTAACCTGAGTGCAGGAAACGGACGTTGGAAGAGCTCGACTTTATCTTTGGCGTGCCAACGCGGCGCCATATTTCGTACCAAGTCGGTACTTGGCTACCATGGTTCATTAAGAAATACATATTTTTCCAGCGCAGCGCGAAACTTGAGCCTTTGTATAAGCTGGATGGTGTAGTCGATACATCAAGCGCATAAGAAGAGGGATTGAGAAAAAAATGTTTTGTTTTTGTTGTTTCGAATTCGCAACGTGAATTATTATTTAGCTAGTTGGTGGATTTGTTAAGTTGACTGAAATATTAATTGCAAGAATATTCCGCACGTCAAATAGGCACTGAAGAACCTCGTCTAGCCTCTCTTGTAATTCGCAAGTCCTTGGCGACTATGAGGTCTAGTCATTCTGTGTTGGTCTGCACAATTCAATGGGCCTAGCTATGACACCTAGTTATCGGCTTACTTAACTACATAACTATGGAATTCAACCTTGAAGCTGAGCGCTCATCAGATGTAAATCTTTAAGAGTACTATGGCTAACTCTCATGCCGACGCACCCGCGGAAGCACCGATATTCGAGAGGTAGAGGTCATTGCAGTCAAGATGAGTAGATTTAGAAGTGATAATCAAATTTCGCATCTATTTTCTCAAGTTACTCTCGATCGAGTAGAGTAAAATTCTTCAAGATACCGAGAGGATATAAGTCGGCGTTTGATGAAATATAAGCTGAGTGCATATGACAAATTACCCGCTACACGATGCGTTTTCCAGTGATTTCGGTCTATTTCTCTATCACACTGTATTTAGTTTAACCTTGGCTGGGTCAAGCGCCCAATTTTGAGACCTACAGGTTGCCTGATTATGGTGCGGAGTCGCCTTAAGCCCGTGAGCTGGGTCGTTATTTCCACTGTGTGGCTCTAGGCCACTCATGATATCTGCACTCGCGGCTCATTCTGAAAAGCAACACATACCAGATAGTGAGATCCAGAAGCCATGACGGCCAACAAAGAAGTCGTAAATTCTAAGCCTAGAGGGCAGAAATCATGCCTCAACTGCAAAAGTATGTTCTCTTGGCCATTTTTGCTTGAATATGCGCCATGAACTGCATAAGGGAAAGCATCTTAATGGTACGTCATGACTGACAGCTTCTAGACCGCAAGATTGCTTGTGACAAGCTGATGCCGGCATGTTCTTCGTGCAAAAGGCGAAAGAAGATCTGCTCTGGCTACGACTATAATCTATCATGGCCACGTTCCGGCGACGAGCGTCGGGCTGCTACGGCGAATGTTCGACATCAGAAATACCCGACCGACACTTTTGCATTCTTGAACACCTCCAGCTGGGACGTCATGCTATACTACGAGAACTTTGATGCAAAATCTCAATGTGGGTTACCGAACACTTGATGTAGCCCTATGTCTTGTACTGACGATGACTTCATGGGACAGCGAACAGAATCGGCGTCTGGTCACCACCGTCGCCAGCCCGCTCACCGAAGCTCCCGCGGTTCGGGACTAGCAGATCTCCCATATGTAAGCTGTGTTCGGGAGCATTTGAGGCTTTGTGCTCAAAGCTAACAATTCTCAATCTCTTAGACGATACTGAGATATCATCTGCTGTTCGACTCATCACCTCTCGAGGGGATCTGCGACAGGATGTATGCGGCCTTCTGCGCCGTATGTCGCTCACAGACGATGGAGTTTCATCTCTTGCTGTTCGCTATGCCATGAACGCCATTTCGTATCTCTATCTTAAACAGTCAGATGAAGCAACGCGGCACCAAATGCATGCTGTTGCGGCGTTGCAAGGCGCCATTGATCGGATTGGAGATC